TTAATAGAAAACGATGTAAGGGATTAGGCCTCCCCTCTCTTGAACAATGTTGGTTTAATAGAAAACGATGTAAGGGGTTAGGCCTCCCCCTCTTGAACAATGTTGGTTTAATAGAAAACGATGTAAGGGATTAGGCCTCCTCCCTCTTGAGCAATGTTGGTTTAATAGAAAACGATGTAAGGGATTAGGCCTCCCCTCTCTTGAACAATGTTGGTTTAATAGAAAACGTTGTAAGGGATTAGGCCTCCTCCCTCTTGAGCAATGTTGGTTTAATAGAAAACGATGTAAGGGATTAAACCTCCCCTCTCTTGAACAATGTTGGTTTAATAGAAAACGATGTAAGGGATTAGGCCTCCCTCCCCTTGAACAATGTTGGTTTAATAGAAAACGAAGTTTTTCCTGCTCCTTCTATGATATTTTTCTAAACTACCAGCATTTTGTTGTGCGGAAGAAAGGTGGACGGAAATAAAAGTATTCGGGAAACGAATTGAAAAATATAAAAACATAACGCACATTGCTTGATGTTCCAAGTACTTCTGGCAATGGTTGTACATTGATTATGCTTCTGAAATTGCCTCGGTTTTTCAAGGAGTGAAAAAACATTAAATTTTATTTTAAATAATATTTCCTATAATTTTACTATAATAATAATTATTAAAATAATGATAATAATTAATTTTCCTATAATAATCTTGCTGTAAATAATATATTCATTTGATTCCTATTCCATACACTTCGACGAGAACGACTTTATTTTGTTGATATCAGCCACAGAGTTTCAAATTTTCTGTTAGTGGTGTACCTCGTGATATTTTGAATAAAAAATGTGCCGAGGATTAGGAAGGTTGACAAACACCGGTGTAAAATATTAGGTCCTTTTTAGGAGAGCAAGCCTTCTTTCAGGGGGTTTTTCTATTAAAGAATTTTATCAGTTCTGCATATCTACACTAGCATACATATTCCTTATAGCTCCTTCGAAATATGCAGGCCATGAGCTTCAAAGTCTCCGCATTGCCCATAACCTTGTTAATGGCGAGATTATTAAAGCCTCTTTGCTAACTCTACCGTTCACCGTATTGTTCAAGTAAGACAAATCTTTAGTTTTGCGGAATATTTCTTAGCAAATTTGAAGAAAAACCTAACCAAAAGGAAAACCTTCTAATTTGAAAAAACACTTTCACCTATAGTGAGAAGAGTCGCCAGCTCTCTGTAATTCCAGGTGTAGAAAAGAAATCACAAAGTGTGGTCACATCGAGAGGAAGGACCAGGACACTGCTCGATAAGCATAAGCTTCTCGGTCTCCTAAAAACTACCTTCGAATGCTAGATAGAAACAAATACAAATAACGATACAGAAAGGGGTTTTGTAAAATGGCCTGTAATCTCTTCTAGATGGGTGTTGAGATCGCTACTTTGCCATTCCGCCCAGAATGCAGCAAGCCAAACAAATAACGATACACAAAGGGGTTTTGTAAAATGGCCTGTAATCTCTTCTACATACATTTGCTTCCAGTTTCGGCTGACTAAAAAACATCACATACAAGACCCAGATAATCTGCACAAAAATAGATGAAATAAGGGAAAAAAACTTTGTTACCGGAAAAAATGGGAGTGATAGTGCCCCTCAAGGCCCTGGGCACCTACACAACTGCTCATAATAAATAAGGTAGTCAAACAGTTTGCCACTACTAGTTAATTTGCAAATTGCACGATGTGCTGTATTGAAATTGATGTATTTTTATGTACACGTGGAAGAATAAACAAACATAAACATAAACATAAACATACAAAAAAGCATAAACAAACAAAAAATACTTAAGGACTTGAAGCCAATAGATATCCCAAAATCCCTCTATAGGAAAGGAAAGTTGTTGGGTAGGTAATGATCAAAAGGTAAATGAATTTAATACCTAGGAAGAAAACTCTTTTCTGAATTCTGAACATGTATACCAAACGTAACTTTCACTGAGATAACCCTTAGTTTTTTTAATCAAATACCCACAACCGTTCGGTCGTGTACCAACAATCGTACAAGACGTAGTTTTGTATGTCAGAATTGCAGGATGGCTAGCAAAATGTGGCAGATAAAAAAACTTTGATACACCAAGCATCTCCAATTTTTCAATTGATATATATTCCATCAATCGATATGTTTTTATTAGAAAACCATTGCTGTGCATTTTATGCGTATACTCTAATAGTAGTTCTTCGACCGATGTAATTTTTTTCCTAACCGTAAAGGAGCAGAAATATTTCCTTTATTTTACATATCTGAGAAGTTGGGTGTTGCGGTCGCTACTTTGCCACTCCGCCCAGAATACAGCAAACCAATAACACACGTTAAACGCAAACGGAATCTTTTATCAATTATAGGCCTAAAATTTGCTTAAACTGTAACAACAAAATCATGCGCTCCAATAGAAATCAGCAAACATGACCTAAGCATCTCTTTTTCCCATTAACCACACTCTGATTGATTGAGAAAATTCTCATGCTCAACGCCTGGAAATTACCACGATACTTATTTAATAACAAAACGTAATTTTCTGTTCTCCAATCCATAGAGATACGTTCACTAACTTTTTCATTTCATCAGCAAAATCCATCAAATGAATAAAACCGTTAATTCTTGACTACCGCTGGCATTTAATGGGCAGGAATAAATTGATAGCGCTTATTATGCGACACTGTTTAGGCTGACTTAAGCGATGAAAGGCTTAAAGGGCCTCTCCAGCCAAAAAAAATTTTTTTTTATTGACTAAAAAGTTAGCATCTGGTGCGTGTATTATGACAAAGTCATTGTTTCTGCAAAATTCCAATTAGTTTAGAAGTTATAAGGCTTTAAAGTTGCACCTTTCCGAGAAAAAAACGACAAAAGCCGAATCAGTTTTGTGACATTCTGACGTCACAATGTGCGGCTCTCGTTCGCCATGAATTTCGTATATCTTCCACGGAATCGTGAAGGAGTCATGGTCACGCGTTGATAACTGCATCTAAATCCAAAGCAGGAGTTTTTTACAATTTGTTCCCAATCATTCTTAGTTTGCGGGTCGGAATGTGTCCATGCTGTGTCACGACTTTGTTTTGATCACCTGTGTAGGCCCACAAAGCTACGGCTCTGAAAAATTTTTGTCGGTTAATTCAATTCAATTATCGAAATGCAAGAGCTTATATCTCACAAACTGTAAAATATATCGAAAAACAAATAACGAATTCGTGATCAGCAGGTTCAACTTCTTTAGATTAGCCAATAAAATGCAAGTGCAAAATTTGGCTGGAGAGGCCCTTTAATCAGTATATTTCGTAGAGTAGAAAAGGAGAGAGGTTTTACTCAACTATAAATGAGAAAACTGCAAACAAAACAAATTTATAAACGAAAGGCGTAAAGATCCTTTGAACTTCAGATAGAGAAGTAAGCAATAGAGTCGCAACTAACACAAAAGTTCTTTGTTATCACAGTATTTATATTTACTGCTGAAGCTGAAGAATCCGGTTTGGATAATCCGATAAACCTCATGTAATACACCTCGAGGAGTTTTTAGATTGCATCAACGAATCACAGGTCGCCTTGGGTCAGGGAACGCTCTCCTAAAAATAAGACATCTAGCAAAACATGATACCTGTCCGGATTCTTCCTGTCCGCCCATTTTCTTCCCATCAACAAGTGCTGCACAAGTTCGGTATGCATCACAATAGATTCTAATTTACACTTGAGAAAAGGTTGTGCTTCACCCACTAATTTGCTATTGTCAGTTTCTAAAACGCATTATCTTGTACCTGTAATTTCCTATATATCCACATCTATTTCCTTTTTTGTAACATTCATTATGTGTACGTGTGGCGTTCGTATTTGTTTGTCTAGTTGCATATAATGGCCATGGGGTTGTTATTGTCCTTTGCTCCCCGTGGTATCGTACCTGTAGTATCGTAGAGTAATTTGCAAGTATAGTAGAATGTAGTTTGTATTGTAGTATTTTTTCTGGATATACAGTAGAAAATCGCATAAAAGAACCTAGGTTTTTTTCTGGTAGCCTGAATAGGCTCTTAATTAACAGGCTGCTATTCTAAATTCCAGTCTAAAAGGTTCTTAACAAGGTTCTTATATACGTACAGGCCTTGCACACATAAACGATGTTTTCCACCGCAAGAATTCTAATATACACACTTATACCAGCTTTGTTTTTCATGTTAAATTTCAACCAATCAAATGAATTTGTGTTGTTAGATTGTCCAATTAGAATGCAACATACCATAATCTGATTTATACTAAACTGGTTTTAATTTGCCAGTGTGAATAGGGTGTAAAAATACCAATCTAAAAACCATTTTTCTTATATATATATATATAAGAACCTTTCCAAATTTCAGCATTTTGGGGGTTCTTAATTATAGGATTTAAAAAATTAAATTTCAGCCTCAAGGTTCTTATAAAACAGGTTCTTTTATGCGGGATCTTCTACTGTATAAAAAAGGTTACCAGACAAAACCAAACGAAAAACAGGCTGTCATTGTCAAACCTACAAGCAAACAAGATTTCAAACTAGGCTTATACTATTGTCCATAAGGTGGTTTTAATGCGGAAGAAAGGAGAAGTATTGGTATTATAATAGAAATCAAATTTCATTAGCAAAAAACAGAAAAATTTTAGTCAAAAGGAAATTTTTGCACTTCAACTCTTGCTTTCTTATCATTGGATAATAGGAATTCCTGAAGCCTCGACCCGCAACCCACCCACCCCCCCCCCCCCTATTGTTATAAAGAGAACCCTTTTAACTATTATCATGACTCATACAGTGAACCTTGCTTTGGTTGCCCTATTGTTTCTTTGCTTTTATCATGTTGAAGAGTGTTGAAGAGAAGAGTAGAAACGAAGTGTATTCTTTGTGAAATGGCCAGCGGAATGAACAGAAGATAACACCTGTGAAAAAATTATCAACATTCGAAACACAATTTTCGATCAAACTGTTCCACATGCTCACATAAATATGGACATAAGCTCACCTTCAGACGTCTTTCGTTAGCAGTGTGGATATCTTCATCTCCTGGTTTGATTTCAAATCTTCCCTGCGCCCACTCCTCTTCCACCTAGAAAAGCAACGATATGTTCTATACTGCTGTATTTGGATATCCGAAAGAAAGTGAATTTTGAGTTTCATATTGAATACAAAGCAAAAATCAGGTTTTTGTGTCCAGTTTTGAGAAAAAATCAGGCACAGTAATTTTTTGTTGCAGACAGACATCTACTGAGGACAGACACTTTTGGTGACTGCTTCTTTCTAATGGTTACAAGTGAGAATCATTTGCTTACGAAATAGATCAGACATATTTCCTTCTAAGAATGCAGAATATTCTTCATTCCGAAATACTGGAGGCTACATCTGAAATACCAGCGTTACTTTTTGGCCATTACTTTGTTGTTTATTTCCTCTTAATTCTAGACAAGCGTGCAAAATTTAGGGAGGCTCCAGCAAAGGCGTACGGGGCAGGGAGTTGTGGGGCTGGAAGGGAGGAGGCTTCAGCCCCCCTAGATTCGGGCAGCTGATTTTTTCGGGCAAAAATCGGGCAGGAGCCCTCTCTAAAGACAAAAAAGTGTCAGAAAACTACATTTTGAACATGTTTATAAATCTCTTAGATGAGTAAAGTGGCCGTAACCGTGAGCGCTTCCAGTAGTAATGGTTTAATGTTGAAGAAACCTGTTGTGCTTTTGGCAATGGCGTAAAGGAGGCATCTGAGGCCCTGACGAAAGATCTGCTAAGGGACCTCTACTTACAGTCTGCAAGAAGGTCCAATCGAAAGGTGTAGATCACGTCAAACACAATAGCAAAATGTAAAAAATAAGAATTTGTCCTCGTTAGCTAGGGGTAGCTCAGTTATAGCGCTTCAGTTGAAGAGATTTGAAGTTTTGGAAAGTTATTTGAGCTTGAGCAAAGTTTTAAAAATATGCACGTAAAAGCATCTTAGACCCCTTTTATTCGGGCGCCCTTAGTTAGCAAACTAAGGTGTCCTAAAGTGCCTTACGAAACTGGCATTAAGGAATGCAAGCGTGAATGCTAGCCTTTCAACAGAAATAATCAGAAAGGTTTGCTTTTTCTACCAAATAGATTCTGCAAATCAAATAGATCAAGAAGAAAAGTGTGTGAATTGCTTAAAATGATGCATGATGACAATGTTTCGGACTTAGTTCCACATTTGCTGAAGGGATACAAATCCTGGCCCGCTCCTGGCCACTATTCCAGCAGCATCATGTTCAGTGAAACGGACATTCAGCTCACTTAGGCACATAAAAACATATCTTCGTAACCCAGCAAAGACTTGACAATGTCGCCCTCTTTAATATCGATATGTTTGGTCGCGGTCGTGGGAGGGATTCGTATTTTTTTAAGTAACTCGAAAGCTATTTGTAACGTGTCATGTTTTTAAAAAATGCTAATTAGTTAGCCTCATTTTAATGACGTTGCCAATCATTGATCGATTAATATTAGAAGCTTTTATGTCTTAGAGTATACTCCGTAAAAAATGTGGACATTAATATTTTTCGGGCAAAAAATTTTGAGCCCCCCCCCTATCTGAACTAACCCCGTACGCTCAAGCACAATATGCTCCGATCTTCAAAGAACCACCAAAGATTTATTTCTAGCTCCATAATTATTACTTAGATGAGGCATTCATTCATTTAAGGGCGCTGCCGAGAATTTCCTCTTTTTGAAAACAGGCCATCAACACAAAAAGTCTCATAGTTCGCCACCATGCTCTCAGTGCATTTTGACAGCATTTAATTGAATTGAATTCGCTGCACCCATAACGCGCTGTCTAAACTATGCCTAATATTCAAATTATCTTTGCGAACCCTTTCCTCTTAGGCAAAACCAAACTCTACACCTAAGATTCTAGGCAGCAGAATCGGAGTTCTGCATAAAACCTAGCTTCTTACCTCCCGCAAGAAAAACATCTATTCGCATTCTTGGTTGCAACAATCAATGTAAACGTTAGATCTATCTAGACCATCTTAAGACAATCGACAGGTACAAAAGTAGCATACGCCATCCGCAATCAACTATAGATCATGCTTTTTGATTGGTCGATTGTTGATCAGATGGCTTAAGCCATTTTAGTGCCCATCTTTTGTCTTATTTAAGACCCTGTTACCTTCTTGAGTCCATCGATGATCAATTGGCACTCCTCTTCGGTCACAACATCTACCCCTTTCAGGCCTTTCGCATAGGCTATGCTGCCCTGTAGAAACAAATACAATGCTAGTAAACAAATTTTTGGCGGTACAGAATTAAAAAAGGGCTTTGCAAAAAGCAAACGTTTTTCGTCTGACACTCCTCAGAGTATAAACGTCAGAATAAGGGTCCGAAAAAACACTATGGAAAATATATACTCAGTTGTGGATCGAAATAGGCCAATCAGAAGATGCAAGCATTGTTCCTTATGTTGGAAGGAACATGTTGTTTTATCCCATCTCCAAATCTATGGGTTGTGAGTCCTACGTTGCCAGAATCACACTGACACGTAAGTTCATAAACAACAGAACTCTTTTGGGTGGTAGGAATGCAATCCTTTTGAATTGATGGAAGGGCTCTCCTAGTACTGTATACAACACGAGGATTGACAGCAAAGTAAAATTTTGTAATGGCCTGCTTAAAGACTCTTGCGCAACCAGCATGCTTCGCGGCAACTGTCTTGAGAAATTGATTTTGTTTGGTATTTTCATGCAGTACGATATTAGGCCGGTTTTGAAAATATAATCGCAAAGCATACCGGTTGTGAAAAATAACCGGTTGTGTAAGAGCCTTTAGTCTGGCTTTCAAATCGCAAGTGTTAGCGTAACAAGAAGTGTTACCAATCCATGGTAGTTTAAGTGCAACTATTAGGCTAGTAGTAAATAAAAAACAGTCGAACAGAATTATAGAAAACAAAACAATGAATTCCTACTGTTAAACCGGGAACCAAAGATACAAATGCCCATTTTTTCACAGTTAGCCCTTATTACGAAACTAGATACCCGTAACAAAAGAAGAGACAAAAATTAAGTGGTACTGATTAATTTGATTAATGAATTAATATCGTTGCAAAATCCCTGAATCAAACAGATATCGTATATGAATATCGTGCAGCAGCAATCAAACTAGAAAGGCCAAAAGCCAATTTTCATTTTCCGAAAATTTCCTAGATTTTCCATGATTAGTAACCGTACACAGAAAGGCTAGACTTACTCCATGAGCCTCTGTTTCGCTACTGCCTAGCGTCCGTCAAGTGAGGCAGTAGCAAAACAGAAGGCAAAGGGAGGGTGGCAAATTCGTAGGAAAACAACTTCCTATTGGGCATTGTGCCCTATCGCAAATCTATTTAGTCAATCAAGCAAAGAACATTTGGGAACACTGAGAAACCATAGACAACAGGGGTACAATTAATAAATGCAGCATTTGTTTCAGATACATTCATATTTGTTTCAGATACAAAATACATTCAGGGATTAGGGATAACGGAGAACGGGAGCGCAAGGGGTTTTTCCAAAAAAATGAGCAATTTTCCTTTGTACTAATATTTTTTGCTCCTTTTCTTCGCACTCCCAACCCCCATTCTACAGTTCTTATGGCGTCTCTGAATACAACACCAAGCACGTACCTGTATGTCTTGTTTCCACATCCTCTTATCATAAGAAAGGGAGGCATTGAAAGACTCCATAACAGGGTCTACAGCTCCAGTGAATCTCCCTCCCCATAGTTTACTGCCCTAGCGTAAGGAATAGGTAAGAAATTGTAGGAAAAGGAAGAAATGATGAAATATTATTTAGTAGCAGAAAGTCTAGCGTGAGAACCACGCCATCAAAATCTGTTTGCTTATTGCTTGTGTCTCTTTTCTCCGTTTGAAACTTTATTGTGATTTCCTACGAGACGTGAAATCATCAGAATTTACAGCAAACCGGGGAAAAACATCGTATTACCAGGACATTTTTTTCTAAATTTTGCCACTCCTACTCGTATTGATGAATTTATTGATGATCAGGTGCAATTTTCACAGAAACGATATGCCCCAATGAAAGTTTCTATTAAATAATCAAATTAAAATCCGTTCGATAGGGCTCAAATCTAAAAAACAAGTCATTAAGAATGCAAAAGTTTGAGAGGCTTCCATTTCCAAGTTATTGTTGTTCGTAAAATTAAACTTGTTGATAAGACACGCAACTGAGCAATAAAAGTACGATAGGTACTTTTTTAAGAAGCAAACGAAAAAGATGAAAAAAACAAGATGTTTATATTCCATTCCTCACATCTGAACATGCAGGCCTACCTCTGCTTGGGAACTTGTGTCTTCTGTCATACTGCCAATCTGCATACGAATGAATAACATGTCAAAGTTTTCATTCATGATATCTAAAAAATCTCCTAGCATAAGTGATGACCAAATTTAAACCTTCAGTGATGATCAATAGCGTGCATGCCTTGTGACGAAGCATATGGTAAAAATGTTAATCATTTTGGTCTCAGACAATCTTTATTTATCAACAAAGAAACATGAGTTATTTTCAACAAAATGTTTCGTAGGAATACAAAACTTAACTCTGAGCAGATTATTTTAATTATCTGACCAGCTGGAATAAAACAAGAAACTTCCCAGCTTGCACACTGATACTGAGATCTTTATCAGCTGCTATGAGATATAAATAACAAGAACACCATGATATATATAGTAATTGCCCTTTTCGAGTTTTTCCGTTCAAAACAACTCGCTGTTTACGATTTGCCAATTAGTTATGTATCAGGGTTAGGAGTTTCCTATTTATACCATTGCACTTTGATTTGTATAACAGGCCCTCGTGCCAAATCCTGTCAAACGCTTTGAAGAGATCAATAAAGACAGCTCTAGTTTCAAGGGTAGGAGAAGCTTCGAAGGCTTTGTAGATATTGTGAGTTATATATAACAGTTGATTGATAGTGGAATCTCCTGGTCTAAAGCCTGATTGTTGCTGGGCTAAAAGTCCATTCTCACAAAGGTGTTTGTAAATTTCATCAAATAATACTTTTTCAAATATCTTACCAAATATGGGTAGAAGTGAAATAGGCCTGTAGTTCTTTTTGTTCTGCCTGCTGTCTTTTTTGTGAACAGGAATTATGTTAGCCTTTTTCCAAGCAGCAGGAAAGGTTCCTGTCTCAAATATTGAAGATAGTGGCTCAACTATTGATGCATCGCATATCTTAATCATGTGAACGGGTATGTTGTCGCTGCCGTTAGCTTTCTTGAAATCAAGAGCGCGAATTAATCGTAAAATCTTATCTCTGTCAATGGAAATGTTCCTTAGTGATGAATTACAACGTTGAAGAAAGTTAGGTATTGTACTGCCAGTTGATATTGCAGAACATTGTTGCACAAAAAATCATTTAAAATATGTAGTAATTTGAAATATTAGCTTTGGTATCCACGTTAGTAACAATGACTCCATTTTCCAGAATAGGTGGAATTCCGGAAATGCTCGTCTTATTCATTAGTTTGTTCAGGGTAGTCTAATATGTTTTGATACCATTGCTAGGATCGGACAGTTTCCTACCCAGCTTTAGATAATATTTTTCTTCGGCATCAAGAATAATTTTTAATGTTTCATCCCTAACTTCCCTCACTATGATCCAGTCCTCTTGCTTTCTTCCACGCTGCAAACATTTTTTGTAAACCCTATATTTTCGCCTTATTGCTGTTTTAACTTCCGCCGTCACCCAAGCCGCCGCCGCCGCCGCCGTCATCCTTGTCATTACATTTGACAACTTCGTTTTGTATGTTAGTAGAGGTAGACAGTATGGAAAAAATCGTTGTGGTGAAAACTTGGGTCATTTCATTTGAACCAAGACCAATAAGCCGAGAAACCCAATATCTTTATTTGTATCCCTAATTGACTGGATATCAGCGTTTGCGTAGTCCAACACGGTTCTCTTGTGGTGGTGGGGCAGGGAGACAAATTCAATTTACCATAGACAAGCAGGTGTTTTGGAAATTCCCCCAACCGCGACTTGCACAAGTGAGATTCTTGTGGTACTGTCTTTAAACAACATAACAAGTTTGAATAATAGAAAAAAAGAACGTGGGTTAATGGTCCTCAAATATTTTCAACAGGTGTTGGCAATGATCGTTCAAGAAGGATGAACCCCAGACTAAACAAAGAGAATAGATTTGTCAGTTATGATGAGATCAATGCAAGACATGTTCTCACCACATGTGTGTGGGCTCATTTAATAATTGGTACAAGTTATTTGTCTCTATGAACTCAGTTAGAGCAGTTCCTTCAGGATATTCATCATCCCTCTCCTACCACTGAGATGATCTACAGTTAAGCCCTGGCAAAACGACTAAACATTTCACTAAAAATTTCACTCAACTTTTGTTTAGTGAAGTTGAGCGAAGTTAAGCGAGGGTGGCAAACGTGACTAAACTTTTCACTAAACTTCACTCAACTTTTTTGAACTGCGAGCTGTCTATGACGCTGTTGGGTTGTTGGGGATCTTGCATAGGAATTTGTTTTTAATTTATTTTTTTGCATGCACAAGCAGTGGATAAAAATAAGAATTAGATGAAACGAAGCGATAGGAAAAGAAAAGACTTTCTAGCACATTAACAACAAAGCTGACTGTTGAAGAAAACAGAGTAGCGTACAACGAGATATGCAGATGCTCATAAAGGCCTTTTGGGTCACGTAGAGACAGGAAAACCTACGAAAACAGACGAAAACCTTTGGATTTCCACAGCTAGTTCGCTTGCGCGATCACAACAAATGTTTCATTGGTGGCAAAATGACTAAACATTTGCTAAACAACACTAAAAACAACGCTAAACATTTTTGACCAGGATCAAACTTTGCTCAACAACACTCAACACGACTAAACAACACTAAACAGGGAGGCAAAACGACTAAACTTTTCACTAAAATTTCGATGATTAAACAAAAGTTGAGTGAAATGTTAAGTGAAATGTTTAGTCGTTTTGCCAGGGCTTCAAAATCTCCTGTTAAAGTCATCTGCAATTTTTCCATGGAAACATCGAATTGTTAATTACTTGGACTAGGGCTGCGGTAACTATGAATATCTGCCTGTTTTTATATCAGCAACTATTATTTCCTGTAATAATTCAAGATCCTTTCTACGTGTAATTGGCAGACCCTCTCGAAAGTACCTGCAGACACCCTCGATTTTGGAATCACTTGAATGATCATTGCGAAACAACTCCTCCTTGTTGAAACCTTCTATGGTAAATCCCCTCATCTCGCACTTTACTATCCAGCATGAATGCAGACACTGCAATAACATCGTATTTATAAAGAGAATTGTAGGCTTCAACTCAATGAGTGGAATTTTTATTCCATTTCTTGCGCATATGCTGTTTAAGTTTCAATGAAAGAATCGCACGCAGTTTTCAGTTTATGGACCACGATTCAATTCGATATCTCCAGAAAGGAGTAAAAGTAAGTCTTGAGGGATCATATAGAAAGTATCAATTACTGAACCTATAAACAAAGCGTACAGCAAGTGAGGAAAATTGTAGAAATTGTTTTTATGGAACAGTTGGATTTCAATAGCAACACAATTCTCGTGTCAAAGATATGCAATAACAGGTAGATGGCGAAGTACACAGTAGTAATTGCATAACTGGTTACTTTCACATAAATATGACATATTCCCAAGGTACCCAGTCCTATGGAAAAAGAACGAGGAACAATATTTAGCAATGAATCGATCATGAGCGACAGCAGAATAGCTACCACTGATAGCCAAATGAGCAGGTACAATAGGTACCAATAGGCAAAGTATCAAGAAACTGTTATAAGAATTTAGATACCACTGGGACCTCGACTGGGACAAATCTAAACCTAAGCTAAATCCCCGCACGCCATTCATTAATTCCTTTGGGCATATGACGTCTCCATAATTTTTCCTGGCCCTATAGACCATGGTCCTAGTTTCTCCAAATTGTAAATCTTACTATTAATTGATGCACTCTTTTTCCCTGTACCATTCTTGGGCGACCGATTTGATGTGCGCGGTCAATGACCACATTTCGAACGTCAACCCCCAATTCGTTGAAAACATTTTTTACTTTAGCTAAGCAGCTTTCGCTAGATTCACTTTGACCTTTTGGTACAGGTGGAATTCCATTAATTCGTAGACACAGTCCGCGACTATACTCTTGGGGGCTAAACTATGCCTACGCTATGCCTAGTTATTCAAAACTTCTTGTTTGTCTTGCGCCACCTGCCATTAGGCCAGATCAACAGAAGGAGGCGAAGTAAAAAGGCTAGGACAAGGTTTTCTTTTCGAGTGTGATGATTGATCCTTGACTTCTCATAACATTAAAATTGCCTTCATAGACCCATCTTCTAGCTGATTGTCGTCAATAGTCTGTACATTAGAAACTGTGGGGCCACAAATCTATAATAGGCTCTCGTATAGGACAGACCTAGATATCCCTGCACCTTTTCCCAATTTGCTTAAGGAACGAATGCTGTTGTATTTTAGTAATCATCAGCAAATTTTTCATTGGGGTCATGCTTTTTAATTTACTCCAGCTTCATCGTTGTTTCTTTCTTCACAGAAGGATCTTCATCAGATATATGCATTCACAGGTTCTTTGAAACAAACCTCACATTTGCCCTTATGATGATAACAAGCTTTGTGATTGGAATTAGTTTGTAAGGTATCTGTTAGGGCTGATTGGCATGTTGTTTGATCGGCATAATGTAGCTGTGAAGACATTTGTGCATATAAGTATCAGCAGTGTTAGTGCAGATACTTTTTCAATGTTAATTGAAATGTCTTTACTGTTCATCAGGGATGCCTGCACAAGATGTAGGCAGGAGGGACAGTGTTGATGCTGTGGGCAAATAGTAGAATTTTTTCACTACCATAATCCAGTACTTGTGGGGCAGTGGCGGCTCCAGCCTGGGATAAGTGGGAGGACAAAAGATATGTCAGAGACCACACCCTTTTGGACCACGCACTTTTTCCTTGCGTTTCAAACATTTTCTTCTGGATGAAAGACCTCTTGTCTCCCAAAAATAGTTGTTTCAATCAAATTCAACGATCTAAATAACATACATACTATATTTTCTAAAGTTGTAGCCAAATATCTAAAAATAATTAACAGTACTCAAAAGTTTCAAATTTTTCCCTTGCAGCAACAATTTCTAACAGCTGCCAAAAATAAGCAACCTTTTCTGGCGAAAAGGCCATTAGCAGCAGCTCCCTAGGCAGCCTACTGCCATTAAGTCTTAGGAAGTCTTGTTAGTTTTAATTGATACATTGGTGGATAGCCCAATGGCAGTCCATTCCTATTTGAATGACTAGTGTTATAAGGCCATCTCTATGTTTGAATATTTGGCCATTAGCAGCAGCTCCCTAGCTGGTGAAAAGGCCATTTGCAGCAGCTCCCTAGGCAGCCTACTGCCATTAAGTCTTAGGAAGTCTTGTTAGTTTTAATTGATACATTGGTGGATAGCCCAATGGCAGTCCATTCCTATTTGAATGACTAGTGTTATAAGGCCATCTCTATGTTTGAATATTTGGCCATTAGCAGCAGCTCCCTAGCTGGTGAAAAGGCCATTTGCAGCAGCTCCCTAGGCAGCCTACTGCCATTAAGTCTTAGGAAGTCTTGTTAGTTTTAATTGATACATTGGTGGATAGCCCAATGGCAGTCCATTCCTAGTAGAATGACTAGTATTATAAGGCCATGTTTTTGAATATTTGGGAGAAGGTAGAAAGTTAGCAGCACTGCTCAGTATTGACTAGAAATGTTATCAGAAACTTAAATGTGACCTTAAAAGACTTTTGCAGCAGCAAGCCTTTGAACATTCTTACAGAACAGCACCTGTAAATTTTTCTTTGCAATAAATTTTCAACATAGCTAATATTAACTGTATATGCCTGTTATTAGCAGCTGAAAACAGAAGATGACCAAGCCACCAGTTTTGCTCAGTCATGACACCATTAGCACAATGAGTCATGGCAAAGTAAACATATTTTTTGGCGTTCACCAACTGGTAGCATCAAATTGTCAAGCAGAAATCAAAATGCACTTATATGATATATGCATACAAATAAAAATATAAAATTGTCACTTTTGAGCGAAACTCGTTTCCATAGGATAGCAAGTTACCAGGTTTTGTAAATATGCTATCTGGGATTTAAGCATTTTTCCCCTACCCAAAAACTCATTCATTAAAGTTTCATGAAACTTCTCACTTACAAACAGGATAAATTTCTTCTTATTTGGATAAGCCAACAAATTGTTCTCATCAGGATACAAATGCCTATATCCATAGCAGTACGTATGAAAAATAAACAGTTTCGGACGCAAAAAACAATGGCCTAATAATAAGTACAGCGTTAATCTAAGGAGCCAGTTGCAACGGTGCCGCGGTAGATTAGATGGAACGCCAGGTAAACATATTAATTTATAACCACTCACTGTAATCTGCTAACCGGTGTTCACCGATTCAACTGAGGCCTAACCAACTATGAAAACGTTAAATTAAAAGCTTACTTGAACTTCTTCCAATCTGTTCACAATTCCCACGCTTTATCTTCAAAAAAGGAAAGAAAGGACCGCGGTCAACTTTGCCCATGTGAAAAATGATGAAATAATCTCGATTTCAAAACAAGTTTCGCATGGTTCCATTTTTCCGGGAAACGTGATGATGATACTTGTTTCCCTGTGATCAAATATTGTTGCCATGTGGGATAGCAATGGAATCATCCGATTGTGACGAGACCTGGATGAAGAAATGTCTTCAAATTGTAAGTTTATCTACCTGTTTTTCAAAAAGAAAAGTAATGCTGCGCGAATTCAATTTTTACTAAACCAAAATTTAATCTAGTTGAAAAAAATGTGAACATTCAACATTTTTTAAAAGTAGCTAGGCTTGGGGGAGCACTCCATTACTTATTAATTTTTTGTTGATTTCCGTTTTCAGTGCCAAAAATATATTTTCAAGATTTTTTAGATACCAAATACAAAAAGCTACTTTTAAGAGACGGAAACGTAATTCGAAAACGAGATAACATTGAAAATAAAACTCCACAATGCATTAGGAGGTTAGGAGCTCTGCTTTCGGTTTATCAATGCAAATAAACTAATTATCTTTGTTTTAAATGCCCATCCGTTTTAGAGGGGTATTATTGGGAAAAAATTGAGGTAGAGCGTGTGTTATCAGTTTTTGGTTTCTTAACTTTTTAGTGAGCTTAGGGCTTTTACACGTTCTTTTATTTATAAGAAACTTGTTTATAAGAAACTAGTACTAGGCTGGCCAAAAATTTTAGAAACTTTAGTACTTGGGCAAAGAAAATTAAGAAACTCATAAATTCCCATTTATAAAAATAAATCAAAAATGTGTATTTTGCTGACTTTCCTTTGGAAAAGATCCTTTGGATTTTGATCTGCAAGGGTTTTTCCATAACAATCTTTATTCTCTTCCAAAAATGATCAACTTCAAAACAATAAGGCAGTTTAAGGTCTCCAAAATAAGAAACCTATCAAGAAACTTTTAGTACTGAATTGCCCAAATTTAGATGCCAATTGAAAAACTTTAAGCACCTAGTGCTGATGCAAGTTTCCTATAAATAAAACAGAAGTCTCAAATTGTGGTACAGATATCTTAATGGATTTCATGACTTTGCAGAGAAGTACTACACTGAGAGGCATATATGACAGGGTAATTTAGTGGATGTCAATCATTTTCTTTTAATTTGATTGTAAAAATTCTGATTCATCTTTTACACTCAACATAACAAATTTGTTTTGCATTCTTTTCCAATAGTTTGTTTTTTAAGATTGCTTCCCATAATTGAACACAGTTTTCATTTTTAATAATGGTGCTACTTGTAGCGTTGAGATACAAACCTTTTTGTTTTGTAATGAGCTTTTAACTTCATATGACCCACTCACCCAACCTGCTATTAGGTTGATGCAAGATGCCTTCTAACCTGACTTTCTAGCCTTTCATACCCTTTGATGTTCAGCATTGGATAATATGTAGAGATGTCTAAGCTACTAGTTTCAGGAGTAAGGCAGTTGCCTTCTAAAGCCTTCTATAACAAAAAGTGATCAGCATGACTTGTATCTGATCCACCAAATTGATTATGAATACAATGTATGGTTCAAGGTATGAAGGCAAATTTAAAAGATTTTGACTTGCTTGTCAAAGCTATGCATGTCCCAAAACATTCTTCTTAATAAGTTTTGGACCAGTGATAGCATAATGCAGGAGTGCAGATGGCTTGCTCAATAATTTTTGTGACTGAAGTAAGATTTACATGATTTCTTAAGAATGTTCTTAGATTTTAAAAGCACTTTAGCCAGGTCCATTGACTAATTATAACTAAATTACTGTTTTTAGCTGTCTAAAAGTTTTTTTGATAATACTTGTTCTTTCCAGGCCAGCACAACTTTGGCAAAAGGTGAAGTTCCAGTTGGTTGCTTATTTGTACATAACAACTTAGAGGTTGCAAGTGGATTCAATGAAGTCAATAGAGATAAGAATGCTACTCGCCATGCAGAAATTATTGCTATTGAAAGTGTAAGGCAACACTGTAAGAAAAATGGACTTGATGAATGCCTTATTTTCAAAGAATCAACTCTATATGTCACAACTGAACCATGTGTAATGTGTGCTGCAGCTTTGAGGCTTGTTGGAGTTAGGAATGTGGTATTTGGTTGTCCTAACCCTAGATTTGGTGGTTGTGGATCTGTCTTAGATATTCACAGTAGAGATTTTGAAAAGAGACACCAAGAAGCTTCAAATACACATAACTCGTGTTCACCAAGTGTCGGAGCTAAACTCAATTGTAAAGGTGGCATTTTAGGTGAAGAATCAGTGCTTCTTTTGAAGCAGTTTTACCAAGGAGAGAACCCTAATGCTCCAAATCCAAAAGACAAGTCAAAAAGAAGGAAAGCAGATGCAGAATGACATGCTGTACAACTATAGTTTTGCCATGGAGTTATATTATTGATCCTTCATCTACTTTCATTGCTGTTATTTATTAATCCATGTGATAAATTATTTCAAAGGAGAGTTGCTTTTTAATGAAATAGTTTAGAAATGACACCCAAAACCAGTTCAAAGAAGGTTGTCTTTAGACAATGAGGTCAGCACCATGTCCCAAACCACACATTTCCAGAACTTTTTAAGAATTGATCTCCAGCCCCTCCATAGTAGCCTGAAATCAAACACACACTTAAATCACTCTAATCTGCTTTTTAGGCAATTCAATGCAGATGAAAATTTTTATCGTCATCAACCACAAAAACATTATATTATCAGTTTTAAAAAAAATTCAGCTGATAGCTGCCTGCCACAGGTAGAAATCCTGAGAACAGGTAGAATGGATATAGATGTAAATTGCCTAGTATACCAAATGCATGAAATACTTTCATACCAAATGTACTTTGGGCTCTCCACTGATTCAAAAGAATATGACCAGAGGGCCACTGAAATAAACCGTGATAGATTCTTTAAGAAAAATTTTGAAGATAGAATCTTACAAACTATGATGCGACTCCATAGTGTCTCAATTCACATCAACGCTTAATGGGGGAAGGGGGTGGGTTTACCTATAATTTTGCATATGTTAACAGGAAATGTTGGAGAGGGGTCCAGGTATACTCAAAATCTGACATCATCACCAGTAAGATTTTAAAAATTATATTTATAATTACATTCAGCTCCTATACCAAAAAACAAAAAGCATCAGAATCGTGGACATTTACCATTAGAATGAATTTCTAATGTACCAGTGTATACTTATCGATAAAAACTATTAAGTTTGATTTTTTATCATGGCAGATCCAATTTTACGTTTGTTGTTTACCAAATAGTTATTGTCAGGCTGTCTGTTTGATCATAAGGCTTTCAAAAAACTTTTTGTCATAATTTTGTTTTATAATATCATGCAATGTCTCTAAATGGCTTGCTTTTTGATAAAAGATTAAGGTACTGGTTACAATCACAATTAAAACCAAAGTAGGTATACAGTGAAAAGACAAGGCCACTGAAGTTTAAGGTTACGGTAAACGTTTTGAACACGAAAATTGGTTTTTCCTTCCTAAAGGCCAAACGGCTCAAGAAATCTGGATAAACTATATATCATTCGATGCACAAGATTATGGCGTATCTAGCCAGATAACAATTATTGGCAAATAATGTTAAATGTTATTTTCCATGCGAATTTACTTGTCAAAAAGTGTACCACCTTCAAAAGCTATTATGTACCCTTGCATTTGAGGTAACAAAATCTGACTTAGACCAGCAGGAAGTGCAGGTCCTAAGCTACCAAAGTGTGTCTCAGATTTTTTAAATTCCTCCTCTTTATGAAACTATACCCTGTCAAAAATTGGCAAATAATTTTTCCACCCTCCCGCAGCTGTATTTGGGTATAAAAGACGGACCAGAGAAAATAAAAAAATTTTGAGACACACTTTGTTTGCCCAACGTCTGCCCTGGCCGTGTGCAAATTTTCGAGCCATTCGATTGGTTCCTTGGGTACATAATAGCTTTTTCGTACCTGAATGTAGAGGAATTTCGAGTCCGGAGAAAACGGGATTTTACTGATCGCACTTGCAAGATACACTCGTAAACCACAGTGTAATCCGGGTCAAGTCACTTGAAGATTTAAGATCAATAAGCCTGTTTAAATAAACACGGCCGTACATTGGATATATGGATGTGCCATGCGATATTGTAAATGAGACATGCGACCACAACCGCAAAGCAACGATAATCGGCTTAACAGGTCAAGAGATTTTCAGGCCTCAACTAAAAGTTTTGATAAAGAAATTATGGAAACCTTCGGTTACATGGGATTTTTTCCACTTTCAAAATTTCTGTTTGTTTCAAATTTGGTATCATTGTGTGCCTTGAAAGTTCGGCTACTTGAATGTGAAAAAATCGAAAAAATGATGTTTTCATCAAGAAAACGTTTACCGTAACCTTAAACTGAACATGAGTTAAAAGGAACACATAACAAACATAGTTTAGTGCATGTTTACAGCTGTTGTCAGTCAGGAACTTGTGGCAGAAATAAAATAATTTCTGTCCGTACTACTAGTTTTTTTCTAAATGGCTTTGAAAAAAGCAAACATTTAGTAAACTAAAGCTTTTCATCTGACACTCTTCAAAGTTTAAAACGTCAGAACATAGATCGAAAACTCTACGCTAAGAAATATATATACCCAGTTGTGGATCGAAATAGGCCAATCAGAAACACGAGCACATGACTGTAAATTTTTTTTCTGTCTCAGCTTTGCAGCGAACTTGCTTTTGTAAAACCCTCTCCTTAAGTGGTTTCAAAATATAATTCTTGAAAAAATTTTGTGCAATGCTTGACTAATTCTCTTCCAAAAAGGTAAAGACTCAATGTTATCTAATACCTATTTATTCTGCAATTTACTACCAAAGAGCTTACTCAATATCTTTGCCTACATCTAAGACAAAAGATACTGAGCAGTCTCTTACATTTTTTCATGATTTTCATAATTAGTACTTTTGTACCCATAGTGCAAGATAAAATTTGAAAAATTGAAATAACAAAAGCCACATACATTTATATTTTCTAAGACTTCTTTTGTATAAAAAAATATCAAATTGGCACAGTAGATGTTAATGGCTGACTTGCAACAATTCTTTCCTGTATTTTTTGTTCAAGCTTAAATGCATCCTTGTTTGCTTTTTTCTCAATTCTTCTGTTTCTTCTTTCTTCCTTAACTGCCTGTTTCCTTGTTTTCTTTTCTTCTTTACTTTCTTCCTTCTTACGGGCATAGTTCATACTGCAGATTGTTTCTGAATGTATCTCTTCGTCTTTATTTCCCTGGTATTGCTTCTTCAACACATCTGATGGTATTCCTAGCTTCTTTGTTAATTTTATTGGCTTTGGTTCTGTAATAAGTTTTGGGTGGTTATATAAGTTTGAGTATGTACTTATGATTGATTCACAATCCCATTTTTCTCTCTCTGGCTCTTTAAATTTTTCAAATTCTTCTTCACTCTCTTTGCCATTATTTTCAGGATCAACAAATGTATGGATCGGATCTGAATCTTCAAGGGACTGCTTACTTTGTCCTTTGTTAAAATCAGAGATAGCTTGATCAACTAATAATTTTTCTTCATTCATTATTTCATTTGCATCATCATTATTATCATCTTCAAGGCCCCCAATGTCATCATCATCATATTCTTCCATAATTTTCTCAAACTGGTCATCAAGTAATTGTAAACCTTGGGTCCTCCGAATGACAGAGGAAGTCATAGAATAGCTTGTGAATCTTGACTTTGTTTCTTCATTTTCAAAATCCTCCACAGAACCATCCCCAATTATGAAATCATCTGAGCCAAACTCTCTGTCTGAATATGAACCATCAGATTCACCGTCATAATACTTATTTGACAGATAATCTCCAGAAGTTCCGTCTTCACAATTAGCATGTAACATGAAATCATCCTCCAAAACATTGTCTGGATCATCCATGTCCAAACCATCATCAAGTGCTGCAACTATATCTGGATCCCAATCTGGCTGTGGACCACGAGGAAGTACCCCCTTCTCAAGCATACCTTCAGGTTCTTCATATTCTGAAGCAAATGCATCTTTTGGAAACAAAATCCCACCAAACTCTTTTGAAACAGTGTCTGTTGATGTTGATGGACCAGTTTCATCTGCCATCAAAAGAACACCATCACCACGTGGCTTCAAATGTTGCATGTAATCATACTCATCATCAAAGAAAACCCCATGTTTTTTCAATTCTTCTTTTTGACCATCTGGCTTCTCAGCTGGATGAAGAACGAATTCTGAAGCATCAGGGTCAGCTTGTAGTGGATCTCTTTGATCTCTGTGAACCAAATGAAACCGAACAGAGCGCTTCTTGTCAATAAAAGGCTTCTTATTCTTCCCCATTGCTGGAAAATTGCGTGATGGACAACAAAGTCTTGTGACAAAATTTACTCCACGTGGAAAGCAGAATTCGCGACAACCTGTTTCTTCGAGCTTTTGTTCTAAAGGAAGTTTATTAGTACTTTAATTTCGATCTGATTTGCTACAGGCAGCGACTTGTCCCTTCCCTTTAGACCTTACGTCACTATTTACTGACTGCACGACCAAAACCTGTCCGCCATGACACTTTCACGAGGATGAAGAGAGCCTCGTTTCGGATAATTGATCCCCTTGTAATACTTTACAGACCAAGGAAGCCAGAAATGATTTGAACCGCTCTCATCACAGCACACATTCAAAATTTTTGAAAATTTGACTGTCATTTTTTGAAAATCTTCGTGATTACACCCATCAAACTAAATGTATGTGAAACTATCGAATTACACCAGGTCTCATCCAAGTTTTATGTGTCTACGGGTAGTTGCTGCAATTTTGCTTTTTCAATACCAAATCTCTTCAATTCAGTTTTATCACTGCACAATTACGATTTATCACTGCACGTAAATTTAAACCCTGACGGTACGGGGGGTTTGGGAGCTAAAACCCCCACTTTATGCAGAAAATACAAAATAGTAAGAAAGGAACCACCAGCAAAGGCTTTTTTTATTCGGTTTTGGCCCCAACTTTTTTTAGACCCCCCACTTTCCAAAGCAATAAAACATATCAGAAAAAACTGCATTTTGAACATGTTTACAAAACTCTGTAATGAAAAATCAAGTCGCCGTAATCGTTAGCGCTTTCGGAAGTAATGGAATAAGTACCCTGGGTACCAGACTCACTATGTAAAATAATAATAGTGAGTCTGGTACCCAGGGTATGGAATAAGGTAAAAAACCTGTTGTGCGAAAACACAAAAAGTGACAAGAACAGTAAAAGCGTAGTTTCTCAAAGCAAAGGGCAGTGGCGGACTGGCAGGGATGCTAGGTTGCGATCGCAACCCGGGCCCTCCCAACTTCATAATAACCGGGCCCTCCGTAGGTAAATTCGAGAAAATAACTCAGTTAATTTCAAAGATATCTATGTTCAAGAGAATACAAGTCACAGAAATGAAGATAAAATCCTTAGAAAGAAAACATTTCAATATTGCTTACCAGGGGCGTTGTGGCTAAGCGGGACATCGGGAAATTTCTCGGTGGGCCCCTTTCAAGTGATTTTGTAAAACCCAGGAAAATATTTAATATGAACAAAATCTTTGGTGAGAAAACGTCTCACTTACATGTATATTCAAGTTCACAGTTCAGAATTAGAGGAGGTCAACATTTACAAACAGGCAACTGTGAAAGTAATACGTGGAATATGAACAGGGCTTCCGAGAGGAGGACAAGGAGGGGCAAACTGTCCCGGGGCCTCGAGGTCTAGGGGCCCTCTTAAAGCAAGGAATTCCAATTTAAGAACTGAATTTTAACGAACGCAACAAAGTATGCCGAAAAAGTTGTAAAACGAGGTAAACGACTGTAAAAAACATTCTGAAACGTGTTTCAAGCTAGTTTATAGGGCAAGGCCGAACAAATTTTCTGCTCGCTTCGCTCGCAGTGCATATAGGTCTTCTGCTGCATTTTGTTAGTATTAACTGTGCACTACAGCATTGGATTTGTTCCCCATTTTTTGCAGTCTTAAAGTAACTATGGTTAGAGAAAGGGGGCTACACCCCAACAAATATAGCAGAAGCACCTTTGAAAATGACAAAAACTGGTATCTTTTTAATATTTTTTTTCATAGGTGCATGGTTTCCAGGTAAATATCATTTTTGGCGACTTGGGTTTGTGATTTGAGATATCATACACAAGCGTGGGCCCCCTTATGATAATTTTTTCCTGGCCCTTTCCTAGAAGCCACAACGCCCCTGTTGCTTACATTATACGTAGTACGGGCCCCTTTTCTGCATATAGCAACCCGAGAGATTTGCTGCCAGTCCGCCTCTGGCTAAGGGCTCGAGAAAGAGAATGGAAGAGTGCTCTACGCCGAGCATCGATGACAACAGCAGCGTACATTTGTTGAATCTGGCTGTACAAGCACTCTGCAGAAAGTGAGACGATGAGAAATGGACTTTGTGACGTTCAAGGTCTCTACAATTTCACTGAGGCAAGCCCCCAACGACATGAAACTTAGGCTGACTCCAAGAAAAAAGTTGATGAACATGAGCCGTCATATAAGTTAAAAGGGCAAAGCGAAGCGCGTTGGGGTTGGGCATGTCGATGGAAGTCAGTGAAGGCAGTCGACTGGACCTTGCAAAGACTGAGATCCAAAAACCCATCGAGAAAGCAAGCTCTATTTAATTGTTTCAACCATGTAATGGATATTTCCGTTGCTGCCGAGTGACGCCGGCACGGGTCGTCCGATCCTGATGTCATCAAGAAGAGAAAGAAAGAGACTCGCGACCCTAAACCTCGCGACTCTGAATGTCAGGGGATGTGCCTCCCAAATCAAAAGGAACCACCTCTTCAAGGTTATGGAAAATAGAAATCTGGCATGCCTCGGTATAACAGAAACAAAGATGAAGGAATCCCTGATTGAAGATGAAGGACCATTCAAACTGATAATCATGCCATCTACCTCGATTCACCATGGGGTAGGATTTGGTGTCCGAAAAGAACTGGCAGGCCCCTGGAGAAGCATTTCGAACAGGGTGGGAGCACTGAATCTAAAGATGCCAAATCTCGAGGCTAACATTATAGTAGTCTATGCTCCAACATCACCAGTCTGTGAAAAGCATCCGGAAGAAAGAGAAAAGTTCTACAAGGACATAAAAGAAGCTTGGGCAAAAGACAAAGTCAACATCCTGCTAGGAGACTTCAACTCCAAGGTTGGAAGACGATGTGATGATTACCCAAAAAATGCTGGCTCCTTCTCGATGGGCACTAGAAATGAAGGAGGGGCCTCTCTCCTAAGTTTTGCCCAAAGAAAAGACATGATCTTGACTAACACCTTGTTCAAGAAGAAGTTTGGAATGAGAGCTACCTGGTGTGGGCAAGTAGGGGCCAAAAAGATCTACAATCAAATAGACTACATCTTGGTCCCCAACAAATGCAGACACCTGATCACAAACAGTGAAAGTTACAACACCCGAGATGTTGAAACAGATCACAGACTGGTAGTTACAAGCCTGCAGATGAAAAACACACCAGGTAAAAAGAAGAGATGGTTCCAGACTAGCTCGAAACCAGACCTGGATGCACTTCAAGATCCATCAGTGTGTGAAAACCTGAAGGAGAGGGTCTTTGAGTACAAGGAAGGTCACGAGGAAGAGGGTCTGTCAAATCTAAGGATGGCCTTGAAGGAAGGAATGAAAACCCTGCCAAAAAGAAAGCCAATCCAAAGACTCCAGGAGACCCCCATGTGCTCTGAGATCGAGAAGCTGTATCAAGAAAAGAATGAGATCCACAGAAGGATAAAGCAGCACAACACCAAAGCTGAAACAAAATCGAACTTGAGAACAGAAAGAAACCTGATGAACAAGAGACTAAAACATCTAACCCGAGAGCGAGCGATATGGAGAATTGAACAAAAAATCGAAGTTCTCGAGGAAAGGTCGGATGAAGGCCTTGCTTTCGAAGTGATAAAAATGCTCAAGAGAAGAGAAAAAATCCCCAAAACCATCAAACTCCACTCAGGGGAAGAAACGGATGACCAACAAGCAATGGAGAAAGAACTAAGAAGACATTTCAACGAGGTCTTCTACAAGGATAAGGAGGAGGAAGATGATGAAGAAATGCCTGAACCACTAAGCAAGCCCATCACAGCAGCCGAAGTGGAGGCAGCCATCACAAAGCTCAAAAACGGAAAGGCTAGCGGCCCAGATGAAATACCGGCCGAGGTTCTAAAGGCTCTCAAGCATCAGATTGCGGAAGAACTGGCGGTCATCATGAATAAGCACTTTGAAACTGGGGCCGAATTCGAAATTGGAGATGGAATGCTGGTACCCCTACGGAAGCCAGGAAAATCAAACGAGGCGGCAAACTTCCGGCCAGTGATTCTCCTGGACACGGTGCGGAAGGTGTTCGCGAACGTCGTACTGGCCCGGATAAGACCCAAGATTGAAAACTTCCTCCCGTCGAGCCAAACCGCCTACCGCTCAAATCACTCAACTGCCGAGAACGTCTTCGCTACCAAATACATTCACTCTATATGCCAGCATTTCGGCGAGGAGTATGAGATGTTGGCGCTGGATTTGTCAAAGGCGTTCGACACGATGGCACGCTCGAAATTGCTGAACGTCATGGCCGGACTGGTGGACGCCGACGAGCTGAGACTGATTCGCAAACACCTGAGGAATACGAGGCTAAAGGTGAAGATCGGGAAAGACTCCACATGGTTCAGCACGAACACAGGAACTCCCCAAGGAGATGCCCTATCACCGACGCTTTTCACCGTATACCTTGAGGCGGCCCTCGCAGAGCTGCGCAGCGCGGTTCCCAAGTTCGAAGAGGTTGTCGAGATGTGTTACAGTGACGACACAAACTTCATCTCGAAAGACCCGCGAATCATTGACGACATCGAAACGAAGGCGGCCCAGGTTCTCGGACGTTTTGACTTGGTGGTCAACGCGCAGAAGACGGAGAGACACAAGATAGACAAGGAAAGAAATGATCAAATCAAGATCCTCGGCTCCTTCACTGATATCAAGAAAGAGATGAAGAACAGAAAACAAATGGCACAAGCCGCTTTCTCGCATCACCACCACGTGCTGACAAATGAAAAGCTCGCTGCAAGCACAAGAATCCGAGCCTTCAACGTGTACGTGAAGCCGGTTCTACTGTACAATTGCCAAACATGGGACCTCGGTGAGGCAGATCGCGACGCGCTGGACGCCTGCCACAGAAGGCTCCTGCGGAGAGTGCTACGTGTTTTCTACCCAGCAAAGCTGCCTAACGACGAAGTGTATCGTCGCGCGGGTGTGGAGAAAGTGTCGACAGAGGTGGACCGGCGAAGATGGGCTTTCGTCGGGCATACCCTGCGACACGGGGGCCCCGCCCGCGCGGCGATGGAGATGTACGAGGAAACTGCCAAGGGCAAGAAAAGACGAAGGGGGCGGCCCGCGCACAACATCGCGCAGACCGTCTCAAAAGACATGGCGCAGAAAAACTGCACAGCGAAGGACGCCCAGGACCGGGCACTCTGGAGGCAGGCCAAAAAAGAAGAGCCACGAAGATCCAGCCGTAGCAGAAAGGGCCAAAGGCAGAAAGATCCCGACTTCATGTACTAACTCTCTTTTCTTCTCTCTTCTTTTTCGGAAGTTTTATTTTTATTTTTGTAAAAATCACAACTTGTCACCGAACCCAATGAATGAATGTAATGGATAAAGTCTTGGACCATGATATTTTGTTTACTTTGGGAAATGACGTAACGGAGGCATCTGAGTCCCTCAGGAAAAATCTGCTACGGGACCTCTATTTACAGACTGCAAGAAGATCCTATTCAAAGGTGTAGACTGTAGAGCATGTCAATCACACAAGCAAATTGTAAATTTTGTTCGATAGATTGGGGGAGCTGTACAGCCATTTCTTAATATTCCTTATATATACCAGAACTTTGAAGGCCTACCATCATTATGGTGTCAAATAGCTGCTTTCCTTGTTTGGTGGTCGTTGATTTATTCTAGAGCCTCGTACCTGTCTCTGTCTGTGACTTCTATGATATGACAAAGGATACAAATTCTAATGCAAACGGAACAAAGATTGCTGAAAGAATTTATATCTATGGCTTTTCTTGCTAAAATTGTAAAACCGGTTTCACATAAAATTGTATATAAAATTTATGATCTTCTATCTTGAATTTGCCGAATAAAGAGCTTGCAAACCTGTATGACTTGGACACTTTATCGTTTGTGGATTGATTTTTATCCTTTGAAATACCTTCTTGGCTTACAAATTTAGGGAAATACAATATTTATATTTAGGGAAATACGATAAGTTACCATACTCTCCAAGACTTTTTTACTCTTAATACTTTAGAAAAGGGAATTCGGTTTCGTTTCCAGAAAGTCATTATTTCACAAACTTTCATTTAATCTTCGATTGCCTGAAAAAGCCTTAAATGAATGATTCTCTAAATTTTAAATAATTTCCTATCTTCTTTGAATGACTTTCAATCCTAAACAGACACAGATTGACATTATCTTGTTAAGACTTGTCTTAACTGCTTGGTGTAATTGAAAGAGAGAATTTAGCTGAAATGGAAATTTTGCCAAGCATCCTAAAAATAACCACATGTCATCCTTGACCTTTTGGTAAATGACAGTAAATAAGGTAAATTTTCAAAGTTGCGTCATCAAATATTGAATTTTGTTGTGGGTGGAAAGCTGGACTAACAGGTGCGTATCAGGGTGATTCTAGCAACGGGGCACCTCTAAAAACATAGTAACTTCATTTCATTTCATGTAGATTCTCAACTTTTAACAACGTTAGTCAAGTTTTAACAAAAGGCAATAATCTAATAAGTTACATAATTGATACAATAGGGTAAGTCAAATATATAAGTTGAAGACAGGGCCTCCGATGAAGGGGGGGGGGGGGGGCCGGGGGGTCTTGCCCCCCCCACTTTTTTGCAAAATAATAGAGTTTTTTCAAAATCTTTTGTAATGGGTGTTAAATTTTCCCTTGGCCCCCCCCCACTTTTCAACCTTTGTCGGAGCCCATGAAAGAGGATACACGAAAAGAACTCTGGAAGATCTTTCGAGCCATGTGACTTCGTTTACAACAAGAAGATATCTTTTAAATATACATCATATTTTTTGTAAGGTTTACCAAATAACAACTTAAGGTAATAGACGCCATTTTGCTTATGCAACATGGATTTCTGAGCCTGTCGACTATAAAAGCCAAGGGTATTAATATTTGACGACTCGTACGACTCACAAAACCTACTCTAATTTGCTTTAGGCTTGATTCATATTAAAAGAAGCCCTCAAACGGAAAGGATAGGGGGCTATGATTTGTGAATAATTTATAGCCAGATTTTTTCTACCCTAGGCTTTCTCAACTTTGGAGTGTAAGGCGCCGCTCTTGCTTATTTTTTGTCTCCAGAATTAGGATTTGCTGTGAGACGTACACCCACGAAACCAACTATTTCTTTCGAAGTACATTGTTTATTAGGTCCAGGTTCAATGAAAAAAGGCTGCTTTGCTGTTGCTCATAGTAACTAAAAAAAATACAGTCTTCTAGATTAAAGTTGGATTGCACGCTGAGCTTGAATTCGATTATATCAATCTTTTAAATTTGGGGAGACGCCTTACTTAATTCCTAAGAGTCTTCAAGAATTTATCTTCAGATAAAAACATAGATCTTTTCGGCTGCCTACATCAAAACAAATATTTAGGACAATGACAGCAAAATCAAAATCCATTTTCTATCCCATTGATTTATTTGGGTAGATGAACATAGTAGACTTGAACATAAGCGACTGTCATTACGAAAATGCTTTAGAGTATAATCTTTGTTTGCTTATGATCAAGGGGCATCAAAATAAGAGACGGGGCTGTCCAAAGCATTTCCCCCTAAACTTAACATGAATACTCCATTAAGCCCATTATTTCGGGGGGGGGGTCTTTTTTCAGTCCTAGAGGGGGGCTTAAAAGGAAAGGGGCTTATAACAGAGGGGGTCTATTAAATATTTGAAGTAAAAATATCTTAAAAATGCCCTTAACCATTTTTTGATATAAAAATTTCATAAAAATGTTCTAAAAAAATTTTGCTAGCAGCTTCGAAAGTTGATTTTATTTAATCAGTTTAAAGGATTTCATCTTTATCAGAATCACCAAGATCGATTGGTAACCCTTGGACATCTTCTAAACAAATTTCGACTGACTTCTAAGGCGCACAAGCAAGTTCTTATATGGACCGTATTTTATGCAAAAGACTGTATTTATCTACACGGGGGCTTGATAGAAAGGAGGAGGCTTATTTGAATTTTTTGCTTGATAAGGGGGGGGGGTGTTAATAGAGATGGGGCTCAAAAGAGCTTTTACAGTTTGTGATAAATGCAAATAATTACTTTTTGTTTTTTTAATTTATTTTCGTTTGTAGATAAGAGATCTAGAAGTTGAAATTACACATCAGTTTTTCCTAATGTTTGAAATTTATTACTAATTCATTTTTTATCTCTTCTGGAATTTACATTTAGAAAAATTAAAAAATAGGCTAAACTTGGAGGCGAGGAGGGCGACGGCCCCCCCAATACTTTAGAGGACAATGGTATTTTGCTCGAAAACAATGGGAAATGTGACGTCATCTTGGTAAAAACAATAGGCTTTCCCCCCCAATATTTGACCAAGTGTCCGCCCCTGCTTGCCAACACATAGATAATAGATAAATGACCACAGAGCAGGTTGTTTTTTGCAAACAGGGTCACATTCCCCCCGTTATGTTCCACGTTTTAGGCGGTTCGAAGGATTTGTTGTTTGTGTAGCCTCGTTCACGTACAAGTAAAGATGGCGATTCTTCGCAGATGACAAAAATATTTGATACCTGCTGCAAATTTACAGAAAGACGTCAAGAAATTAATATATTGAGGACTTTAAATATGTCTTTTTTCTTTTATTTTGAGTTCACAGTCTTAATAATTGTTCTAAGTCTTAGTTGGGTAAGCGGAAATTGCGTGGAAAGGGGGAGGAATTGCTCTGCCTGTCTGAGTGATGGCATGTGTGGCTTTTGCGATTCGTGCGGAGATCACTGCCACAGACCAGGGACACTACATTGGCTAGATAACTGTACTGGATGTGCAAGCTGTATGCCTGGTACTTTAGCCGGACCACAGAAAGGATTTGAGTGTCGGAGAGAGTGGTAAGATGTATTACAACTTGGAGTATGTATTTTTTGCCTGACCTAGCGTGATGTTATGGTAGATCTAACATGATCAGTTTATGTTCAGAATTCCAATATATTCAACTAAAAAAATAATCAATTGAATAAAAGTTATGTTGCTATTAAACTTTAGCAACATAGCTTTTATTCAATCTATCTATGTTTGATAGATAAAATAATAACATCATCAGGATTAAAGAGAATCAACTGACATATTCCAATTGTTTAAGTATAATTTAAAATTCCATTCAAATTGCATTAGCATTGAGCTTTATCCAAGGGCATAGCATAACTGTATAGAGTGTCTGGTAACCAAAAGGAATTATCTTGTTATTTATTGGCAATCAAAGGGGCTGGGTCACATAACTATAAACTAACTTTTTAAGTTGGACAGACTGCGTGCCAGCCAGATTGGAATCTTTGATCAAATAAAGATTTTGTGCAGCTGAGACTAATTGCTATAAAAACACAGTATGTAACTTTTGGGTATACAATTTAGAGAAAAACATTTGTAACATCATTAGAGGTGATAAAAATAATATAGCAAAGATGAACATTTTTCATAATTCCTAAAAATAAGAATGAGAGGGACCCAACCAGATGAGAATTGTATTTCGTAAAATCATACAAGTTTTTCAACCTGGTCTACATGTCAAAGGGATTTTGTTTAACAATTATCAAAGTGGAGTACGTCTGAATGGCAGACCATGAAACCTTGATGCTTGCAGCAATGCTGCCAAGTCCAAATCATCCTTAGGCTGCGTTGAAACTGCAATCAAAGTGCCTCCAGTTGCTATCAAATAATTTCTATAGAAATCTATTGTAGTGTTCAAATTGGCAATATAAAAATAGTTTATGCGATTTTGCTTGTCGGTTAGCTGCCAGGTTAGTTACAAGCATGTTCAGGCAAGGAGTCACTCACTGCAATCTATAAATTTAAAAAGCTGCAAATGATTATGACTCTCTTTAAACTTTCAGGTAATGTCTGCCACAAGTTTTGTCCCAAATATCTCACATTTTCTCAACCATAAGTTGTTGTCATGGGTATTCTTATTTAGCAAATCACACTGTTCGTATCTTGCCTAGAAAATATAACTCATGAAACTAGGATGCAAATCATTTTTATAAACAAGACATATTAAGTGATTTTAGTGGGAAAGATCATGAAATGAAGCCCTTGACAATTTCCAGCAATGTCTTACAAACTCTTTTGTATCAGCAAGTTTATCCATGTAATTATTTTGATTAGTGAATCAGCACTGATTTGTTGTTGCGATGGAAATATATTCTAGCATGTGATCAGTTACAAACAAGCAATCATAAATTGGTGATGCAAAACTAGCCAATAACGTCTAAAATCTTCAAATCAAAAAATATTGGAGCTTCAAATTGAATTTTTAAAAATCTGAATATTAAAATAAAAACACATAAAAGAAGCAGATAAAATTACTTGTTTTATGAGCACACCCAAAAAGAGTGAGGCACGCCCTTTTTGTCAGCAAAAAGCAATACTGTACCCATTTTTGGCTTTGCCCCTGTTGCCTGCCCACCTTTTCAGTGCTGGCTTTGTGCCTTAGCAGGAGGAGGAGAAAGGAGAAGAAGCAGCATTATAAGAAAATATTATCAAAATAGAAATAAGATCTGAAATTCTTTTCTTGTTTGCTGAGCTTGTAATGAACTGGTGAACATGGTATACCAGTATATCATTAGTTTCTGTTTGTTAGCAGATTAATTTCTTTTCAATTTATAACATACAAAACATTTTTACATTAATTGCAGATTGGAGTGATATACTAAAAATGAAAAATGTGAAAATATATATTGTAAAATTGATCTTAGTAAAATTGAATTCTTGTGAGAAGGTTTCATTTTTAATTGATCAAAGTTCCAAAATGAATGGGTGGATTTATTTATTTTAAAGCATTCCGATAAAATTTTTCAACATTGCAGGTATTACTATGAAAAATGTCCTGAAGAAGTTAGTGAGCACAAAACAGTTTATGTTGGTATTGCCCTCTACTTGATGAATTTGCACTCAGTTGATCTGAAATCTGGCACATTTCATGCTGACTTTTACTTATATTTCAAAGGTTTGTAATAAGATTTGAAATGCCCTTATTATGCCAAAAATAGGTATCAAATAATTTTGCAATATTCTCTCTTCATATGCTATCCCCTTTTTTGAGGTTTCAACGATTTCTTTTAGTTATTTTGTCAACCAGACACATCCTTCTAGTGAGTCACTATAGTTTTAAAAGAACTTTTAGTACCTCAGAAGTTAAAAGACTAATCTATTTCAAAGAGAACACAAGAAGAAATGTTGAGGCTTAGTGCTTATCTCATCACAAATATTTCTGTTATTGAAAAGAATATGTCCTACTTCTGTTTTTGCATGTTGTACTTATTGCATGCTGGATTGAATATTTGTAGATTGAGACATAAATGTGCATATCTAATAGACCATGTTGTACAAAGAACAGGATGGCAAATTATAAGTGCCTTCTTCTATGTACAAAAGCACTCCTTTATATATGTGACATAAGAAAGTATACTACAGATTCCTAAATACAACAATTTCTGTTTTTATAAATTATTTCAGGCTTTTTATTGTCAGACACTTGATATGTATAGCATCTAAGTTATAATTATGTTATGATGTTTATGAATTTTAATGCATTTCCATTGTTATATTTTCAAAGATTTTATAAATTTATCTTGTTTTGTGTTTTAGTCCCACCTGGACAGACAATGTATACAAAGCAGAAATGCAAAGGAGGTCTAAATGGTGTTTGCTTTGAGCTGGTAAATGCTGCTGGTGTAGCAGAGGTAGACATTATTCTCTTTCTTTCATGGTGTCAGTTAATAGTAATTTCAGAAGATATTGTACACAAGCCCTGTAACATCTCAAAATTTGTGTTTGCCATATCTTGCTGTAGCAGTCAATATTGAGTAGTCAAAACATTGTTGCATTCATGTTGTGCAAAAAAGTAAACCATGCTGTGTATGTGTTAAGCTTTCATAGTTTCATACGTTTTAAAAGAGAAAACTGTTGCACAAATAATGAGAAAATCATATTGAAAAAGATTGTTAAAAATTGCCTTTTTAGAAAAGCTTTCATTACTTCCGAGAATCACTTATTGTCCACAGGTGTTCCTTAGAACCCTACTAAATTTAGATTCGCCCACACAGATAAACATTTTTAAAATGAATGATTTTCATAGCTGTTGTGTTTGGTCAAATTTCTAAGTTTTTGAGAAGTATTTTAATCACAGAAAATGTCTCACTAAAGGCAACTATTCTGTTTGTTATCAACACTAAACATATTGTGATTGTAGAATGGCAAAATTGGAAATTTTTCACAGAAACGCCATAGAGAGCCAACAAAAATGATATCCAGTATCATTGGACAGATAAGTAACACCTGCAAGCCAAGTGTCTCACCTTAGTAACTGTTACAATCACCCTGAAAGAAATTGGTCTTCATAGTATTTTCCAAAGTGATTAAGTTAAATTCTCTAGACATTTGAGACTTCTGTCATCTTTTATTTTATTTGAGTTGTGATACCTAACTGTTATTTTCGGTCCAGGTTACAAGCCATGAAGGAAAGTATTTCAGGGTGAAATCAAAGTTCAATTTTGCAGCTGATCTTGCAGATTACCCGTAAGCCATTTTCCTACAGATCAATCTATTGTGCTCAATTTGAAGTTCCCTAATGCTAAGCCGAGGTAAACTGTTTCATTAGTCTTGCTGCTTCCCTCCTGTCGCGTTGATCACAAATAATTTTCTTATGAGCTGAATTTCCCACGATTCCATCATCCATCGAAGTAAGCAGATTTCTTTTTCACAGTGGCAGTCCTTGTAGCCAGCTTCTATGCTGGGTTTTGGGGGTTTAGGATTAGGATGAATGTGGAAAAGGTAAATATATGTTGTTAAAATTTTCAGAGTTTGCAGAGAGATTTCAAGAAAATCCAAATTATACCAGCAAAATAATTTCTTAAATTATTACTGCAAGTGATGATCCGCCCTTTTGAAATTTATGAAAAATAAATAATGATTTTCTAAAAAGCGCTTTAAATTAAGTTTTTGCGGAATCATTAAATGCGGTACTTTGATCTGAGAGAAAAATTCTCTATCATTTGATTTTTTTAGAATTCCGCTATAAAGTTACAATACATACTACAGACACACTCCTAACAAAAACTACTATACAACAGTAGAGAAAACGATACCCCGAGGAGCAAAAGGCCGTTACTACCCTGGGGCCATTACATAAAGTTAAAACTACAATTGATTGTCTCAAATCATTTAATATGTTCCTAGAAATGAAAAAGATTTGAACCTATACATATAATTTATAATCTATATATTTTGTTCTGGAGGTTCTCCAGTAGGATTTTGTAGTTTCTAGAGCAGCGGTTTCTTTTTGTCTATGCAATTATCATAGGCTTTCTTCAGCAGATTTATCGTTCACCAGGTTTGACAACCAGACTCTGAAAATCGAAATTCAGGACATGGAAATGACAGCCAAGGAGCTGAGGTGGAAAATCCTTAAAGTGAGTCTCTTGAAATACTAATTACCTATTTCTTGATATTTTGTTAAGCGTTCTAAGTTCGGGTTAGGGGTGGAGCGTGCTGGGGGGAGATGTTAGGGAGAAGATGTTGAGAGACGTTAGTGTAGGTGGTTTTTGACGTCACTGCTGGGTGTGATGTTGTAATTGAGATGTTGGCAAGGGCAGGCTGCCTGTCAACCCAACTTTGGGTTTGTGTTCATATCTTTGAATCGTGTTCACTGTGTGCTGTTATTGTTTCTGCTGCGATTCTTGATCTATTCTTTGTGAAAGGCTATCAAAAATGGATGTTCCAGAGTGTTCAAAGTATTTTGTGTTTGCCCAAGTAGGACGTCGTTACGTAGTCCATTGCGTTACAGTGTTGCTGCATGGTCCAGCATTTTCTGGCGTGAAAGCGATCTGCTATGGATTGAATCTGCAGATTTGCAAGCAAGCATTTATTACCACAGTCTTTGCTTTAATATTCAGTGTTTGATGTACTTGACTGGAAATTTGGCATACTTTATTTTAGATCGATTATAAAGATACATTAAAATATTGAATTATAAATGCGACAAATTTAAAAATACATTAAGATATCAAATTTGAAATTACGCCAAGAAGTAAAATATTTTTTAAGTTTTAAATAATTCCTGTACTGCTTCAAATTCAATTTAGAAAAAACTTTTAAATTGAATGCAATTCTATGTTATGGAATAAAATTATTAGATGATTTATGTTAAAGTCAAATATTTAAGTAAACTGTAGTAATTTAACAAACACTCAATACTTTGAGGCCCCACATCATATAACCACATTATCATAATCATAGTCATAAAACAAAGCATGGACCCACATAAGGTAATTGAAAGTCTATTTGATTGGCTTGCTTTGATTAACCTGTGTTCTCTATTCTTGATAAACCATCTGCAATTAAACAAATCCCTTGAAGGCATCAGTAAAGCGGTTCCAAAAATCTAAATCCTTTTAGCGATGCTTTTAAAGATTTAATTGCTATAAATAACACTTAAATGCTTGTAAGTCGATTTGTAAATTTCAACTTTTTAGGGCTCAACAGAAGACGACAGACCTTTCAAGTTTCATAGTGGTATTTCCCCATCCCTAAAATACACCGGATGGGTTTTCGACACTTACTCGTGGTCACAAATCATTTACGAAAGGTTGTTAAACTAATTCTTCTCATGATTTAATGATAAATAAAGACCATTGCTAAAGTTATTATAAACTATAAATTGAGATGTAGATTTTGTCAATCAAGAAATCCTGTCAGGTGTATAGCATCCAAAGGTAACGGGTAATGATAACAGATATTACTAAGTTAAGCAAAAGATTTTCTAATGTCATATTTTGTTGCTTTACCCTAGAATTTCAGTCCTTCCAATACCTCAAATTATCTTCAACCCTTCTAAGTCCTTCCATAAAATTTTCTCTTAAAAAGACCAAGAAAGCTAATTTGCTTAAAAGGCAGATCTGAGTAAGAACCTAAGAAAATGTAAGATCGACGTAAAACAAAATATGTATCTATACCCTGTAGATAGAAACAAGGCGGCAATATAGCTTCAGAAGTATTTTTTATTAAAAAAGTTCAGTTACATTTCACTTAAAAGGCTTTATTCAAGAAAAGCCTTCTTAATTTGAACTTGTGATTCTTTCTTAAGCAAAATTTTGAATACCTTCGATAGAAAATTGCTAGAAAAGCAAATTATTTTGAAATAATATGTTTTAAAAAGCACATTCTGCTAGACTGTTAGTGATAGTGATGTCTTATTGAGGAACTGAAACCGCGGTAGCAGAGATAGGGCCTTGGTCGCTAAGCCCCCAATAAGTACCAAGATGTAGTTAAAACTGTGGACTGAATCGTGTTCCCCTTGGTTGTTGTCAAATTGAAAACCTTTCAGCCACTCCTTCCTAAATAGAACATTTTTTTCGTGGTCACTGCTGTTAATCCCAATGTCTTGCAAGGTTGCATAATATTCCTAAAAAGTGGGATCGTTTCGTATGCTTCCTATTGCAAGTTTGAAACGAAAATGTGGTAATTAGAAGCTTGCTGTTAGAAGGAGGTAGAAGTCGCTGGCACATGTTTCGATAAGAAAGAACTGAGATACCTGCAGACGTAATGAAACCTTATACGAAGAGATCTTCTTTGTTGAGGGACCTTGATTTGTTGTCTAACGCTGAAGGAACCATCGGAGTTGAAAAAGGTATTACGATATAAGGAACAATATAGTACTTTGCTTTACAATTGTTTAAACTAACCATTTGAAGACAGTTTCTTCAATATAAGGACATGTTATACCTTCGTTGCAAGACGTTTCTCTAATATTTTTATTAATCGATATAATTCCGTTAATATAAGGTGCACATTCTTTTCTTCGTTATGTTTTGACTAGAGCTGCACTAGATGTTTTATCTAGTATCATTTAGATAAAGCTGTATATTTTTTCCTGTAGGTACAACCCCTTTCTAGACCAGGGTGTATCTAGATATGCCTTTATGATCCACATGAACCGTCCAAAACGTGCTGGATTTTTCAAAATTTTTCTACCGCCAATATTCGCAGTCTTAGTGGTGAGTATGTAAATTTTGCAACATAATTTGCTCATTCTCACTAACGGATACCCTTTTAATCAATTGAAATCGCCATTTTGTACCAGTACATTGTCGATTAGTTTGTCGTGTGATTTTTTTCTTTACCAAGTCGTATTGTACTGACAAAGGATTCTGGGTGAACTCAAGACCTTTATTCTGTACAATTAAAATCCTTTTCAGTGCGTAAATGGAATCAATGCTAGACAAATTTGGTTGTTTTGTGAAATACTTGACTCCTATCAAGCCCAACAATGTGAGTCATCTGTCAGTTGATGTTAAAGCTAAATAGATATGGAGCCCCGCGTTTTCCCCATAACTTTCTTAGTTGCTCACATTCAGAAAAATCCAAGAAGCAAGTATTGTTCCCGTATTGTAATCTATAAGATACGCGTATATAGAGCATAGAACATACAAAACTAAGCCTTCAATAGTTGAAGAATTATGAAGATAGCAAACGTTTAGGAAAAATCAAGGTATTACTGAAAATCTGTTGAAATACAAGTAGGTGCAATCGTTAGATACAGCTAAATTATACAAGTATCAATTGTTGAGGGCCCGGAACCAATCGCGTGGGGTACAGTGCCGGTGTTAGGTGTGATCATATCCCTATTGGCATAACACATATGTTTGTTAACTACATTATTTTCATTTTCAAAGATAGATTTCTCTTTTATACAGATTTGCTTTGCATTTGCCATTCCTCCTAAAGATGCTACAATGAGAGTGTGGATTGACGGGTGAGGTCTCATTACACCATGTTACATCATTCGATAAACTGAATAATTATCGCATGGTTTTTCCTCCCTGTAAGTCTACCCTATGCCTGTCCATTGGGAGGTTGGGACTCGGGGGTAGAATTTAGCTGTTATCTTTTTTTGGTGTAGAATTCTTAGTGAAATTGCACCGAAGCGTACTGATAAGAAAGTCCAGTCAATGCAGCTAGATATTATAATGGTTGATAGGATCAAAATCCTTTTTCAATATGTATGTCTAGATTTGCATTCTGTGCAATCTGAAATGACTGCAGAGAAACAGACCTTTCATTCTCACGGCAAAAGCAAAAAACCATTTCCGTCGCTCTCAGTGGCAGACAATCTCCTACTGCTTTCCTTCATTTCTTACATTCAAAATTATTTATTTCTAAACCCGTTGACGTAGATTCTAGTTCATGTTACGGTTTCTGCCGTAAGAAACCCTGTTTTACACGGTTACAGTCGCTTCTAATGGAAACTCTTTCAAGCGCCCCAACTTTCTACACCCTGGTAGAGATTGTTGACGTTGTCGGTACCATATGGGCCAAGAGTAAATCGTATATGTGCTGACCCGAGGAAAGGCAAATGATGTCACAGATATATCCCCTAGCTGATACCCACGTTGTATTCGAGCCTGATACCACCTGTGTAAAATGGTGGCCAGAACGGAAAGCAACCGATTTTCCCAGAGATAGAGCAACTTAAATAGTAAGAGAGGTGATGAATGGCGCCTTTTTGTGGGTTATGAGAGAATTTTCTCATCGCGCAGATTTCATCTTGTCTACCCATCTAGTCTATTTGGTAGTTTTTTTTAAGTTTTTTAAGGATTTTGTAGCAAAATACTGTGATAAAGTTTTAATTTTTGATAACGGATAACTTTTCGTTTATAAAGAATTGTTGGTTAGTTTTTAAGCAAGCCCTTTTCTCTTACATATGACTCCGAACATTAATATTTGTGACATCTGATTTTTATTTTGCAATTATAGGAATTTACTCATTTCATGCGTTATGTTTCATTCGACGATGTCAGAGCAGACTCCAGACATTCAGGTAAAGTTGATTTAGTTCAACATCATCATTATAAGACCGTCATCAGCCATGATCGTCATTTATCAAACCCATCATTATCAATCATCCAGTTCATCGACAATCATTATCAATCATCTAGATCATCTACCAGCAACATAATCACTATCATACTTAGCATTATCATTATCCTGATCAGCAGCATAAATTGCCTAGTTTTGAGATACTTCTTGGCAATCTTCTCGTGTCGTTTTCTCGAGAGTGCCACTTGTATCAAGACCCATCATGTTTCTTTCAACTGTCTTAGATGCCCATCTAAGAATTTGATGTTTTGTTGTTCTCTTAGTCATCCATAAAAATCTATACCAAGAAATACTGGCATTAGACTTATTTCTTGACACCAGTTTCTACATCTTTTGTGCTGGTACATAGCCTTTCGAGAATCAAAACAAGAAGTGTCAAAGCTTCATTGACAGTAGGCCAGCCCAGACACAGCTTAGTTTCGATGTTATTTTTGTCATCACTTTAAAAGAACAAAAGCCACATTAGATAGATACAAGATTAGATACCTGGCATACCCATCTAAAGTTTTTTGGCAGGAGCCCAGCCCAGAGATAGCTAAAGTTTTTATGCTATTCATGTCTTCATGCTGACGAGATCTTTCTTCGTGCTTTGAGCTTCCCATTTTTGTGATCCTTCTTTGCCCCTGACATCTGATATGTCGAGAGACAGATTAACAGTCACAGCTTGGCAATGTTGAGTTTTTCCTGTGTTCTCTGCCTTCACCCTTCTTTCTGTTGCCCTTTCTATGCTCTTATGCACCGTAGATCTTCCGTTGCCTCTTGCATTTGTAATTCTCTCATAAACTCCAATTGACTTTTTCCCTTTCTTCAAATTTGAGCTCTCCAATTTCAAAAACATTGTGCCCTTACATGAACTGACTATTGTCCTGCTTGGACTATCCTTTTGCGATGCTTTTTCTGGACTTCCTTCAATGTCAAGCATCGTTTCATCTTGGTTTTCCCTCTCTTTGCTAAAAACAAAAATAACCTCGCATCATTTTTTCGTGAAATGCATTTTTGACCTTCGACAAAATCAGATACTTGAATTCTTTACTTTTCGAGCAGCTGTATTGCATTTTCTTGATAATATTGATAAAGAAATGTCCAACGCTTTTTATTACGATCACCAGCTTCAATTTATGATAAATTCATATCATGGTTCTTTGCTGTAACTCTTTTCTTTCATTTGGCTCTACAGGAATTGACGTTAGCTGATAAATTTATGGTTGGTGTTTATAGCTTCATATTTGTCTCCTTCATGGTAAGCATAGTTCTGCTGAAGCTGCAAAGGGAAAAACTGTACACTGTGGCAGAAATTTTCTACTTGTATGCTGAAGGTGTGGTGAGTACCAATCCAGATATTTCTAGGAAACATCATTCCAGTTATCAATTCTTGCACTAGGATGGCATTAAAACCAAATTTCAATTAAGAGACTGTTTTGAATTCCGAAAAGTTTTCTTTGTTCGAAGACCTTTTGGAAGCGCTGGAGCGGCAGTTGCCTCCTAGAGATTTTCCATCCATTGATGATCTCCACGACCTTTTGTGAATTTTTCAAAATTGTGAATTGGCAAATTGACTGCCTCTCTACCGCTCGAGAAGGATTTGTGTAGCAATTGGTCGATTGCTGTTTTATCTTCGTGAAGCAATTGGCCCATCCCTATTTAATCCTTGTGAAGCAATCTCTTTATAATCATTGTTTAATTGACCACCGCTTGATGGCAATTAAATACAGGTAAGAAGTTGCGATTAATATACCTTTCGTCGGTAATGTGTATGAGGTGCTTATGGGATTGAAGTAATCTCGGACTTTCGAAAAATCCTACCTAGAGACAATCCTACACATTCACAGCTTGTTTTATTTTAAACATGAACTATTTTACTGTACATCCTACTTTCAAAATCACAGTGTATCAATTGTTTCTCTCCATTTGAGGTTTGGTGCACAGCTCCTACTTACTTCATCCTACTCTACTACATGAGCATGGCGATCACAACTGTCCTGCTCATAGTTGCTGGGGTTGCTGTCGCAGTTACATCACTTCTATACATATACCGGGCAATTAGGTAAACCTTTAACGTTACAATATATGTTTTTATATTCTCAATAGCCTGTAATGTCTTTAAGGTTATTTTCTTGCTGTTGGCTTTTATCTCCAGGCTTCACCTTGATGGCATCCGTTTTCATGCACGGAAGTTAGGGCTAATGGTCTAAATTTGCTTTTTTGCCAAAATATTGGCATTTAAAGTAAGAGACTATTTCGCCACAAAAAAACTGGTCAATGTTCCTCGCACGTCGTAATTTCTAGGATTATTGTAGCGATGAGATTGAAAGAGTCCTCCATCTAAGACCCTCGGTTTTGTGCAAGAAACAAGGCAGGCATTGATTGTAATATAATACTTAGATATATCTAAGAAACATTAAAGGTCTCAAATTTTTGACAAATTTAGCTAAAACATATTTATTAAAAGTTTAGCAAAACCTTGCATTTGAGTAAAAGATGTAGTCTACTCTTGCTGTCTCATATGCTCGCAAGGCTCAGATGGAAAAGATAAAATCTAAGAGATTTATGCAGATGATATGAAATTACTATAGTCAGATTAAACTATGCAGAATCTTCATTAGAAGGTTTCATCTCCCCCAACACCCCCACCCCTTACCTCTGCAATCTATAGCCTGCAAGTTAAAGTGATTGTCTCTTTGGTGTCATTGCGTCTCAAGATTCCTTTCAATCATATTCTCGGGAGAGGCTGCATAAAGCATCGGGGGCCTATCAATCGCATATCGCAAAAGAAAGATGTATTTTTAAAATTTAATTTTTAACAACGTATGCATTTCAGTTATCCTATTAAGGCCCCGTTCACACGGGAATGCAATCGTTCCGTTCCGTTCTTTTCCGTTCCGAAAAGCGGAACGCTCAGGGGTTGTGTTCACACGGGAACGCTTCAAACGACATCGTTCCGTTCCAAAAAGTGGAACGATAAAATAAGTGATACGAAAAGTGGAACGGTACGCAATCGTTCCGTTCAGTTTCCGTGTGAGTGCGCAGAACTGGTCCAGAAAATGGAACGATAAGAGTTTTGCCCTTGGCGCATGCGTCTGTGTTGTTGTTGAGGGAAGGAAAAGGTGACAATAATAAACTCAGCGAAGAAAATGGAGGATTTCAAAAACACCATTTGCTGAATCTCGCCGTTAGTCCATTTAAAAGATTCAACACCATTCTGCAATCATTGAAATTCCTTCCTTTTAGGGTTGGCTTCAATTTTCCCACGAGCTTGCTTATTTTGGGGCCCCTTTGTATTCCCCATTTATTCAAATTGTTTAAAAAATTCAGAGATAGCTCAGAGATAAATCGAGATGATGAAATCTATCTCCATTATGGACATGCGCATTAAAAATCATTCGCTTATTTTGGCGCGCAAATTGCAGAACGGAACGATTGCGTTCCCGTCTGAACATAAACAAAAATCGATACGCAATCGTTCCGTTACCGTGTGAACAGTATACCTTTTCGTTCCAGAAACTGGAACAAAAATGGAACGGAACGATTGCGTTCCCGTGTGAATGATCTGTTGTTTTGTTTGAAATAAATCAGAAAAGCTTACAAGACTATGGAATAAATTTTCATGCCCAGTAGTAGAACTTTCAGAACTTTAAACGAACTTGAGAAATAATTCAAAGTTCCGGTGATTTGAATTTGAAAAAGATTTCTTTTGTAACATTCTATTGATGATGTTCAGAAAATAGTAAGTTTTGAAGAGACAATTGCTGAAAAAATTAAGCCATTTACTAGCATTAGCAGTCATTAAGTATGTGTTGTAATTTCAAGGTAAGCTAGAGTTTTTAAAAATGCAAATGGACAACAGCGCTAATACGTTTTTTAATACGAAATAATATTCTTCATTTAAGATGCCAGTGCGTTCCCTCTGGACACAAATTCAAAGAAATAGCCACAATGACGACCCAGGAAATATCTTCTATTAAAAAGAAAAGACTTGGTTACCAGCCATTAAAACAAGAGCCTGACGAACCTATGGACGTGAGTTGAGAACTAGCAGTCTATCAGTCTAGAATCAATCTACACACAAACGGAAAATCCGCAATTGTGTAGACAGAAGGAGATCGTTTTCTCTCTTGCATTCCATTGGTAAAATTTTCTCTAGGCATGCAGCACTGATTGGTCAACTATACCGGTCTTGTGCTTGCGTTTTTCTGATTGGCCTATTTCTATCCACAACTGGGTATAAAATTTCTATCGTGTTCTTTCTGACCCTCATTCTGACGTTTTATGCTCTGAGGAGTGTCAGACGAAAAAGCTTTTAGTAGTATGTTGTGAAATGTTTGCTTTTGTCAAAGCCATTTTCAACCATTAATCTATAAATCGACACCATTTCTTTCCTAATTATATGCGCACAGGATTGCAATAAGAATATTTATTATAAAAATACAATTTTAGTTTTGGACGGGAGTTTTTTCTGGAACTGTTTCTAGTTTTGCATTTTTTAGGAAACCAATTTTTCAAGGGGAAGGGCAACAATTCGAGTCATCAAATCAACGAATTTTCACAAGATTTTCTGCTTTTAAAAATCTGCCCGATCACTGAACTAACGAGATCTTTTGAGTATTTTCGTCTTCCTAATATCTTGTCGTTTTTTGACAAAGACCCACTCAGTCCAAATGAATTTGGGATGGCAAACCTACCTTACGAATTCGTAACCAACATTCAAATTTCCAAGAGACGACGAATTTTTATTTTCACTTAACTGTCCGATTTCTGGACCATTTTTGGCGAATTTTTCAACCGCCCTGAATTCGAGATATTTTAAAGCGTACGAGATATTTTATAACAATGAGATTTATAAGGATTTTTCTCCAAGGGTACGAGATTTTTGTGGAGTGATATGCCCCTCGCTTGAATTCATTTTAAAAACACGGCAGTAACGTTTTCTTTTGAAAACTTTCTTTTTATTTATTCAAAAATCTTTGAAACTACCAAATCATGTTGCAACAAAATTCATATACTACATCACACACGCGAAGCTTTTGTGGGCCTAAGAAAAAAATTGTTTTACTCACCATTGGATGCCCTTCTCCGATACTGAACGGCTTGCAAGACTTGTTTTCTGTCTCATGGAAAAACATTTATTCTCGTTTGAAAGCTGCTGTTTCGTGAACTGCAGGAGACATATGTTATCTTATAATGGCGGGGCGAGCTGTAAAGCTTTCTGTACACTTTCTCGAAACCAGCAGTGATCAAATGTCATCACTGTGGGAATTCTGGCTATGTTTTTGCAACTTGAGCGAATGGGAATAACATTGTCCCAAAGGGGTTATGCCTTTCCGTCAATAATCCCACAGGTCATTAAAGCACGAAATTATTGCCTTTGTTATTTGTCTTTTAATTGCTACTGAAGATTTTTACCGTAAGAGACTGATGTCCCAGTGGATCGATACACGAGAAGCGGGCTTCAGTTCTAATCCTGTTCTTTTTCAATTCTTTTTCAATCGATTAGTTTACTTTTGCCCTTTGAAAATTCTCATTGACAAAGTTGCTTGTCTCCTGTTGCAGGTGAAGAGCAATTTAGTGCATCGGCAGTTGTTGAAACCTTGCTTTCCTGGAGCGCCAAAAACAGCGGATGAAGATCCTTGTTCGAAGCAAATCAGCCTTCCAGATAAACATGCTTAGTTCTGAAGCTTAATAGTGAAGACTTTATGTTATGACATTCAGAAGAAATAAATTTAGATTGAAGTTAATTTACATTTTATAGATAAGACTTAGAGAAGTTAGATTTGTGATGTTTAGGAATATTATCAAATTGAATTAGGATTTGAAGCAATTTTTACTCACCAAATGGTTTATTTTCGACAGTTATTTCTACAACAGTTGAATGGCATTTAATCATGTTGATTTCTAAAGCATGAACGAATAACCCTTATTTTTAAGAAAACCGACTCTTAATCGAGAACCAACAACAAACTATCTACAGAATTAAAGCTCTTTTTGCGGTTGTCTGGTGTATGTGACATTGGTTATAAGTTAAAAGCTTCTTCTGTCCCTGATTCAACCCAGGATTTGACAAAAGATTTTCAAGTATCCTTCTATGGAAAATCACTCTTTGAAAATGGATTTTCCCCTCATTTGAAAAAAGCTCTTTTATGCCCAACAATATATTTAGCCCAAATTCGGGTTGAAAAGATTTCCTGAATAACATACAACATAGTATCAGTGTCACGTGATCTATGCTGGTATTCCCGGCTGCCCCCTTAATAATGGTAATCCCAGAGGGTCACTTTAAATTTTTATATGCGGGTTAGTCCGTCCGATATTTATTGGTAAGAATTTCTCTGTGATACCTTTCTTATACTTATGGGTCCAACTAAGAAATAAAACTATAAAAAACAGGAATAAAGAACAGATGCGTTTAAACTAATTATTATAGAAAACAGTCTAAATTTCTATGATTTGTGGTATATTATTTGCTCAACAACAAGATTTTTTATTTAGATATTTTTGGGTCTTATCAACGCTTCTGAGCTATTAATTTTGGGTCAGTAAAATTTGTTTTCGATACTTTAGGTGAATTTTGATAATTGCGGATGGCCCTCCCCGTAAATAAGTAGTTTGAGTGCCCCCCCCCCTGTGATGGCAATAACCCTTCTGATGTCCCTATGAGAAGTCAGAAAAACAAAAGACAACAAATAAGACTATAATGTACATATCGATACGGAACTAAGAGACTGAGAAAGTCAGTCATTTTGCAATATACATATTAAATGATACTTTGATCAACGGGAAACCATCACATTACAATCCAAGATAATACAACTAGTTTACACATAATATGAAACAAGGATGTAGCACAAGTACTGTACAACTCCAAATTTACAGCGTCTATCACAATTTTATTTGACTCGCACCGAGCATACTACAAAGGCTCTCAAGAGACAATTGTGGTTAACATTGGACTTCCCAGGAGAGAAGATCTCCTCATTAAAGTGTCCCTAGAAATTTTCTTCCTCGATAGAGAGGAGGTTTCCTTCAGGTCTAAGAATCCTAAATATGTTAGCTTAAATATGAAATAATAGCGTTTTTAGCACATAAACTGAGCAGCATCCACCGATATTTCCAAATTTCGCAAATGTGGAACTTTTGAGGGTAGTAAATCAAAATAAAAAAGAAACTGATTCTTTCAAAACCCACTCGTTATGATAGCAGGCGCCTGATAACAAAAAGCCTTTTTAAATCTGAACTATAACTCAAGCCGTGCATCTATTTGTGATGATATTCTTTGGGTGCGAGCAAAATAATTCTGCTCCTTTGCAAAAATAGACTCTGTACGATGCTACGATATAAACGCCAATCATTAAAACCGCTCGAACATCAATACGACGGGAGGGTCTTTTTCTTCGTTGATCTTTTGTGTTTGTGTTTCTTGATGATATCAAGTATCTTTGGTTTATGGTCAGTGACCTACAAGAGAACAATGCAAGTGAATTCTTTAGACTGGGTTTTTTAAAGGGGCTGGAGGGAGAGGGGTTTGGTGTATGTTGGCGTAACTCAACTGAGTTTTAAAGAGCAAAATCAACCCGGCCAGAGACCATAGCCATGTGACGCAGATGTCCAGTAACTCGTGCAAATGCAACGCAAATTTTAGCACCAACATTTTGTATAACGAAATTTCTAAATAAGAAGCTCCGATTTTGGAGACATCTGCTTTGAAAATAAGCAATGAATTGCACTTAGAAATTTCGAATTTAACATCCCGAGCCAGAGCATCTCTTCTAAGTGGAAGAAACGTTCCCTAAGGTACTTAACCCATTTGCTGAAAGAAAATCGTTTTATTAAATCTGGGTACTTCATTTCAAATATAATTTTTTGCAACTGCTTAAAATGACAAAAATTAAGGGTTATTTAACAAAAAAATTATTTGAACATAAAAATCATCAATCCATACGCAATTATGGCATCCAAATTTTAAAGCTGGTTATATTAGGATTCCACTTTATATTTCCAATAAGTACAACAGCATCTAACATCGAGTATTAAGACCTCTATAATTGCACTGAATATTGGTCAAAAATAGACATGCCATTAAGCATACATCCGATAATACCTTTTTACATATAATACCTATTCATAGGCGGCTCCGATAATTATCCCACGTAATCTCACCTTAAACCATATGAAAATAAAGCCTTAAAAGAGACCTAGGACCATTGCGAAACATGTCATCCTTAAGGGCTGAATGTTCCTATACACCCAACTGAACGACAGCTGATTTAATACAAAGAGACTCACGGCCATCGACACAACTAAGGGGAACACAGCTAAGGCTGGTTTAATCTGCTGAATGCATGAGTATGGCCTACGTTCTGATTAAAACGCTGCATATTTATGGTGACTTACTCGTAACATTGTCTGTTTGGCTTCGACCAGCTGCTCCATGCTAAGCTGACAACGTTGAATATTTCCCTGAAGAACATAACGAAAAGAATAAAAACTCTAACCAAAGCGAAACGAAAGCAATTAACAAAGCTAACCAAATGAGTAAACTGTATTGCATATTCTGGAGTTGTCCAACTTATGGTGTCAAGCAACGAATGGAGCTAGACTTATATAGACGCTTCAGTCTTTGAAAAGCCTTCGTTAGTCCTCAATGAAATAAGGCTTCATTTATCGTTGAACTTGTGAAGTGAAGTGCAAGTGAAGTGTACAAGGCGAATTTTACAACCGTAAACATACGAAGGCGAAGGGAAATGAAAATGGGATTGGAATTTGAAATAAAGACAGATTCAAATATTTCAAGCAATAGGGCAGGGCGGAATATGTATAAAAGAAAACATTGGAGAGAAATGCCTTAAATTGGCCTTTTTTTAATATCAAAGTGGTAAAAATGGATCTAAATTTTGTCAGAAGCGCATTTGCCATTTGATAAATTGCCTGTAATTGTTGATTTCTTGTACAAACACGAAGAAAACTCTTCCCCACAACGACATTAAGAAAACCTTAAAGGAAATGTGGCTATATAGATTGAAGTTGCATATAACATGGAATTCGCTGTTCTGTGATTTGATTGGCTTACACCAAACAACTTGTGTACTGATTGGCTTATACAAACTATAAAGATTTTTGTTCCTTGTAAAAACGGACATGGCAAAACTTCAACACGGAGCAACGAACAGCGAATGTACTTTCGTTCATTTTCGAAAACATTAACATAAACAGCAAGGAAAAAAAAGAACAAATGGGCAGATTTTGTCTACATTGCATGAACAATATAATTTGCAATGAGAGTATCAGAAAAGCTCTACCTACAAGATGGGCATAAGCACTAACCTGAATCAGCTCGTGGAGCACTCTTAATTGTTCGTCAACCGAAGCGTGTCGTTTCCCATTTTGAAGGTCGTGACACAAAGCCGTGAGCATGAACTGCTTGCTCGGTCGAGGCAGTTCCCTTTGAAACTCGAATAGTTTGTTGCAGACTTCATTCTCCAGGGAGCACTGTCGAGTGAAAGAGCATTTTACTGAGCAAAATTGATATCGTCTGGGCTCTCAATTGGTCGTGGCAGTGAATGTTTTAGAGGATGCAATAAAAATTGCGACAAAAGGTCACGTCATTCTCAAAGCCTTTCTTTAATGGTTTTGTTAAAGGAGCTGGTGTCTTTACCTGAAAAGCCTACTACCCAACCAAAGCCAAAACCCGAAATTAAGAGAACACTGTCGCGCAGCTCATTTGTCTGCCAAAACAATTGTATTGGCATAACAAAACAAAACAATGTGTCATGCTTGGTCAATTTCGCTGCACATCAAAATTCAACTCAGAAAGACGAATGAGCATGGCGTTAGTGTGCCTTGTCTGCAGTGGCGGATACCTGAAGGGGGGGGGGGGGGGGAGGGGATTTTTGAATAAAACAATAGGAAAACGTGACGTCCTCTTATCAAAACGATAGGCTTGCCCCCCCCCAAATATTTGAGCAAATGTCCGCCCCTGCTTGTCTGCAAGTCGACCAAAATAATGGTACAGATCAACAAATCAAAGCAACTTGTCACGCCTGCTGTACATTGAAGACTGTGCTTTTATTCTTTTGGTCTATGAAATACCCTATTTCTTTTGGGCGCTAAATGGCGTTTTACACAGTTACAACATTATCCACCCTTTTTCATCATCAATAGAAATATAACTGTTTTGGCCTAGCGCTCACAATAACCACTATAAAAGGGGTTTGTTCTTTCCCTGCAAACAACAAAAGGTAATATTGCGTCGTTTTAGCAGAGCAATGGGAACACCCGTCTAGCCCAAAGAATTTTGATTCGAATACCGGCAAATGTAAACTGGTAGCATTGTTTTAAAAATAAATAAAATGAAAACAGAAAAATAAATTCACGGTAGCGTGAATGTAGCCATTCATGATAAACTCTAATCTTTTATACTTTTACTCACAATTGTTACTTTCAAACTTCAGTTCGATACAATAATCCTCCATTACCGTTTGTCGAGTAGAAAGAAAAATCGTCAATATGATAACAAAACTTGTGGGGACCATTGTTAAAATACCTACCAGATCATCCATTTGCGATGAAATATGATGAATCCTCCAAGCAGAAATATTTTGCAAAATCCGTTTGTTGTTTAGCAGCTCTATCGGCTTCTTCTCTTCTATCGTAAAAATAAACAATGCGATAAGATATTTGTATTTGCGTAGATGTATATATATATTTATTTTTATTAGCTTTTCCCATATATTTCTTTTCCATGCTCTTATATCCGTCTTCCTATTCTATTTGTCGAATTCCATTTTCCTTTAACGTTTTTTAGTTCTATCATCGCTTTCCAATCTTAATTGATAACGGGCAATGCTCGAAACGTCGTTAATTATTTTAGAAAAAAATTTTCCTGGTACAATTTACTTATATTGATCGTTATTTAAATGCGATAAGATGCTTGTAAAAAGGTGATTTACATCATGACAAAAGCTTTTTTAATTTGATTTTTCGCAAAAGATTTCTGTTTTTAGCACTTTTAATAGTTTATCGAAAAACATGATCATTTTTTGTTGTTACAAAAAATTCTAGTTCTACCAAAAACAAGCTCAGGCTAGTTTTCAAAGTTTTAACAAATAGCTGAAAAATTGAAAAAAAAAACACAAATCGCTTTTCACCATGCACCCCTTTCATACAGAGTCGTATATAGACTAACTAAAAAGATGCAGAGTTTATTTAAAAAACCAAAACAAAACATAAAAAATTAACAGTTGCCAGTTTTATTCTGAAGATTTAGTCAAACTCTGGAATCAAAGTCTATAAAAACACAAATCTACTTCATGTAAATAATGTGACACAAACCTTTCGATTTGACGTCTGAATATCTGTAAAAATGATGGTATGCAGCCTTTGAGTTAATTTTATAATCACCCAAAGCACTACTTCTTCTCCGACTTATGAACATATAGTAGTTGGTATTTTCATCTGAAAGGCAAACAAAATGGAGTCAACTTCAACTTTCAATAAAACGCAAAGCTACAAACGACACCAAAAAATAGCTCAAAAAACGTATTTTAACTCAATAATTATATAGAGTTCTCTGTTATAAGCTCATTGCGTCAAAATTGTATGTATATTAAAAAGACCTTTGACCCTGGTTACAAGCACGCCACATTAGGAGTTATATTGTTAATTAATACTATTCGCACGCAATTTTGCATATTTATTGACAATAAGAGTAGGCCTATGATCAAATTGGCTTTCGCTATCTAAACATGCGGAAGAAAGAAGATTGAACACTTCCCATTTCCCAGGAACTCCCTTTTATATAGCCTTTTATATATAGGGTGGATCTCAAACAGTCAATGTCACAAAATCACACTGTGACAACTGAAACTTGGTCAAAAAACCATTTTCATTTGTGACTTGATTTTCTAAATGTATCAACGGAAGGCAAAAAAGAAACCTTGACAAAGGGGATACTTGTGTAAGCAGTCCATTATATAAGAAGATTTTAGTTGTTTGGTGCTAATTTTAACTTGGCTTGTACCACTACAGAGACATGATTGGGCAAAGCCGTTGGGAGGTATTCATTATTGGATAACCGTTTACTTTCCCCATTGAATGAAATATGATGTTCTACTACTCTGAATAGCTTTGGGAAAACAAATACAACAAGCATCTTTGGCTCAACCCACCTGGTTCAACAGGCTCCTGCTTCACCTCTTGGGCGGGCTCTTCCGTCTTCAGTTTTGGAGCCGGCTTCTGTATGCGTATTAACGGGCTGTCTACTTTAGTCTCTTTCCGCTTATCTCGGAATTTGCTCTCTAGCTCAACGTCTTCCTCTTCAAGTGAAACCTTGCTGAATTTATCTTCCGTGGTAACCCTAAAGAAACGTGAAAGTCCCCCTCAATAGTCCACTCAGGCATGTTGAAACTAAGAAACAGCGACAAGTCAACGAGATCAAGAAATATAGAAGTGAAACTAGATACTGCAAATCATGAAGAGAATTAGTTGCCAACCGATAATTTAACGTGATTTGGCCTTGGTTGTGGAATGATATTTCTAATGCTGTTTAGGATAACTCACGGATACAAAAGATAAAAAAAATCTCAAAAATTTATGTGATAAATTGAAGCCATGTACGTTTCAGGGACTATAAGAAGCATTTCAAATACAGGAATGAAGAGTGTTTGATTAGATAAGATTGTAAATAAAATTGAATTATGGTTGGAGCCATTTCAGGTGAAAAGTTGAGCCATTCTGTGTAAGGCTATTTTCCAGGTCAAGTTCGTTACATAAACCATTCCCTGAACCTACGGCTGACTTGACAAGATCTAGGCATTTAAAAGAAAATAAAGCGAAGTAGTATGTCTTGTGCAAGGAAAGGCTTTTTCGATAGACCCATAGCAATATTTCTTTGGAATTTGATTTTAAGGCAGAAAAGAGAACACTTTGTCTGGTGGAATGTTGGACCCTTTTTAAGTTGGCTTCGATAAACGCACCAAACTACACTGGCCTTACCCGGGACTCAAAGGATCTGTTATTGTTGGGTTATCTTGCACCAACGGCTTTTGTGTATTAAAGGCAGTCTGTCCCCTATTGTTCCTAACTTTTATTTTCACAGGAGTGAAATTCACACACTGTTCAGCTTAATCGGTAATTAAACGATTTAAACCAATCAGAGATAACTTTGATTCCAGAACTTCTGAATCAAATGGCTGTGCTCCCGTTAAAGTAAAGCTGTGGCTAGAAAAAGTTTGTTCCCTTTTTGGTTTGTGCGACAACAGCGAAAGGAAATGCTTTCATTATCATTATTAAATTCCAGTAATTAAATCTTCTTGCCATTTCCAATAGCTTTTGGCACGCAGTTTCAAATGTTTTCCACTACCGCACCTAGGCCAGCCAAAGCGAGCAGCATAATCCGTTGAGGCGGGAAGACCAATTGTTCATATTAGCCAATCATTGAGGGAACAGACTGCCTTTAATATGATTTGGTAGTTTGCCGAAGATAAACTAGAAATATTTCATGGAGCAGCATCGTTGCTATTCATTCAAAATTCTAACATCTGCTGCTTAAAAAATGATAATTGGGACACCTGATTGCAAGCCGATGTAGATACAAAGAATCGGTACTTTTTCAATATCTTTCTATGTAAAGCGCTCTTCTTTACACTTCTAGACGATACAAAAACTGTACTAAACGTATCAATATCTAAGAAAGCTCTGGCAAGACACGAATAATACACGGAAGAAACAGTAGGCCGGCCAAAGCACAGTATGATATCTACCAGCAAGCTCAATAAATTCCTCAAAGTATTTTTTGTGCCTGAACTTACACATTTTGTTTCCTCGGTTTTTTTCGTGGAGACGCCTCCGGGACAGATGCAGTTGAAACAGCCGGCATCAACGCACCAGAAACACTCACACTGCTGTTCTGAGCAGACACTGGAGGGGTTACTGGCTCTACTTTCATTTCTGCGTTTGTTGTTATTGAAGAAATACTACTATTTATGTAGCTACTGGATTCTGCCACAGAGGTGAAGCTATCGCTGAATATTGTCTTTTCATCACTAAAAACAAAACGGTTGCTCATTAGACATAGCATCCAGCAATATTCTCTATTTGAAAAAGAGGAGGATTAAGGTGAAAACTAAACAATGTCACCATTTAGTTACAAAATAAAGTAGATTCACAAATTTGCTTCATGCTTACGATTTATAATTTTCTTAAATAACGCTGCTTAAAAAACCGTGTGAAAACAGGCTCTTTGTATGCAAAGAGGAGTCAAAAATGCATGAAGAGACTGGGCAAGATCCAAATGTTATGAATCTGGTATCAGCCATAATAAACCCAAATGCTTATCTTCAAGATAGTGAAAGGCTCTATCTTCGTCAAATGTTCTAAAAACTAAATGTTCTTATGGGAGAACTTTTCCTTCGACAGAAAACTCTTTGAAATCCGGGAAGCAGAATGCTCGAATAATTATAGGCATCCCCATTGATACATGTTAGCTTTTCTCTGATGCAACATAAACATGATTTGCTTTCAACGTCAAGAATTAGCTAGCATCACCAAGCAAGACTAAATCAAACTTTTAGACCAGCCTTTACATGACACGACTACGATCAAGAGAATTTCCAAAGCAGTCAATTAACAAGTTGGTATCATCTTTAAGTTCGAAAGAAAACAAGTATCTTTAGATTAATAAAATTTAGTACAAATAGAATAAGCACGATCAAAAGGTTTCATTTTTAATTTTAATTTGGATTTTAGGCATTTAATAAATCTAAACAAGCCTGATAAGATCGACTATCGACGAAGATGCTATATAAAAAAGGGATAATATTATATAAGAACGTATATGATGGAAGTTGATTAAGATTTCCTTGATCTTTCAAAAAAGTAAACACTCGATATTTCGGTTACATAGGCTGCACATCCACAACAACTAATACAAAAATTGAAATCTAAAATCCATGACTCAGACTATTTCCCTATGCTATAACAAAACTTCCATACGTCATCAGGAATTCTTGTGTGGGAGACGACCAGGTGACAGCAGGGGCCTTCAACTCGAAATATATTATCATTAATAGATTGTTTTGTACCTGACACTGATGTTTCTTATTCCAAGATTTCCCCCGACAGTAGACTATTATATAATGTGTAAAATGGACCTTAGCATTAGCATAAAACAAGGGTACACACCATAAAAGTCTCGGCGATTCCTGGCGTGAAGGTGCATTACCGGATCCGGAACTTGGTCTCGAATCAGACCAGTGCTCCTGTCTGTGATCAATACGAGGTTCTTGCTTGGTTGGGCTCGAGATTCTATCCAGGCCATGAACTGGATACCTGAGACAAAATGGATTATGGGATTAAAATGTGTGGTTTGTAGTTGTAGTCTACCAACAAAAGAACGACGTGTGTAGAAATTTCGCTTCTACCTATTACTAAGACATATTTTAGTTGGTTGTGGAAACATGGTTCCCTAGTCACCCAAACAAGCAGCAAAGTCGAAATTAAAAGAAAATTACAATTCAAAAGCGGAAAACATGGTGTAATTGAGCAAAAAAAGTGACAAAATACAAGGCTGGAAAAAGGTTTCTGATCATTGACATCTCTGTATACACGGAGAAAACAACACCCACCCTTCAGCTGTGCGCTTGCGTAGGATTCCGGGTCCGGGTCGTGAGGAGGAGACATTGCTTTGTTGTCCGGACGTATGGTATGATGATGACTGAAGGTTCGGGAAGTTGTGGATTGAATATGAGCTGTTCATTACGGGTGAGGATTCCCCTGATGTTGAATGGTGGTGTGAGTCTGCAACGAGAATTGTGAAGGTTAGCTATATATATATATATATCAAGGGAATAACAACCAGATATATGATATCTTCGTGGGCAGCTATCTTTAGTTACCATTTCTCAAAGGATTTTTAGCAGATCTCTGAGCTTCTTATTAGCATGAAGAAGCAATCTTATAGGACAAAAGTTCAATAAAAATTCATAAAGGCTTATATTGATACTGAACCAAATTAAGGAAAGAAAAACAAAAAAAGATGAATAAATGATTAAAGGAGACTAACTCATTTGAAATAACTAATTGTTATTTCTTAAGGTGCGATCAAGAACTAGACTAGTATTACAGAATCAATGTTAAAGCAAAACCCTGCACAGATTGAAAAATGTTAATGTGAATGTGGCTTTTCAAGTGATATTGAACAAGCTTTGAAAAAATATTGTTCTATGTTCAATAAAATATTATTCTAAGTCAAGTAAAATACCATGGAACATACCACTAAATAATCAAACAGAAGAAAGAATTCCAAGTTTTGCACGTTCTTGTGCAATGTGTAGACAAAATTTAACAGACAATTTCTACAGAAACACTTTGATATGACACGTTTTAAACTACATCAATCCTAAACAGTTGCTGTCGAAAATATAACTTTGTATTTCCAAACCAGTATACATAACTAATAAATACATTACATTCAAAAATTTTGAAAGGTTTGGAACATTCAGGATTTTCAACAAGAAATGGTCCCTGTACATTGTTGCTAGGAATTTTCTATGAGAATATAAAAGAGAGGCCTTAGGAACAAAAAATAGACTGTTAATATGTGAAGATCAAACCTCTTGCTGACGGTGTCATCCCTGGGATTGGCAGTGGAGCTGAAGCAAAACCACGAGTCCCCTCAACAAACATGGGAAATGAACCATAGCTGGAAGTCGAGCCAGACGGAGTTCGTACATACGAGTGGAACGGTGTCCCAGAAGGAAATCTGTGAACTCCAATTGGATGTGAGAATCCAGTGTCGATTGGGAAGTATGATCCAATGGCATATTGTAGCGACGGATTGCCAGGCTTCAGTTTGTCGTTCTTATTTTCTGCAGATTCAAGGGGAAAATTAGCAAGCTACTGAACAGTAATAGAATCATGAAGCCAGTGTAAAAAACGTTCTAGACGGGGCAATTTTGTTTGAATTTTTTTTTCGAACATGGCTGTGAACAAAAGGTGTGGAATGTTAACAATGCGCTTTTCAACATGGGAGATAATTTTCATGGAAATCTGAGTTTTTCTCCACACATTTTTGTAAGAAAACACTGTGCGTCGAGCCTTGAAAAAATAAAATACTTAAAACAGAAAACATTTGAGCTCTTGTCAACTTTCCAAGAACGTTTTAGTTGTTAGAAACACGGACTTATCCAAGCTGGGCTTTAGAATCTACTTTTAAGATAAATGTTTACAGAACCCAAATCCTGATTAATAATTGTTTCAGGTAATGAAAGATTACACCATAGATAGATAAAATTCAATTCATTATATACGTACTCTAAAAAACCCTGACAACATTTGGATTTTCAATGCTACATATGAAATCATGTATGTTATTAATACAGTCCTTGTTGTTTAATGCGTGCGATCGCACGCGCACGCATTGGCACACGCATGGCACCAATAATGAGAGCGATTGATCGCACGCATGAATTGTAAATTTGACCGTCGTTTTTGACCTGGATAAAATTGTTTTCTTCAACAAAACATTGGAAGTTTTGTCTTTCATAAGCTGAGCAACATCGGCTTATTCTTTAAATAGTTACTATTTTGCTCTCTATCGTGGCTTATCGCTTAGCTTTGGTCAAATTCTCCCGGAAACATGGCGGTCGCCAGGTAATGTCCAAAACTTTTACCTTCCCGTTTTCGCCATTACCGGGGTAAACATCGATGAAATTGCTCAAAAGAAAATGGGCTTTTTTATCATAGATGTGAGAGGCAGGCGGCGAATAGACTCGCAAAAAGAAGATCTTCCGACAATCAAGGTTAATATCAATCTAGTGATGTATATAGGAAAATTCATAAAAGGGGCGAGAAATTTAGATTTTCCGACAAAACTTTTATAAAAGCTTTTATTTTTTCAAAATTTTGTACATAACTTCACGTAAGTCACGTGTCATAAATCATACTACGCAAAGATTTTCTTGTCTTTTCTCTGAAAAAAGGCATTTTTAAGTTCTATACCTTATTGAAAGTGATTGCAAATCTGATTTAGAACAACAGAAGAGATCACCATATTCAGTTTTAAAATCTTTCTCTCAAAATGTAACATTTGGATTTAAATTGACGACTATGCAAATTTCCGATCAAATCAGAAGTTTTCCGACAAAACAGAAGTTTAGCTGTACTGGGGAGGGGGGGGGGGTGGGTCGCCCCGCGCCTTGACCCCCCTTTATCTACGCCACTGTATCAATAAATATTTCCCTATAGTTGTCCTGTAATGTCCAATGTTCTCAGAATGAACACAGCAGAAACACTCAAGCTCTCTGCAAATTGCCCCAGAGCCTCGAGGTGTATGGGGCCTTATAAAGTAATGAATTCTGTTTTGAAACAAAATTGATTAAAAATAACAAAATTATGCCTATAAACAGTCAAAAATTTTAAGCGAATGAACGAATTTAAGCTAGTTTAAAGGGGCATGATTGCAAAATTTTCTGCTCGCTTCGCTGGCAGGGGCCTTTTTCTCCACTTTTGCCCCAGGGCCTCCAATTCTCTAGGCAGCCCTTCGTGCAAATTTGGAACCGTGACAAAACGGTCGCAATTCGCCCTTTCGTTTACGCTAGCACTCTAGAACAGAGCTAATTTTGCTCTGCCATCCGGAATGGTTTTGACCCTGTTACGAAAGAGAACGAATTTTGAACCGTCGCGGTTCCGTTTTTGAACAGGTCTGTGTAAACGGGGTCCGAAATAGCCTGATTTTTAAGAGTGTAAATCGCACGCATGAAAGAAATAATGCGTATGGTTTGCCACACGCATGTTAATTTCCTTATGACGAAGACTGTTAATATATGTGAGTATGTGCATAATATGCCCTTACCATTTGATGAATATGGCATATGTGGCTGGTTTGACGATCCAGGTATTCCAGAATTATAGTGATGATGCGCAGTAAAAGCAGAATGGTGAGAAGAAGTTGTGGTTGGCGAGAGGCGGCCGTGGCTTGAGCTTGACAATGTGTTGCTTTTTGGATGATCCTGGACAGTGCGAAAATAGCCATTAATTAGTATGGAAAAAGTACGACATAAGCCTAAGACCAGATCTTTCTGAAACTCAATTTGTACAAACATAATATTAATATATTTACATTAAATATTGTACATTATTGTGGCGTATTGTGGCGACAAGACGATTATGATGCAATTTGAATGGACCCTTTATAAAAAAAATTTCCTTCTGCTAGCCTTTGCCACAGCATTTATGTATATAAATAAATAGTTCAGTCTTTTAGGAATTGAATATTTTATTTATTTATGACTGTTATTACTAGATTCATATAACGATAACATGGCACCAGTTAAGTTTGAATTTCTTTTCATGCCCTTGGAGATTTGGGAACTTGTCTCATTTTACAACAAAATATCCTTATGTCTCTGACAAAGACTATAGGTTTAGGTCCCAAGTTATTTATCTTGAATCCTTACTTACTATTTTTACATAACCAAGCTAGACAATAAGTCAACTTGTTCCAAAAATTACCTGCAGTGGCAGCTTGCAATGTCAATTAATACCACTTAGTTAAAAAATCTACCTCACTCAGTTCTTCTCTCCTGGTACCGAAAAATAATTTTCAACAAATTCATTGTGCAAACAAAAATTTTGAATAAATTGAAAAACTAATGAAATAAATAAATATGTAATTTTAAAAACCTGGGAGTCCGGCTTTGTGGTGCTTGGTGTCCCTGATGTGGTTGATGGAATCAATATTGGCTGTGGTATGATTTTACCTGTTAATGCACAAATATTGGTCCATAAAAAAGTTACAAAGGTGCTATAAGGATTGAAAATGCTTTTATGCCATAACCCCAGAGTTGCTTTGAAATTAATTGCTATTAAAATACATAAACGATATACATGTGCTATTCTAATGTCAATTTAAGACTATTTATCATATAATGGATAGATAATATTTACTCAATCAATAATCATGCCATTTGTCAGTTTACCTGAGTTTACCAGGAAATAAGAAACTATCACTATGAAACTGATTTAAATAGGAAACATAATCTAATGCCTCTTACAAACTTTTCCATTTTCAGCACCTCCAAACTGAGCATGCCTATTCTAAGCATTCATATCTTTTGTTTTTTCTTCTATATAAAACTGCTTGGATTCAATTCAGAAATATGGTGTATTTAGTGTTTGCTGTCCTCAACATATCAAGTTTTCTATGAGGCTAACAAACATACAAGCTACCATCTGCAATATGCTAAAAATTCAGGACAAGGAATGTTGGATAATTTCGCTGTGATACCTTGGACCAACTAAACATTTATATGTTGATTTATTGAATGTATAGAGTAGACAAAATATTGATTGTCAGAACTACACAATGGTAAAAAATTTGTTGAAATGTTGTATTTGAATAAGACTTTAGAAAGATCCCAATCTATAAGATATATAAAATAAAACCTATAGAAAACAGTGCACTATCCAAAGAAAAGAGTTTTAGAAAATTTACTCACTGAAAGCAATGTTGTTTGGTGGAGGAGCAACCCTGTAGGTTGTGACAGCTGCAATGGAATTTGATGTTGCTGATGTTTGATTATACTGCAAGCTCTGTGAGCCGATTTTGAGTATATTTTGATTTGGTATGACAGAGAATGATTTGCTGGATTGAGCAGATCCCAGAGGAGCTGTTCCAGATGCAATAACCTGAACCGTTGCTGTGCCGGCAGCTACAGCATTGCCTGAGCTAGAATTAGAGTGCATCTGGTGTACATCTGCCTGTACATGACTGGTCTTTGAATCTAAACCTTTGGTATGCTCAATAGATCGACTTATAATTTGTCCAGATGACTGTGCAGATGATGATGGTTGAAGTCTGTTGGATGGGACAACAGGAGAAAAGATGCTGGTGCCTTTACCAGGTACTGGAATCTAAATAAATAAATAAATGATTCAAGTTAAAATCAGGCATTTGATACAAGCATGGAATTAAAAATTCACAATTCTTACATTTCAAAAACAATGTTCTCTTTTAGGTAACTAAACATAATCTATACCCTGTAGATCTGGACTGTCAGGTTCAAAGGATTGCATGCTAGCAAAGCATTTATAAATCTTAGACAACAGACCTTAGAATGATGGTCTTATGTATGCAAGCCAATTGCTACTGAAAAATGCATGCAAACAAAACTTAAAGGACAAGTGACACGCTTTTGGCGCCAAATTTTTTTCTTCTTTTAATTTAAAGTAAAATGCTGTATGAGAGTGTTGTTGAAATATTTTTCCTTTCTGATTTCATTTTCCTACTAAAAAACCCTTTTCAAATTATGGCGGGAAATGAATCACGTGACACCGTGACGTAGATTGTGATAATTTGTTATTGCTGCTACTGGTATACAGTGCAATATTAAGGTTTACTACACGCTTCTAAACGAATTCAGTTCGTCTGGACCTGTCGCATTGTGTTTCGTAAACTCTCTATTAATGACAGGAAAATTCCGAGTTATCACAATGTACGTCATAGGGTCACGTGATAAAAAGCAAAATTGTGCCCCCTGCGCCCCCTGATTAGGATTTTTTGTTCTAAACCAGGAAAAACTTACTTCTAAATGATGATTTATAAGTTAATGAAAAGAAAAGATAGGGTGAAAAGTGTGTCACTTGTCCTTTAATTACAATAACTCCAAAAGAAAATGATGTAATGTTAGATTTGTCATTGTATTAAATGCTAATACTTTTATTAACAATATTAACAAGGTGTTTAGTAATGTGTTATATACTGTTGAATTTAAACAAAACAGTATAGTTACTTGGGGTTGAGAGAACTTCATTACTGTGACTTATACAAAAAAGCAACAAAATTTAATATTTGAACTTGGCAGTTTTCAGAAATTTTGCTCTCCATAATTCAAGGGATAAATTAACCACAGTTCTGTTCTCTATTCTGTGAAAATTTAGCAAAAATTAAAACAGCTTTTAATGTCATCATTAATGAAACTGTAGAACAATAATGCATTTTACTGCTGGAATACAAAACTAAATTGATATGTGATACTATATCAATAAATATCATTACTGGGTTGTGGATAATATGACTACAACAAATCTAGGATGCTTTAACTGAGTGTAGATCCATTTTCAACCATGATTTACAAAAAAGAAAACAACCCTATTTATTGAAATGGGCAATTATCAAAGGTAGTACTTTGCTCTTAAATAAGGTAAATCAAATAAGGACCTTGTCAAAATCAATGAGCACCTGTCCCCCTCAAGTGAGCACACCCACCCTGGGTTTGTCTGGAAATTCCATCTGCATGGGTGCTAATTGAAGCAGTAGTTTGATAGTTTGAAACAGTAGGACATTTGGTTCCAAGCCAAGCACAAAAAGGACTCTTTAAAGTGACAGGCCCCATCCTCACGGTAACCTACATTTAATAAAACTCGATCATTTTTATTTGTTTTCGAATAAATCTGTGTCCACACCATGAGTGCTTTCAAAAATATCTCTGTCCAAACCACATGAAAACACAAAAAATTTAGCTATGAGCATGCGCAAATTACTTGGCACTAAATTTTCATTTGCTTTGTTTACTACTTCTGCACACTAACTTTTAATGATTTTCAACATATTGATTATCAGGGAAAATGGCAAAGCACAGAGACCTTAAGAAAATAGGACAAGTGAGTTGTTTGTTTGGTCAGATGAGGATTGGGAGCTATTTTTGAAAGCTGCTTATAATTATAAAGTTCATATATAGTAAATATATATTGTGAAGATTGAATAACGCAGGTTGTAGCTGAAAGAAACAGAGGTACCATCAGAGCAATTAGCTCCTTCATAATCTTGTATTGGAATCGTGTGTGTGCGATGTTAGCATTTTCAGAAAGTTGCAATTTTGCTGTCAATACATGAAGGCATTTTTAAAAATTTCCACTCAGGAGAGCATTTTAAAAAGTCGCCTTTTCAGTGACAAGAAACGTCTGTTATGTGTGGATGGAAGTTTAGAAGGGAAAAAATTTGTGTTTTCAAAGACTTTCAAAAATGAAAAAATCAAACTCATTAGAGACCTCAACAATTGCATTGAAATCATCTAGAGAAGAAGCATGTTCTGACTTGGCATTGTTCATGCTATTTTTCAAACCCCTCAGGGCTTCTTACAAGTGGTTTGCTTTGTTTACCAATGATTTTGAAACTGACATTTTACATTTTTTTCCACAAAGTACAAATAACTTTATTATAATGAATTTTTATAATCAACAGATCATAAAATATATTAAGAATTTTTCCCCAAGTTAAAATTTCATTCCAATTTTTCCTCCAGACACCTCATAATCAAAGTAAATTCTGCTTAGTGGTTGAGATGTGTGGATTTCTCTAACTGCCTCTTGGTTTTTGGTACTGCAAAAATTGATGATGGAATGAAAATTGGTGCAAAATTAGAATTAAAAGTGGCAGTATAGCATACAGAAATACTTTTCGTCCAACGCTTTTCAAAGTAAAAACGCTGGAGTAGCCATCAAAAGTAAGCTACAGTCTCTGTAATTAACTCTTAAGTTTCGATAAAATTATGAAAGACCAAAAGAAGCCTTCAGATGTCCCAATAGTGGTTTGTGTACAAGTTGATCTATAGATACATAAATTTATGATACAGTTTTTGGGCTTGAAAACAACGAAAAATTAAAACAATTTTTGTGTATGCTAAGTGGCTTTAGATATATTTTTGTGTAAGCTAAGATATATTTTTACACTTCAAATGCATCTTAATTTTATTTTATGATTTTATATCACAATTTATTCTCAGCTACATGAACATTTTCATGCTTAAATTCATCTTTTTGTCGATTTATATTATCATATTATATTTTGCTACATCTCAAAAATTGTGTTTTTCAATATTTTGATCAAGTTATATCAAGGGAATTGTGATTTTTAGAACAAATTTCCAGGCTTAGTTGACATAACTATCATTTGCACAAGAAATACTAACATTTCATATATCTCAGGTTATATTTTGTGCTCCGGTGTTCATATGAGCAACAGACCACTATCAAAATTGCAGTATTTTGCAACTACAGTTGTTCCCTGTTAACTCCCACCTCAGAAAACTCAGACTTTCACTAGACAGACTGATTTTCAATTCTAATTGGATTTTCCTACCTCTTTATAGTCAAAGGCAAACCCCAGGAAAATCCACACTTGCTAAGTCTAATAGACCCAATTTAAGGTCCAGCTTAACAATATTCAACTGCAATAATCTACAGCATCAAATGTTTTAAAGCAACTGCCACCTTACTATAAACTTTTCTGTTGGCATAATTAACTTGGAAATGAGAATTTATCTTTGTAACGTTCCAATCAAATGTAATGAGTGATTCACTTTGAGAATTCCAACCTAGCAGGAGGTATGCAAATAGTCCCAGCCAAAATTAGGTGCCTTAACTCTCAAGACCATACTTCGAAATTAACTTATTTTTTAATAAAACTGTCCTCTTTTCAAATTCAATAACTTTTTCTCAATTTTTGATATTCTGAAATTTTTGAAATTATGCCTAAGGCTCACAAAACAATCATACTAAGTTTATCAGGTGTGAATTTTCATGATTGTTTTAATTTTCAGCTGGCATAAGATCAAAGTTCATGAAATATTGAAGCATATTCCTGCATAGGTCAATGTGGTGGCTGGCTCTGAGATGTAGGAAGCATTTTAACATTGGATGACACACCCTTCTGGAAGTGCACAATCACCTACTGTAAAAACTCTATTAGGCCCCCTCTCTCTATTAAGCCCCTCCTTATCAAGCAAAAACTTAAAATAAGCCCCCCCCCTTCTTTTACCTTTGTTGTCAAACAAGGAAAAGATACACATATAGTGGGTCTCATAACGGGTGTGATGACCGTGTGCATTAAATACGGCACTAGTGCACCAAAGAAGTCAGCCGAAGTTTGCTTAGAAGATGTCCCAGGTTTATCAATTGGTCCTGGTGATTCTGCTGAAGATAACGACCTCTGATTTCTGAGAATGGTCTTTTTAAATAGACAATGGTGTTTTTAAAACATTTTTTACTTCTAATTTTTAATAAGTCCCCTCTAGGACAGAAAAAAATAAACAAGCCCCTCCTCCCTGTGGGGCTTAATAGAGCTTTTGCAGTATAAGTCAGCAAATAGTTCGGCAAAAAGGAGAAGTTGACTGTAAGAATCTCAACAAAGGGGAAACATACTCTTCCTTAAAAGGAACTTGCAAAAACCTAGGGGCTTGATGCCTTTTGGGGCCTCTGCTTCCTACCTTCCTGGGCCGGTTTTTATACTTAAATTTTCAAACAATCTTTTGGTGGTACAAAATTTGAAAATGGCTTTGAAAAAAGCAAACATTTAGTAAACTAAAGCTTCTCGTCTGACACTCTTCAGAGTCAGAACATAGATCAAAACTCTACGCTAGGAAATATATATACCCAGTTGTGGATCGAAATAGGCCAATCAGAAAAAATGAGCACATGACTGTTGAGGTTGACCAATCAGTGCCGCTTGCCTATTGAGAATGTTACCAATGGAGTCCTAAGGTAAAAACGAACTCCTTATGTTTACATAGTGTCTACACTTCTATTTTTATTTCCTTTATACATCATTATCATAAATCATATCAATGTTGTCAGAAATGCTGATATTTCCTGTTATCAGTTTCAGTTTATTTCAGTTCAGACGTTCATGATAACTAATGGAGGCATTTCAGTTCAGACATTCATGATAACTGATCATAGCAATAGTGATTACCTTGATATTCTGTGATATTTGACTTGCATTACTAGCTGACTTTAGAGGAGGCATTGTTGTTGCTCTCAGTGGGGGAACAGCAATGCTGGCTCTTGGTGGGGCAACTGCAGCAGCTGCTCTGCCCATCAAGGGTATTTGTGCAGGGAGCGCACTTCCATGAACCAATGTTCCATGTGGGAGTCCTGGTGGCATAATTGGGTGACCAGGACCTGGCAAAATACTGGTAAGTAACGGTGCTTGCAATGGCGGCATTGGAGGCAGTGGTGCAGACCCAACAGACACATGAGACATTGCATTGCTTAAAGACTTGCTTGGCTGTGTATAGAAACAAAAAATAATAAACTCAAGACCAACCCTCATGAACCCTAACAATCAAAATGACAAATTTCACATTCCAAAATAAATTTATATCATATATTCACAGGCTATAAATTGTAAAAATCTAAATCATATATTCAATTTTTATTTAACTTTTTAACTTATAGTCCTATATATGCTTGAATTTAATTTAACATTGACAATTACGAATCATAATTAAATTTTTAACAGTAAGGTAATATTCACTGAATAAAATCACATAGTTGTTGTAAAACAGTTCCATTTGTATCTGTAAATACAAATAATATCTTATAAAGACATTATATATATGTACTGTACTGATGGTAAAAAATTGCGGAGGTAATACTTAAAAGTTGAAACTTTTCTGAACTTAACTTTTTTGCTAAACATTGTGCAAGACAATAAACTCTTTCTTAAAAAATTTAAAATCAAAATAAAGTAGGACTATAAAAATAGTAAACAAGAACTTATTTAAAACATGAACCATTCAAAATTAAACATAATTAGACAGTACATACCGCAGAAAATGTTTATAGAAGGCAGAGCAGCCAATCACGAAAAGTTTTGCGTTCGAAAACAAAAAAAAAGCATGACCATAAAAACTTTACTTACTTTGATCAGATCCACAGCCCTGTAGCCCGAGTGCTCATTCCCTGAGAAGTAATGATATCAAGCGTGAAATTTGACCTGCACCTTGCGACTATAAAGAAACAGTCCACTGGCGACATGGAGACATCTTGGAAATGGAATCCCCCTTGGCCTGGCTGGTTAGCCAACCGCCCGATATTAACTACTTAATGCAGTCATTCCAAAAAGGCAACAATAATTTATGTTTTTTCAACAATGAACAGAACTCTATAAGGGAAATCTAACCAAAACGTGCACTTGAAAAGTCACCGACGATTCCGAATTGGCGGCTCCCTCCATTCCGCTTGTTTTGATTGAAAAGGCTGAGCAGCCGAACCAGCTACCACACTTCAAAAGTTGTTCGCAACACGGCAAGTAAATTTATTTGGGACGAACTTCATATTAAAGGTTTACATTAAATTTAATTAGACAGAAACTTCAAATGCTATCATTCAAAAGCATGCAGGCTGATAACATATCCGTGGATCTTACCCGAGAGGAACTTTACAGAGACAGAAAAATTCACGAACAGGCCCAGGCTATTTCATAGACAACCACATGATATACTTCATCAAAATTCAATCCCTTGATAGCCTTAGGCTCCCTACTAACTGAACCAACTTTCGTTTATTTGTAACTGATATAGCAGACACCTTTCTTAAATAAAATGTATCAACCCCGATAAAAATAATATCTGATATGCTGGCTTCTTTAAAGTATTGCAAGTACTCCCACGAGGAAGCCTTAGTTATGAAATGAAGATATAAAAAAATATCTACACACTAAATATCTCAATTTATATCTAAATTACCTATATTCAAAGGGAAACCCCTAAATGGGGGTCACGTAGAATCCCAACCAGGCCTTTCCCAAGACAATACTCGTTCGAAAGAACTCAGGCATTAACGTACATTCAGCCTGAAAAACTAAATGTTTATACAAATTTGTTACCTGAATTCATCTTTGGACCAATGGAACTCTCGTGTTTGTCTTTTTCTAGGCTTGCAACTGACATAACCGGGTTCATAGAACGATTGCTTACACTGTTCATCACGCCTTCTCCTCGTAAACTCTGCCTTTCATCATGCGAACGATTCATGCCCGGCCATGAAATCAGTAAACAAAACACAGTATCTCCAGTTCAACTTTTCTGTCTATCACAGGAAAAAACGATCAAAATTCTGCTGACCTTGCCCACAAATAAAGGCAAGTTTTATTGAGATTCCTAACTATAAGAATTTACTTATTAGTTTACAAATCAAACGTTGTATCCTTGGCTCGATCCTCATTCACGTTTGTCCAAGGCTGCCTCGCTGACGCATGCGCTCTTTGCCAGACCGGAATGCTGAAGGATTAAGTCGTAACGGGGGGTTGCTTGCAAAATTTAATCTGGTACCATAGATTTTCCGTTTCCAAGAAATTTAATATTAAACTTTTATTCAAGACACTTTTTGCATATGTTTTAATGGCCTGCTTTAAAAGAACTACAGTTCGAATAGTATGATATCATGAATAATATCAGAGAGATGAAATGCTGAACTGAATCCCATTCAAGCTTTTAAACAAAATGAAAAGCTTTTTTATAAATAATGAAAAGCTTACATTACCTACTCAAAAAAACTATCATAATTATTGCAAAATGTAAAATAACTGGTTTTATTTAGAAGTTACATTGTGGATTCGGATTGCCACACCCCATGGGCTCCGATGCAGGTTGGAAAATGGAGGGGCCAAGAGAAAATTTAAGAATCATAACAAAAGATTTTTAAAAAAGCTCCATTGTTTTGCAAAAAAAGTGAGGGGGCCATGCCCCCCTTCGTCGGAGGCCCTGCATCCTTGACCATACCCCCATAAATGGACCATTCTGTATCAAAAAAAGTAAATCATCCTTTTACAAGAGTTTCTAAGAAGTTAGCGATGTTTGAAAGGAGCTTTGTAGAGCTACTTTTTTGCAGTAAATCAAGCATTAGAGGAGGGGGGTGGGGCTAATTTTCATTTAATCTTTTGAACTCTATATGTTTCGGTCATCCTTCTGGTTGCAAATTCTTCCAGTAGCCAGTAAGTATGACTATCTTTAATAAATATATCTATTTTATTTAAAGAAACACATGTTTAAGAAAATGATATCAGACTGAAATTTTCATCTTTGATACATAATAAACACTCGATTTTGGGAACCAAATTTTAAAACTTTAAAAGTTTTCTAAATTCACCAACAATTTTCAGCACTTATTGCTGCATGAAGAAGATTATTTCAAATTGTTGTGGCTCATTTCAAATTTTAGCACCTTTCTTTATTGTTCAAAGTATGAGCAGAGTCCAGAAAAATTCCTTAACTTTCCTCCGGTCAAAATTTTTCCTGTCAAAACCTTCCTCCAGTTTTTGAGGCAATCACAGCTGATAGGGCGTAGCTAGGGAGTAACTAGGGTAGAAAAGGTGTCAGACGTTATAAATCGAGACAAAATTGCTGCCTTTGCGTAACCAAAAGTTAGTTATAGGCATTCCCTTCAGATAAAATTGGCGTTCCTCTGTTAATAAAGCTGTATTTTCTGGCAGTAAAATGGCCTAGCCTAAAGATTTTTGTTCGGTCCACCCCCCTCGGTAATTTTCTTAAAGTACCTAAGTGTCTACACTTTTCGGGTTGTCTCTTACAACAATTTTAGAAAAAAGAGTGTTTTCGTTTACACTGACTTCAAACGATAATTTCTATATCGTTAACTTCAATAAAACCCATCAGTACAAAGTCAATGCAATTGAGAATACGTCAAAAATTATCGACTCTAAAAAAGTGAAGAATCGAACTGTGAAAAGTTTAAGATCAACTCAAAATTTTCACATTAAACAACTTTTGCTTTGTGTTTTCATAAAACATCGTCGAGCCTTTCGTTGACAAGTTGTGTGCTCTGAAAGGCTTTAGTTTCTGCAGTCAAGCCATAGAATTCCCTTTTGAAATTTGAAATTGGCGCCATTAGCTCTGTCAAACAACATTGGATCTCATCCCCCCGAAATAAGAAGTTCAAAAAGCATTGGGGAATCGCCATTATTTCTTATGCAGGATTAGTTAAATTTGATTGGTTCATTTCCTTGTTGTCTATTTCCGGTCTCTGGAGATCCACGATGACGACAACATTTCGAATAAATGGTCACATGACTATTTTGCATATGAAACGCGGAAGACTAAAATGGCGGAACTTTCGCGTCTGTCCATGCATTCACAATAGACCTTTACTAATGTCAGAGCTCATGATGTATACTGAAAAGTTGATCATCATTGTCTTGTCGAAGTTTCGCAAGTAAAAGATTTGAAGCAAAGTATTCGTTCATGAAGGCTGGCATCGAAATTTAGCTGTTGTAGATGCCCAGCGTAGGTCTAGAGGCGAGTAAATTGCCCTATGACTGGCTTTGTTTTAGTGGACGGCCTACCCGAACTTCAGAATCTATCGTTGTATAAAGAAAACACCAATCACTCTATTGACTGCGAGCTATCCGAATTTCTAAAGAAATGGATGTGGCCTAGTTCACCAAAAAACAAAATCTATAATCACTGAAAGAGCAGAAATGCCATCGCGGGGATTGCCTTGAAAAGGTAAACAACAGTTGTCAATTGTCACTTGGCGAAGAAGAAAATGTCGCCGCAGATTTCAGCGCATAGCCTCGTAGGGAATTTCTGACAGGTAAAGCCACATGGTCAACCAAAAATGGTGGCAGGTAATTGTTTAGTCAAGGGTCTGCCCGTTTCTGTGGTATAACCAACATCATGGGCCTAAAGATTAGCTGGATATTTCGAGGGAAGTTCCCGCTAATGATCAGTGGATTTATAAATATTATTTTGATTACTGGGTTTTTAATAATTTTCATGAAGCATGATGGCAATACAGAACACAAAGTAGCCAAGAGAAGTACATTTTCTCTCAGTGCACCAGAATCAATAAACGGACAGAAAGGAGAAGCCTGCTTCATGTTTCTGCTTATTTTCACATCACCTGGAGGGGAAGATAGACGAAATGCCATCAGGCAAACCTGGCTGAAGTTAGACACCCCTAAAGACTTCCCAATTATACACAAATTTGTTGTAGGAACGTTGCATCTTGAATATCAACAAAAACGAAATCTCATTGCAGAGAACGACGTCTACAAAGATGTAATTTTCTTGAATGAGTTACGCGATTCTTATAACAACTTGACATTGAAACTGCTCCATAGTTTTATGTGGATAAGCAAGAATATTGATTCTAAGTTTGTAATGAAAGTAGATGACGATTCGTTTGTTCGACTTGGAGTCCTTGTCAGAGATCTTGAGAAAAAGCGGAAATTTGGACGAATATATTGGGGATTCTTCAGGGGTGATGCAAACGTCAAGTCACGTGGACCATGGGCAGAACCTAATTGGGTGCTTTGTGATAAATATTTACCCTACGCTGATGGAGGGGGTTATGTCTTGAGTCAGGAACTGGTGCACCATATTTCCAGGCAGTCAGAAATGCTGCAGCTATATAAAAGTGAAGATGTTTCAGTTGGTAAAACAATTTTTGTTGCTTCCTTAGATATCATTAACTGTGCTGTATAAACATTGATTGCACACACTCAGCAAAAAAGCAGCTTTTGCATTTTTAGCAGCAATCTTCAAAGAAAGTGAAAAATTTTCTTTACTTGACCTCTAGCTGGGGTCATTTTGTGAAAGAAAATCTATATCCTTTGAACTTTCTTTTTCCCCTTGTGAAGAGCTGATAGGCAGTTGCAAGCATTAGTCCAAAATCTAATCTTCCCCTTCACCCTCTGTGCCAACTATTATAAAATTAAGAGATAAAAAATAATTTTTCAACATGTAATCATCTTACATTTAAGTTTGGAAATAATGAAAATTACCATTCACCAGTCTGTCATAAAGTGCCTAATGCTGAGTAGGCATATGATTTTTTGTGTATAGAACAGAACGGTTCTTAGTTGCTATGGAACATATATGCGTACTTTGGAATGAACCTTTTCTATACAGCATGAGTTTAGAAATATGTGACCATAATTATTTTAAATGTAATCAAGTCTAAACAGCAATAACATCCTGTTTTAAAGAAGATTAAAAGGTCAACAATTTTATGTCATGTCATGAAATTTTCATTTCATGTCATTTTCATGTCAAAAAAAGCTGGCATGTTGTGATCTTGAACAATCCTAATATTGCTGATTTTTAAATATCTAGCCGAAAGTCTTGTCTGCTCCTATGGTACATATGGTTATTTTGTAATGTTTTTTCTTTTGTATGTTGTTCAATCTGATTTTGATGAATGAATAGATATCTGTTATTTTTTTTAACTTAGTCAGTTTAGGGCCTTACAGACAAATGTTGAATTTTGACTTCAGGGTCCACACCACCAGGAAGGCTTACATTTTTAGCCTTGGCCCCCCACTTTCAAATTCATGGTGCGGGCCCTGGACTTAGCAAAGATCACTTTTTACCAACCTGCTACATATTGCTTTACGTGCAGAGCTTTAAACACATTAGTGCTGAGACAAGTCAATTTTATCTCTCAATTTCATGCTCAGGGCCTGCACCTTGGGGGGCCGGGGTGGTGAGCAATTCTTAAGATTCTAAGTTTCCTAAGATTCAGTCCTAAGATTCTTCAAATAATCTACATTTTCCGCTAGAGGCATCCTTAAAGCACATGGAACTGTTAGGTATACATGACATTAGGGTAACCTTCAACAAAGAGTAAACGATAAAGAAAAGGCTTTTAGGAGGATTAGTTAAAACAGCACATTAGATTATTGTCTAAAATGGCCAAAATCTAAATATCAGATAGTCTGACCTGATTTAGCCATGATAAATTTAAGATGAACCTAAAATTTATGAAAGGCTATGATATTCATGTTTGTTGTGTTTTATTTGTATCATCACCCTCTCAAAATACAATTTTTTCTAAATGTTTTTAACTTTCTTTTGCTAACTTTTAAAATTAGATGCAACAGTATGTGCTATGACTTCTTGACTTTTCATTTATCTTTTCAGGAACTTGGCTTGCTCCAGTACGTCTAAACCGGGTCCATGATGTCAGATTTGATACTGAATATAAATCAAGAGGATGCAATAACAGGCACATTGTTTCACACAAGCAGACAATAAGTGATATGCACATGAAATATGAAGAATTAAAAAATAACAATCATTTATGTGCAGTTGAAAAAACTGAACGACTTTCCTTTGAATATGATTGGCATGCCAAACCCTCACAGTGTTGTAAAAGAATGAGAGGTATTCCATAAGATGATATTTTAATATATCAAATGATATTATTTCTACTACAAAAATGTTATTTTTTGGATAAATAGTGTCTGGTTTTAGTGTTCAATATTTTTATTATAAATCATTGAATCATACATCTGCAGCAATAAAAAAACCATAGATTTGTTTTATATACTCATTGTCTTCATTCCTTGATTCCTTTCATGAAAATATTTACATATCTATATCAGCATAGTGGGGTAGTAAGAGTAGGCAGCCTTTAGACATTTGTTTTAGCTTGTTATTGTAACCAGTTAGTTATAGTTATTCAAGACTTATAACCTGAATGAAAGTGAATGGTACCCTTGTGAAACTTGAAACAAGTGACTGCGAGAAAGATCTTGGAGTTAACATTGATAAAGATCTAAAGTTCAGCAAACATGCTGATGTAGCTTCAAAGAAAGCTAACAGAATAATGGGCATGATTAAACCTACATTGATAAGAAAATATTCAATCACTTCACTAGTTTACTGTTGTTCATTCTCATCGCATTGCAGTGTTTCTTATTTGCTACATTTTCATCAATTTTTCGCCACAAAAACTCCTTGGAGTCCTTCAAGTAGACTGCTATCGTGACCTCTTCTTTATTCACACAAATATTTGATTGCCTAATCAAAAGCTTGGTAAGACCGCACCTTAAATTTGGCAATGTAGTATGGTCTCCATGATTCAAAAAAGATATTCAAATGATTACGAAAATTCAGAAAAGAGCTTGTGAAGTTGTCACCAGTCTGAGAAACCTTGGATACGAGGAGCACTTAAAAGGACTACAGTTACCTTCTCTTGTTACAGAAGACTAAGAGGAGACCTTATTGAAGTATACAAGTACATACACAACTGTTACGATGCTAGGGGCCTGTTTGAGTTACACAAAGATTTTTCGAAAATATTTTTCATTCTGAGGATTACTGACATTTGGAATAAGTTACCAAACAGCATAGTCAATGCAAATTCTTTGTGTTTATTTAAAATAGAAATTGATAATTTATTCGATGTTATGTTATATTATGTTATGTTATGTTATGTTATGTTATGTTATGTTATGTTATGTATGTTATTTTATGTTATGTTTTGTTATGTTATGTTATTATATGTTATTGTATTGTATTTTATTGTATTGTAATGTATTGTATTGTATTGTATTGTATTGTATTGTATTGTATTGTATTGTATTGTATTGTATTGTATTGTATTGTATTGTATTGTATGGTAGATTATTTAATGTTAGTTTCTACAATAGTGAATATACACTAATTAATACTAACATGAAGCAATTTTAAGGATTGCATAAGACAGTTAATTTACTGCAAAATGAGCATGCCCACTTGTTTTCAAGGAACCAAGTTTTGATCAAATCCTTAAATTGTCTAGTATTTTGTGCTGTCTTTATTGATTCCGGGAGTGAATTCCAGATTTTAGGCCCTCGAAAACTTAATGGTCTGATACCATTATTGGTAGTTCTGGCTTTTGGAATGTCAAGGGGGTTTTTGAGTCGAAGGTTATGACTTGTTGTTTTTCTACAGATCTTATCGATATGAGCATCAAATTTTAAATTTTCATCAATCTGAACACCAAGCAAAGTAACCTTGCTCTCTATTTTAATTGCAAATTTGGTCAATTTCAAACTCATTTATGCATTTATCTTTGCTGCCGATTGTGATAGCTTGAAATTTAGAGGGATTTGCAATCATTTCATTAGATTTAAACCAATCAAGACATTTTTTGGTGTTAACTTTTACAAGTTGCAATAGTTCATTAGTATTTGTTGCAGTGACAGATATCGTGTTGTCATCAGCAAAATTACATAAAGACCCTTCAGTAAGGCTGTAAAAAATATCATTTAGGAAAATATTGAAAAGTAGAGGTCCAAGTATTGAACCATGTGGCACTCCTTGTCCAAGTGTACCCCAGGAGCTGTAATGACCTTTCACTTTGACTCTTTGCTTTCTATCAGACAGGTAGTTTTGTATAAGTAAAATATAATTTCTATCTACACTATAGGCATGTAGTTTTGCTAAAAGTAGGTTTTTTGGTGGACAGTCAAAGGCTTTTGACAAATCCATAAGAACAGCACCAATATGTTTGTTCCTTTCCAGTTCTGTTTTCCAGTCTTCAATACGTCTAAAGAGAGCGAGCTGGAAAGCAAACTGTTTTCTATATGCGCATAGGAATTTCGAAAATTTTTCTTCAAGAAATGGAGAAGTTGAAGCTCTATTGCTTTTTCAAATACTTTTGAGAGTGTCGTTTGTCGACTTATTGGTCGATAATTTTCCTTATTGAAAGAATCTTTTTTCTATTAGACAGGTGAGACTAAAGCCTTTTTTAAGAAGTTTGAAAAAGTTCCTTGAATAATGCATTTATTTCTGATGTTCAAGAGAGGTTGTAGGATGACATCAACTGAGATCTTTAGGAATTTTGCATTTATCATGTCGTGCCCGTGTGCTTTTTGGGATTTAGCTTCACGATTATTTGTCTTAGGCTTCCTTTGTTATGTCATGTTATGTTATGTCATGTTATGTTATGTTGTTATGTTATGTTATGTTATGTTATGTTATGTTATGTTATGTTATGTTATGTTATGTTATGTTATGTTATGTTATGTTATGTTATGTTATGTTATGTTATGTTATGTTATGTTATGTTATAATTTTTTAGAATATTTTTTTCTGGCCTTTTAGCATAAGAAACTGATATAGTCCTTTACTGTCTTTATAAACTCAAAATCATCCAAATGATTTCCAAGAAAAATTAATGAGGAAATTCTAAGGATGCAGCTATTTTTATAATATTCAATGTTGAAAAAATATCAAATTAATATTGCTGTCACAATATGACTGGTGTTTACAAAATTTAAATTTACCAGAGCAGCATCATATGGGAGAGAACATTATAATGATCTTGCTATGATACTTTGATACCATGCCAGAGGCGGATCCAGAGTGAGTTCCTTGATGCACAGAACTCAGTCAGTTTTCCAACATACAGCTAAAAAAAGTGTTGCCTGAAACAAGTAATATTTAAATTAAAAAATTGAAGCCTAAAAATTCTAAGTTTTATCACAGTCTCTTCAAAATCTTAAAATTGTCAGTTTCTTCTTCGCTGTGAAGGACAACAGCAGTAAATCCTAGAACTCGGAAATAAACGTTTTGTGCCTCGGAAGTGAATGAATTGAAACAATGAACTTTTTGTTTGGAACACGGATGGAACTCAGTCAAAACAGCATCTGGAACTCGGAAATGATACCATATTTGTAAGAGAGTTGTACAATGGCCCGTAGTTGATTGACTACCTATTGTTTCTGTTCTATTGTGGAAATGCAAAACATTGAATTCGAAATGGCGACTGCAGATGTCTTATACTCACGACCATCGCAGCATTCTAGCAGATTATTAAGCATTTGAGATAAAAACCAGGAGATATCATTAATTTTCCAGAAGTGTTAACTACCTTTGCTTTAATTTGCAGTCTTTGATGGCACGGAAAACCAATGCTCAGACGGAACACCATATTTAGATGAATAGGCTGGTGTCTACGGAAGCAAAACAAAAAATTGCGAGCAAAACAGAAGGGAAAAACTTTGCTGTGGCATCCAAAACAAGCAAAGGGTATTGAGAAAGGGAGGGGGTTGAAAAATTTTTCACAGAGGCACTGTTTTTTTTGTCGGAAAGAAATCTAGAATCTAGATTTAGTGAGTAGATAGTACCCCCCCCCCCCCCCCTACCCCCAATAGTATCAAAATTCATAAATATGAATAATAATGTTGTCTTATGCACAATGATAAATGCATTATCTGCAAGTATAGCCTTGGCCTGGAACTCAGTCAGGTTTTTTGTTGGATCCGCCCCTGTCATGCTATGATAAAAACCAGTAGAACGGACAGAGGGATTTGAAACCAAAATTAACTGCACCAAGGATCTGCTTTGAGTCCATTTCTGTTTGTACTCATCTTGGACTGAGCTACCCATGCCACCTTGTTTGTGCAAGCTTGGAAGAACTGATCTTTTATTTTGCATTAGAAATTGCCAATTTATTTAGTAGACAGGAGGCTTTGGTAACTGCTGACAAGAGAACAGTTTATCTTGAGTTAGTATATTCTGTGCAAAAGGTCGACAATGGCTAGGTGGTCTACACCTAAACTCTAAATATGGAAGAAGAACTATTCTAATTTTCATTTCTACCGTGAAGCCTGGTTCTGTTGTTTGACCTATTTTTAACGCAGAACATGAAATGTACCATTGTAAAGCATTCTAGTTTTTCGCAAAATCTGTTGTTTTTCGCGAAATCATGATGTTTCATCAAAGTTAATTAAAAAGATAGCAGATTAAATTTACGACCCTCCTTCAATTCCATTCTTAAAAATTTTCAAAGCCCCCCCCCCCCTAGTCTTCCAGCCCCGTTGACCACTGGTTGTTTAATTTACATGAAATCTTCTATCCGCCCCCTCCCATCCCTTCATTCATCTCCTATCCCCGTTTGTACGCACATGCAAACTGTGAAGAAATGAGCATCAAGCTTTATTCATTCTAAAATTGAGTAATTGTGTTTGATAAGAAATGGTTATGAAAGTAAGAAGAAGCAGGGCCGTCACTAAGTAGAATTCAAGACCTTCCTAGGACTCAGGGGCGGACGCAGAAAAAATCATGACCGTGGCACAAGAATAGTGTTAGGTGACCACGCCCTCTGGTCTTTCGGAAACGCCCAGTCTGAGCATACAGAGACGGGTATAGCTTTTATACTGAAAACATAGTTACATTTAGCGCAAAGCTGTCACCGCTCCTGTTTTCAACTTGCAAACAAATAAAGATGCAAACTGATGTAGGCTTGTCACTGGACGCACTAAAATAATATACATTTAAAAATTTATAAATAATGGCTAGTTCTTACAAGTGACAGATAAAATTATCTTTATCTGTAGCCAGATCAAATTATTGACAAATAAACTAGGCATACTTTTGCGAAGCTTCGACAGCTCGTCCACGAAAAGTTCCTTCAAAGCTGCATGGACTCGCGATTTAATAGATTTTTCAACTATTCTTTGAATATCCATTGCCAAAGCAAAGGTAATCTTTGCAATAAACTCAAATTCGAACTCAATAAAATTCTTGCGTGCTGAATCGCCAGTTTCCTGCAGACCGAACACGTTTTGTTTGTTTACCCAGCAATCACCGGAATCACCCTGGGAATCACCTAAGCAAGTTCATACTCGACAGCACATTTTTTAAATATTTGTGCCACGGTGCCACTTAATGAAAGAACATACGGAGTCTCGATGCAATTGATTTCAATACACATTTCTCGGGTCTCAACAGAAGCATACAGAGCCTCGACCGTGGCACAAGAACAAAAGCACAGCCATTTGGTCTCAAAACATATTGTTTAAAAATGTGCGCGCATACTTCTATTTATATCTAGTGTGGCACGATTGTTACTGTCCATATTTGGTAGAGCCAATTATTCTGTGGTTAACAAAAGGCAAACAATAAGCAAATCCAACATGGCGTACTACTAAATTAACAGCGGAGAGGGGGCGTGGTAGATAGACACTGGAGCGAAGAGGAAGTGTACAGCAAGGACCATATCGGGATACTTAGAACAGTCCATCATTTTCCAAAAATTTAAATTTGGAAATCTGACCGTGGCACGTGCCACCGGTGCCACCGTCTGAATCCGCCCCTGGGACTATAATTTGAAGTCGGAAGTATGGACCATCAAGGGAAAACGCCAAAATCGCGCGAGAATGAGCGGGAACTCGTATCGTCAAAGTGAGGCTGGAATAATATTAGCGGGAAGTATCCAAAATGGCGCGCGGAAATGGGTAAGTTAAAGCTGTGGCTCTATATTGTAATATATAACATCAGCGTTTTATATTCACCTCTATAATACAGACTCCAGTATTTTGCTCTGCTTTAGATCTACTTCCTAGACACTAAGAAAGCAGATCGGTAAAAGGCAATTTAAACCACGTGTAGCAACGCCATGGAGCTCGCAGCGCACCGTGTATTTGCGCATATCAAATATTTTTGGTGTACAGACGACGTCAAAGTACAAGCTGCAGTTTTGAGTTTCCCTTTCCATACAGATATCTTCTTCTAAAAGGAACTTCAATCCCTTAAGTATCGTTGATGAAGCATTATTTGACAGAAATAATTTAAGACTTTCTGACATCTACTTTGACAAATCAAAATGTGTTGTTATTATGCTTTCCGAAATCAATTTGCTCTTGATCATTTTATTTCTTTATCAAATTCCTAGATGTAAAAAATTTTATATATAAAATAGCAACATTCCAGCCATAACCTTTTGTAGAATCTCTTCTAATGTCTTTTGAAGTTAATATTTTCCCATTTTAACAACTATCAAAACTATCCTGCTCTACCCAGGGTGCATTCCATGTCAACTGTATGCTTAAGGTCCATGGGGGCATTTGTTTAGGTACGCCAAAAATATAAAAGCAGTTAGTAAAACAATAAACATTGTTGCGCCAGACAAAGAAAACTGATTATTAGAAAAAACTGGTGTGTGAGTCTTTATTTTACATCAACTATGTCCATGGCTTAATGTTTAGCATGCCAACTAACAAAAATTTTAAGTACGCCGAAATATTTTTTATTGGTTTGCATGCCAAACGCCGAAAATAAAACTCTGGGAGTACGCCAAAGATCTTCAGGCCTAAGTACATGCAATGCACCCTGGTGCTCTACCAACCAAAGCGTTAGTTATGTGTCAATTTAATTCATCTATTGTAGAAAGTTTTAATTTTTTCATATTAAACTTCTTCATATTAATCAAGGGAAACAAATGGACCATCTAATGAAGATATAATGTCCATTCTCCTTGGTAGGTTTTAATCTATACAACTTTCTTTTCTAAATAATATTTGATCTTCTCTTTTTATTTGTAATAATTTTGCATGAATGAACTTTAGAGGCTGTGAATTAAAACTGAAGCAAAGTTATCCATGTTCTATCTTGCTTGATGTGTTTGGTTGGCAAATAGTCTAATATATTTGAAGGTCTTGGCATCAGTCTAGGCTCAACAACATGTTTAGGAAGAATCTTTTTGTCTCTTACTAAGTTTGATTTTAAAGTGTCTCTGAATAGGGAGAATATGATTGTGTTTGAGTTGCTTTTAAAAATTTGATTTGATCTTTTTAGTGATTTCCAACAGGACTCATATTTTGTAAGTGGACCATTCTTATTTTGCAAGGAAAGTTGTGTCATATTTTCTTACTGCCACTTGAAAGGGAAAGTAAGATGACACTACATCTCATGGATCAAGTTATTTCTAAATCCAATCCCTTTAAGAAGAAAACACTATAAAAAGTAACACAGGATCCCGCTTCTTTGTGGAATAATTGATTTCAAAACTGGAAGTTTTTCGACAATTAAAATCATTATTTCTTAAATTATTTATTATCTTCAACTTAAAATGTGGAAAAAAGTATCTTGTTTTTATATGAATTGTGGAAAAAGTAACATTGATTTGGCTTATTTCAGCTACTGATTGCCATCTTGGTTTTATGGAGAAAGATCCCATCAGAGGACAGGATTCTTTCATAACCTTTGAAGAAGTGCTTCAGCAAGCTGTTAAAAATAATGTAAGTTCAGCTGGTAGATGAAGGTTTAACCATCATATCCAGGCAAGGTCTTTATTTAGCGAAATTAACAGCCAGTTCCATTAATCCTCTCAATATGATCAAAGTCTCTAAGTTACTGGTCTGTATGAAGAGATAATGAACATTGCTATTTTCTGATCTGTCATGGAGTGCTCAATGCTGTACAGGCAGAGCTCTATAATCAACAAAAACTTACAACAACTTAGAGATGTCCTATGCAACATAAGGCAATGCAACAAAAACCTACTGCTCATCAATTATTATGATTTCCCTGAAATTGTCCTCAAATTCATTAAGGTTTAATATTCTGAGACCAATTTGATGTTGACTGATATAATATCAAAATTATTAAGTCATACACTTCAAAAACAGATCTTACTGGAGGGCATATTTTAAATTGATGCTTTTTCTTAAAAACAGCAAATTCTACTTCAGGATCAAGACAATTCCATGTAAGAAGGCAGCCAAGATGGTAGACTGAAATGACCTAAATAGGAATATTTGAATAGGAGAATGAACCAAAGCTAAATTGGAAATTTAAAAACTTGTAGAATAAAGAATAAGAGTTACTCCAACTTCTAAGATGTGGCAATTCCCAGCCCAGCTCCATGCATAGCTTCTCGCATGATTGTTGTTCCCTATTATGTTCCCATTACCGCATTGACCCAAAATACTCAGCAGATTTGATAAATGATATTTTGATCAAATTCAGACTTGTAGTAAATCACATCCCCTTAGTCCAAAGGGGGTCACATTTTTAATTTGTAGAATCTATTTGGGTTTTGCTTTTGCAGATTAATGGATAGACATTTTAATATGCCCTTGGTCTGTGTCATTAGCAGCTGTATTACTGCCGTCTTTGTACACCAAGGTTTCAGTATTTAATGAAACTTTTGACAAGAGGAAGAAGTTTACCTTTTATATAACTGCACAGTTTTAATGTGCAGAATAAACCATCACATTGTACCCTTGAAAGTCCTTTTAAAAATATGAAAAGGTGCAGAACAAGCATCGCAAATGTGGATAGTTTGTGACTTTGCAAAAGTCTTCCCAGAAACTGGAAAAAGTGGAATTAAATGATAGTTTCCTTTAACATGTTAATTGAACTGAAAGTAGTTGACCAGGAATAGGTTTTTATTTTAAAATTGCAAAACTTTTGTACAGTTAGAATAGATTATTTCATTTCAATTCCAGGTTGATTTTATCCTGCTTGGAGGGGATTTATTCCATGATAATAAGCCATCTAGGCATACTCTCCACCAGACCATGTATCTGCTAAGAAAGTATTGTATGGGAAACAGGCCTAGTCAGTTGGAATTTCTGAGTGATCAGACAATTAATTTCAGCCATTGCAAGTAAGTTATACAAAGAAATTTTATTTGCTTGCTTACACAATTTGTAAAGATTCCTAATGTCTAGTCTAAGCCCAAATTATTTACACATATTGTGATATGTGCCAAAATTATAAATCGTACCCAAATTATTGGTTACAGATAATTTTTTAAATTAGCAATATAACATCACATTGTCTATAGCATAATGTTGGCTCAACTTTGCATGAAAGAATATCAAGTCAGTGATTTGATGTTTTTATGCCAAAGGAAATTGGACTTAACTTTTTTACTTTATCTCGCTTTATTATACCTCATGATGTGTATTGGATATTGCAACACAGATAGGATTTCCACTTTAATGTCTTTATAAACATGCTATAGAGTATTGCTTGTGTTGTTTGTGGCGTTGTATGATATATTCAAGCCCTACACTGCCAGATGAGAGACCTGTCAAACAGTAAAATAAGGGAATGTGTTTGTTTTGTGTTAGAGTTTTACTCACAAAATTCAGAAACCCGTTTTTTTACAATCTCATCCTCTTTTTTTAAGTCAATATATCTAACACTAAGTTCATCTATGGATGAAAAATAACTCAAATGACAGAAATTTTGTTAGCTTGCTACTGACACCTTTTTCCTCAAAATGGAGTCGATGTCTTTCAGTTTCTTAACTGTTATATTATTTTACGTACTTCATTATTGATTGCAGAGTTCCAGTTGTTAATTACGAAGACCCAAATTTAAATGTTTCATATCCCGTTTTATCTGTTCACGGAAATCATGACGATCCAACTGGCGTAAGTTTTATTCTACCTATTAAAGAAATATACTAATCAATTAAACTCAATTTTTATTGGAAATTATTCTCAAGGAACTAAGTTTGCCTGTTTTGGAAATAAATTTTACTAGGAGGAATTAGTTGTTAAACAGAAGCTAAGAAACGTTGTTGCTCAACAGGCAGAAAATAGCCTGAAAGAATTATCTTGAATTTTCAAAAGATCTATCAAGAAATCGATTCAATATAGCAACATTTTTTTTCTAAGAACTTGTTTCGATGAGTTTATATTCTGAAAATTGTCGGGAGGTATGAGTCTGTTCTCTAAGGAATGTCGGACACGATGAGTTTATACACTGAGGAGGATCGGACACGATGAGATTATACTCTGCCGAATGCCAGATATGACGAGTTTATACTCTGGGAAGTGTTGGGCATGATGATTTTATACTCTAAGGAGAGTCAGACACGATAAGTTAATATTCTGAAAATTGTTGGGTAATAACTCTCTTCCCTGAGGAATGTCGGACACGATGAGTTTAGACACTGAGGAAGATCGGACACGATGAGATTGTACTCTGCCGAATGCCGGATATGACGAGTTTATACTCTGGGAAGTGTTGGGCATGATGATTTTATACTCTAGGGAGAGTCAGACACGATAAGTTAATATTCTGAAAATTGTTGGGTAATAACTCTCTTCCCTGAGGAATGTCAGACACGATGAGTTTATACACTGAGGAAGATTGGATACGATGAGATTGTACTCTGCCGAATGCCAGATATGACGAGTTTATACTCTGGGAAGTGTTGGGCATGATGATTTTATACTCTAGGGAGAGTCAGACACGATAAGTTAATATTCTGAAAATTGTTGGGTAATAACTCTCTTCCCTGAGGAATGTCAGACACGATGAGTTTATACACTGAGGAAGATTGGATACGATGAGATTGTACTCTGCCGAATGCCAGATATGACGAGTTTATACTCTGGGAAGTGTTGGGCATGATGATTTTATACTCTAGGGAGAGTCAGACACGATAAGTTAATATTCTGAAAATTGTTGGGTAATAACTCTCTTCCCTGAGGAATGTCAGACACGATGAGTTTATACACTGAGGAAGATTGGATACGATGAGATTGTACTCTGCCGAATGCCAGATATGACGAGTTTATACTCTGGGAAGTGTTGGGCATGATGATTTTATACTCTAGGGAGAGTCAGACACGATAAGTTAATATTCTGAAAATTGTTGGGTAATAACTCTCTTCCCTGAGGAATGTCAGACACGATGAGTTTATACACTGAGGAAGATTGGATACGATGAGATTGTACTCTGCCGAATGCCAGATATGACGAGTTTATACTCTGGGAAGTGTTGGGCATGATGATTTTATACTCTAGGGAGAGTCAGACACGATAAGTTTATATTCTGAAAATTGTTGGGTAATAACTCTCTTCCCTAAGGAATGTCGGACACGATGAGTTTGTACTCTGCGGCCTGCCGGATATTTTATACTCCGGGGACGTGGCGGACATGATGATTTTGTACTCTGAGGAGTGTCGGGAATAGCGAGTTTATGCGCTAGAGAGTTTTGGAATTGAGATATCTATACGTTGAGGAGTATTGGACACGATGAGTTTGTTCTCTGAGGTATGCCAGGTGAAAGTACCTTTGTAATATTTGTACTACTGTATGTTTTTATGTATGAACTTTGCTTAAATACGTCTCTCCTTTATCATGCAGTTGGAATTACGGTAGGATTTTTTCACTCACTTAGTATATACCCTATTTCCTTTTTTCATCGTTGTAGGAAGGCAGCTTAAGTGCCATCGACCTTCTCAGTGTTTGCGGTCTTCTCAACCACTTTGGCAAGACACCAAGTGTAGATGAGATTGAGATAAGTCCAGTCCTCCTTCAGAAGGGGGAAACAAAGCTGGCTCTTTTCGGCCTAGGCTCAGTCAGGGACGAAAGGCTTCACAAAACATTTTGTAATAACAAAGTTAGAATGCTTCGACCAAAGGATGACCCAGAGTCGTGGTTCAATATTTTTGTTATTCATCAAAACAGGTTAGTGATATCCTTTCATCTACTTTCTCCCCTGGATTTTATCAAATCATGAAGCTTTATTACCAAAACTACATAAGATACGGGGCTCTCTTGAGCGCCAAAGTATACTGACCTCAAGTATCAAAAACACCCATATGTTGGCCTAAATGCGAGCTGCACCTATCCATTTTGAGTATGAGAATTTTAACTTTAATCTATTTTAACTTATCCAGCAGCAAACTGCTTTATATGAGTGAAGTTGAGACACAGAAGGGTATGTTGAGGAAACCTGGAAAAATGTATTTATTTTTTCGTTCTCTTTCTGTTTGTTTTTTTCGTGGCTTGTCACGGGATGGGTGCAATGTTATTCCAGTGTTACTACTCTCTGTGTTACATTCCAGTGTCTGCATCCCGGTCAAAAGTGCCTGAGTTCAAAAGGAAATCTCTAATTTGTCGAAGTGACTTAAGCCTAGCTATATCGGAATGTAACTGTAGTAAATTTTTGCCCAATTCGCCGCTTTCGGAATAATCTTTGTCAGACAATTGCTGACGTCATCTTTGGTTTGCGTTTAGAAATAGGAGTATGATACCTTTAGGTTAATGGAGCATACATAATAGCCATATTTTATGCTATTTTGAATAACCATGAGTAAAGATGTTTCTTAAGATGTTTGTTCATTTGCAGAGCAAAACACGGAGCAACGAACTATATCCCTGAAAGTTTTCTTGATGAATTTCTAGACTTGGTGGTCTGGGGGCATGAGCACGAGTGCCTTATCGACGCTGAGTGGTCGGTCTCTGGAAAAGCCTTCTACGTCACGCAGCCTGGCTCCACCGTTGCAACATCATTGTCACCAGGAGAAGCAAAGCCAAAGTATGTTAATTTAATACTTAATGTGTTTGCTTATACAACTTTTGTGAACAGTGTAATGACCCTTTCGCGTTTATTCTGCACTATCTGAACTATGATGTACACTCATTTATTTTATAAGAACATCGCTATAAGAAATAACTACTGGGCAGTCAGTAAAGTTAGAAGCTTCAGTACTCGAAACAAAAAAAATTACTAAACTGTTGAAATTTGGAAAAGGCAACCACGCGGAAATTTCTTAAAAATCCACCAATATGATTGTCTGGCTGGCATAGAAATTTAGACACAGAGAATTAAAATTTAAACTTAGTGATTTGCGGAGACGCTTTTCTTCGTAAAAATGTCATACCCTTCTCCTTGTCATTCTCTGTGCTGAAGATTTGCAAAATCTCAGGATTATGCTATTTAACCAGCGTGCACTTGGCCTAGTAATTTCAAGGTGTTTAGACAAAACATTTTGCTAAGAGAACCGTCCGTTTAAAGCGTTTGAAAGATATCTGAGAATACTTCTTGGTCTACAGAAATGCCCTGTTTAGATGATCCCTTTCCTAAATTATGTGCTGTGTGTTAAATTGAAATAAAGATAGACTTATTGTTGTTGCTTGATATGCCCATCATGTAAACCAAATCCTTAAACGAAAAAATATTCCTTTTTCTGTCAAGGTTATACTTTTGGTTTCATGGAATTTTAAAAATTTAATGTATATATATCAATCTAGGCATGTTGGACTTCTCCAAATACACAAGAAGAATTTCAAGCTGGACAAAATACCTTTGACCACTGTGCGGCCGTTCCTGATGGATGACGTCATTCTCAATGATACAAGCTTAGACCCATCATCTGAAGAACGCGTCTCATCCTACCTAAACCACAAGGTAAAAATGCCTTGTTTTGCATTCATATATCTAAATGGTTGCTCTCAAGTAATGTGATGGTTTATTTCGCCAAGACTGCGCCTTATTTAGTGTCATCGACGATTGATCATTAAGATATAACCCTGAATTGCTCTTCTTTCCTCTGGCCTATACTGCTAAAGCCTAGTTATTTTGTATTTTTATATTAATTGAGAAGTATTATTTATTGTGACTGAAGAAGACAGTTCTTCTTCAGTCAGACAGTACTTGGCTTATGTCCTTTTTATTCAAGTGCTTTGTGTAGAAAAAGCGGGTCTTGTTGGATTCAAGTGTAAAAAATGATATTTTTTTCATTTTCGGTGACTTTAAGACATGCGTAATAAGGAAAAAACTAGTCTTCATTTTTTTTCTTAAGATTTCGTCCCCATTTTTGTAAATTCAAAATGGCAGAAACCTCAGTTCTTAAGGAAGGCGTCAAATTAGGTCTTTGATGCATTATCTGAAACTTTGTTGATAATTCATTTTAAATCTATTTATTTATATGTAATTTTAGTGATAGATAGTTTATATATCTTGAACCCTCACCCTTTTTATAAAATATACACATTTTGACTGTGGAAGAGCAAGAAATTGTTGCCCATAATTCTTTGGGCCTCAAACCACGTGCTTTTTCGAGTTTTGGCCTAACGCGTGACATTGCTGTGCTGCTTAGTTGCTTAGCCGATTCATTAGTATTTACGGTATGTTACAATGGTTTTTTATTGCCAATTTTGCATTTAAATCTATTCTTAATTCTTGTTCCTTTGTACATTTATTGCACAAAACTATCTTTATTGGAAATGAAAACTCAATGACTTCCAACAACAAATTAGGCCAATGTTTCATATGTGATTGTGGTTGTAAGAAAAATGACCCCTCGAGACATGTAGCTGATGGGAAGAATGATGATTCAGTTGCCAAAATTCTTGAATATGCCCAAAAGAGGGCAAAGCTTGCAGACTCTACCTACATAGAATTGAAAAAACGACAAGGACATGAGTGCAAGAGTTATCATCTCTCTTGTTATCGGAAGCTCATTAATTCGACAAACCTTGCACGTCTAGAGAAGAGTTTTGAAAGATCCCACGCTGGCGGTGGGAATGGACTGCCACTACGAAAAGGCAGGTCATCTACCACGACATTTAATTATAAAGACCAGTGTGCAAAAAAGGCGCGGCTCAAGAGAATTGGAACACTGTATGATTCAGCTAAGTGTATATTTTGCTAGTCTGAAGATAATTCCGACCTACATGAAGTCTAGACTAGTAATATGGGGAAAAGAGAAAAGAGAGTAGAAGTATTGCAAAAATCGAAGAAACAATCTTACAATGTTATGGCAAAGTGCTTCATTGATCCCTTAGATGTACAAGCCTATGATACAAATTATCATAGAACATGCTTGATCAAAGAAGAGCGACTGTCATTCAGACAGATTATAAGAAAAGATAGTACAGTTTCTTTAAGCAGAGCAATTGCAAATATTGAAATAGTTAATATTCTGAAATTCTCACTGAGCCAAAATTTGGTTTGTCATTGAATGATTTAAACGTAGAATACATCAACATTTTGAAAGAGAATGGAATGCAAGTGTCTATCAATTATAAAAAGCCCATCCAAAAGTTGATTAAAGATAGTATTCCTAATGCCGAAATTCGTGGTGCTTACCGAAAAGATGAATGCAATATTGTAGTTTCAAAGGAAACCGGTGATTCTGTTTTGGCAACTCATTTGGATGACGATGATAATGAAGGGGATATGAAGGTTTTGCTTGAGGCTGCACTTATTCTCAGAAGAGATATAAAGAACTTTCCAGAATGGCAGTTTACAGGAACTTTTGATGATTTTGAAATACCAGAAAAACTCAAAGCATTTTGTCGCTGGACAGTTACTGGACACAAGCCAAATCAAGCGAAACTTGTGTGAAAGAAGAACAAGTCTAGTTGACTACGCAGCTAGTACAAGCCTTTGATACAAGTAAGGCTTTTGCTTTTGGAGTTTGCGCAGCTAGTATCTTTGCCGAGCATATGATATCAGCATACAAAACAGATCGACAAATTTCTTATGAGCCAAAATCAAACAGAACAGTATTTGAACAGGGTAGGAGAACGCCTCTATCTGTGGCAATCCCTTTAACCATTCACAAGGCCACTCGTCAAAAGAAACTCGTAAATAAGATTTCACACCTGAGCATAGGTAAAAGCTATAGCTAAATCTTGAAGCTCGAGAAAAGGACTGCTTCTGCAGTCTGCAAGGGAATGGCAGAGACAGGTAGTTTTGTCGTTCCGCCATTTATCAAGAAAGAGAGGAGCATATTCTTTGCCATCGATAATATTGACTGGCAAATAAATGATCCTAATGGGCAGAATCAGTTTCATGGAACTGTAGTTACAATAAATCAGCAATATCATCCGACTGACCAACCAATGATGCAAACAATAAAGATCGCATCAAAGGAAGAGCAATGCAGCTATGAGATAGAGAAATACACAGTTGCAAATGCAAAACTTGATGACTGTCCCCGAGGTCTTTATAGAGATAAAGTGGAAAATGCAAAGTTAAAGGAGTTGCTTTGGATTATCTGTTACATGCATTCCTTGCAGATATCGCGATGTTTCTCTGAGGAAAACAGTTCTACAGAGACAGAAGAGCAAGCTAACAACAACGACAGGTTTGGAGACAAGTTTGCTACTTGGAAGGCATTCAATTCACTTGCCTCGTCTGGTAGACAGCGGACTGAAACTAATGTTCTTTCACCGCTAATAAGAACATCACCAACTGATCAAGATTCACTGTTTACGACATTAAAGCTTGCTATGATTATAAGTGCTGTGGTGTGTGGTGAAGAAAGGAAGACAGTCATTACTCTAGACCTAGATCTTTACGAGCGAGCTTTGAATATACCAAATGCTACTGGAACCATGAATCATCTAGTGCTATGCATGGACGAGCTTTATGTTGTCTTTGCAGCGTTGCATGCTCTTGGAAAGCACATTGAGGGTTCTGGACTTGATCAAATATGGACAGAGCAGGGAGTCTACGGAGCAGCGAATCTACGGACCAGCGACAATACGTCAGCTTTTTTCGTGGAAAACATCACAAGAGAGGCATAGAGGCTCATCAAATGAACTTGCTTGTACTTGCAAATCTTTACCTGGATGCAAACAAGGATGCACAAGTTGAACTTATGCAAATGATCAGTGAATTTATTGATGACATATTACTCCCTGTGTAAAAAAAAATTCCATTGAAGATGTGTTCAAAAGAGCAGTCACAAAACTTGAAAACTCAGCAGCTTTTGAAAAGATGACGAAAAAAAGTACTTCAAAGCTTCAAATTTCAATTTTGAAGGAATTTGAGGCAAATTTCTACTGAACTACATGCGTCAGATAGAATGCCTGTTGAGATTCATTAGAGCTTCAAGAGAAGGCAATTTCAGGTTACATTTGGCAAGTGCAGAGGAGCTCATCAAATATTTATTTGCTCATGACATCTACAAATACGCTCGTCTGACTCCATACCATGTTGCAGAAATGTACAAACTGGAAACAGAAGATCCTGCAACATGGTTAGCACTAAATAGTAGGGATATGTCTGTCTGCAAATCAAATATACCGTTTTGCGGAATAGGGGTCGACCATGCTCTAGAACAGGAGATTCGTAACTTCAAAGGGGTTGGTGGAGTTACTGGTATCACACAAAATGATGATGCATTAACTCAGTACCTTTTGACAGCACCAGAGATTTCTCGAATGATCAAAGAATATTGGAGAAAGGATGGATCAAATGAAAAGAAGACACAGGTGCATTACCAGTTTTATGGTGCTGCGGCAAGCCGTCTTCGACAAAATGTACAGAAAATGAAAGGAGGTATTTTGAGTCATGCTGGCAATCTATTTGGTGAAGAATTCTGTAGCTCAGCAGTGGCACTCGTGGCGGTACTCGAGGTAGTCGACGTGCGCGGGGTGCTTCTAATGCGCGTGGTTCCGCACGCGGGAGAGGTTCGCGAGGGACCACAAAGTCCCGCGCTACAAGCAATCCATTTGGCTTTCTTGCTCTTGAAAGACGATGACCCAACCATTACAGCGCTCGCTGACCTTGGTGTTTCTCTTGATTCTCCACCTTGCCAAGATATCCAAAATTTAGAGAGATTTGCTTGTGCTGTTTACTGCAAAGTTTTGAAGTCCGAATCTTTGAAAGAGCTACGATGGGAACTTTTTTGCAGAGGAAAGGAAGGTGAAAAGCTACCTCTGACACACGCTCATATCGAAAAAATAATCTGAAATGTACACCAGCATGTTTTTGTGAAGACTGCAGCAACCAAGAATGCCAAAGTTACTTTGGTGGCATTGAGCAAGACTACAAAAGTGACAGTAGCACTGATTCGAACTGAGCAAATCATGCTATGGAAAAGCCCAAAAGGTTAACTTGTTTGAACAGATTAAACTTTCCTCTAAAAGGTTTTCAAGTTGTAATGGAAATATACAATTGTGTAACGAGTTTGATATAGACTATCCGTAGTTATCAAAACATTATATCCTTTCTTCAATAAGTCTTCAAAGTTCCATTTCATTTAAAAGAATAATGTTAAACGGTTCTTCGATTTTCCTTGAAGCAAATTCTGATGCCGTAGATCCTCCTAAAAGCACGTGACAGATGGCTATTGTTTGCGCATGCGCAGTAACTGGCGTTTGAAATTTGAATAAGGACTACGTTTAGTAGGACTCTTTGATATTGAAAATGTTATGCTCTCAGCTTTGAAATCCAGTGGAACAGATTTTTCTATGCATATAAGCCTATGCATAAAATGAATAATTTCCGCGCATGCGTAATGATAGTAGCAATTGATAGAAAAATTGAAGACTAGTTTTTTCGTGGTCTGTATGTAAATGACTAATGATTACTATTAACAACAAAATCCAGCGGAACTACATATGTAACTTGACTATTTCCGCAACTTCATGGTGTAACATAGGCCCTTCTTTCTCATGCTAGGAAGAGTCTTGCAAGTTTTACTTCGTTGGCAATTCCTTCATCTTAACGTAACATTAGTTTGTCGTCCGTTATGCTTTCTATGTTTATGTTTATGTCATTTATCAATAATGCCAATCATTTATACAAGGGTTAGTTAGGAGAAGAAGGGGGAGAGAAGCGTGGCGTTGTGAAAGGTCATTGCTGTTGGCGTTCATATAATTTGTATTCGTGAGAAGCAAGCCTTGTGTTTTAATTTCTCTGTGTTACGTGGTGCAAAAGTGCCCTTTTTCATTGACGTATCCGCATTTGTCTGAAAAAGTATCTTAAAATAACGTATCCTGAACATCGTGGCTATGTTTGTTGATATTTGTGCAATGATTGGTTTTCTCCATGGAGTCAGATCTCCATTGATACGCATAATAAATAAATATACTTGTGTTTGTTATGATGCAAAGAGTACTGAAATACCATTCAAGGTCATGAATTTAACGCAGCCATTTTTCCTCAAGGTGGAATCAATGATTGCCAAAATCCCAAATGCAGAAGAAACTTTGCCCCTCATAAGGCTCAAGGTATTCATTTCTCATTTTGCTCTTCTCCTCAAAAGCTGATACAGCTGAAGATTAACTGAAATGTAAGATATGATTGCGAGATACCTTTTGGCGGTAGCTAAGCCTAGTTTTGGACGAGGACCTGTCATTTTGGTTTAAAACTCGCACCCATAATTCCGGACATATGTGAAAAATGTGACCCAAAATTCTGCAAGCATAGTGAAAACGATACCTATAATTCCGCAAAGCAAATAACATTTTTTTAAACACAACAAAACCTTTAAACAAAATTCCTTTGCTCCAAAACTCTCGATATTACGCATCTTTCTTACGTTCATTTCTAACTGGACATTCATTTGGTTAATGCTAAATCTCTCTCCTGATACTTTTGCAATATTTTCCAGAAAAGGTACACATATTTCTGTATGTTTTTTCAAATGGTACCCATAGCTCCACACATATTTCAAAAACTGTGGCCGATAATTCTGCACTTTTCATAAAAAGGTACCCCTAAATAATACCACGTGCCCGTACTCCAAAACCTATCAAGGCTCGCCCCCTTCCCCGAGCTTTGTAAATAACGTCTTCTTTCAGAAATGAGAGATCTCCTTCATTTGATTGTGTAAGATTCTGTATACACTTGATCGTAGGCAGATAATTCTTTCTCCAGGTGCCGTTGTTTGACTATAGCTTTCCATCTATGAATCCAAGACATTCTAGTAGATTTGATTGTTCTTATCAGGTGGAATACAGTGGTGGCTTTAGCGCCCTGAATCCTCATAGATTTGGACAGTCCTTCGTCAATCGCATCGCAAATCCTAAAGACATTCTTCTCTTCTACCGAAAGAGAGCACCATTCACAAAAGGTTTGTTCATCTGTTCAGGCGTCTTCTCTTGCTTGAGTTGACGCTCTTTAGCGATGCAGTTCCTTGCAGCCTGCATACCTGTAACGCAAAGATTAAACTCATTTAGTCTATATTTAGCTTTCGCAAAACGTCGCTTGGTGCATGTCTGTGACTTCCAGAACCCTGTGATCCGCAGAAATCACCCCCTTTTATGTGAATCAGGTCAATTTTTTTTATCAATTTTTTACAATTTGTCTCTTATTATGAGGCTTTTGTTACTTTAAGCTCAACCTTTTTTCAAAAAAAGATTGAAGAACGAAATGGCAAAGTTTTGATCCAATGACATTTTGGATCCACATTTTTATCGATTTTATGATAGACTAAGCTCGATTGTTCTTCTTTCTTGGCCTATATCTTTACTAGAATTGTTCATTTCTCTAGTTATTATAGTTTACGGGTTTTTAATTTAGGCGTTCACTGCATTTGTATTTGACCGACATAAAGAAGTAATCCATGTTGTAGGAAATAACTCTTTCTATTCTGTTTTAAATCAAGTCCCAATCATGCTTCAAGTATTCCGTTATATTCTCGTTCTGATATTTTTTATTGCATTGTTTTTAAGGAGAGAAATCGGAAAACACGGGGAATTTTGCCGATTTTGCAGTCGATCATGTGGATGGTGTGCGAATGGAGGATGTTATAAAGGAAATTCTTAATAGCACTGACCAGGTTCGTATACGGTGCTACGATAACCTAACCTTAATAAAACGATCTGTTTACGGTGAATCAGCTTGAAAGAAGCCAATGCTTAGAGTTTTAAATAGGGGGATTCTAAATTGGGAAATTTAGTTTGGAGGCTGTCAATTTCTGTTTCTTCACACCACAAGCAATGTTTTGTTTTCGTTTTCCTAGTCTCTGCAGTTAAATGTTTTATCAGAACGAAGACTGGGCAAGGCATTACGCGAGTTCGTTGACAAGGAAGAGAAGGATGCTATTCAAGAATTGGTGAAATGGGAACTTGGAAAAGTGCAAAGCGAATTGATTCAAAGAAACGCAAAGGAGGACAGCATATCTGAGGAGCTTGCAAATGTAAAACTCAAGAGGGAGGCGGATATCGATGACCAAAAAGAAAATGAGGAGATTGAGAAGGTGGGCCTTTTGCTGAAATGTGCTAGATTTTGCCAGCTATTCATAGCCTTGGCAGGGTATTTTTGAAAAAATGCTCAACAGAAGTTTATATTCGTATCATCAGAATAATAATAATAGTATTAAAATAAGTACAAGAATAATTTTAAGAAATGATGATAACTGAATTATATAGTTCAACTGAAGTGTTTTGTTTAGGTGCTAGCCAGCTCCCGCACCAACATAGTCAGCAATGCCGATTCATTTGAAAGTGATGCAAGTGACGATGATGTGGGCAATGCACCGAGCAGCAGTGGCACTCGTGGCGGTACTCGAGGTAGTCGACGTGCGCGGGGTGCTTCTAATGCGCGTGGTTCCGCACGCGGGAGAGGTTCGCGAGGGACCACAAAGTCCCGCGCTACAAGCAACAGAGGGAGGGGTTCTCGTGGAGGTGCTGCGAAAAACTCCCTTTTAACTGATTGTGAGTAGCTGTGTGTTTTATTTTGTATCTCAAAACAATTCCTACATCTTCACCTGCCTGGTCGTAGTTCAATCTATTAAAGAGACGCTCTTGAGAAAAGTATCACCGATTTGCTAAGAAAACCGATTGAAAGAAGGAACTTGATCCATGTTAGCTGAATTAGCCGGGAACGGTAAAAATGTGAAGGGTTTCTCAACGAAAGTTTCCCATCACTCAAAATATATTAACAGTTTTCTTGACTTTTCTCAGACCGTTTCTTCAACGTTTTAAATTTTTGCAAATGTTTCCCCTCAGCATTTATCACCGTGACAAAACCCTCACAAAAAAGAGTGAAGACAGAGGTGAGTTTTAATCTCTTCGTTGCTGTAGCGTTTTCTTTGAATTGTCGCCTAAAATAAAACTCTAGCAATAGCAGAAACATTTTTATGCTCAAAACTATGCTATTTTCCTTTAATGACTGATTTTTGTGAGATCGTTGTGAATCATACTTAGTAAACTATAAGAAACTCGCTACAAAAGGCGAGTACTGGACAATCAGAAAAAAATTTAAAATTTCCCTACTCAAGCAAGAAGATTCAAGAAACAATGCAATTTTGTAACAACCAAAAAGTTTGAAACTTTGTGAAACCCACCAATAGTTTTGGCTAGTTGGCGTAAAACTTTAGATTCAGAGAATTTAATTCATTCATCTTAATGCAACATTTAGATCCAAAGCAAATCTCTTTGTTAAAGTGTCACGAGCATTTGAAAACAATAGGAAACATTGAGAGATTTTACGGTTCGTAGCTGCTAAAACCCTCCCTAACAAGTTTCTGTTGGAAAATTTCTTATCATGAAAGGTTGAATATGGGGCCATCTTCAAGTAACAGAAGGTTCATTTTGAACCACTGTGTCTCTCCACAAATCACGATCTTGCGCCATCCTGCAGATTTCAGCAAAACCCGTTGCACCAATACTATTAACGGAACTATTAATTTTGATGTTGTGAATAATCCTAGTTCTCGGTCTTCCTCGTCATCTTTTGCCTTAAACAGTTCCGATCAGAAGATCTTTCTCAAGGTTCTGTTTTCTTAAAATGTGCCCAACAAAATCCATCTTCCGGCTGCTAATCGATGCCAGCAGTCTGGTTTTACAATTCATTTTACAATTCAACTATAGGACCATGATTGTTAGATTAATGACATCATACTAAAGAAACTCTTAAGAATCAATGAGTATTGAAATTTCCCAAAGTGCTAGAAAACCGGAGAACTCAACATCGACCTTTGTTTATTATAAAGATTGAGTGCAACACTGTATCATCAATACGCACAGTAAAAATATGATAATTTATCATCATTGCTATTCTCCGGTTCTTTTCTTTTTAGTCCATTGATTTGTCTAGTGATGAAAACGGTTATGATGACACAAATTTATCAACTGTCTCCAGGGGAAGCAGGTTTACTTTTAGATTTATTTACAATTTACTTTCACAACATCCAGCTCAATGTCATCTCAAAAATCTTTCTCTGAAATCATGAAAACGATTTAAATATTTTTCTCCGAAATATTTTTCTTTCGCTTACTGGCTAAAGGCTATTTCAATACATTAGTTTTCTTTTAACCAAAGGAAATTTGTTTTTAAAATGTTTCACTGGTCTGCTCTTATCTGCATTTTTTCCACTTACACCTTTTCCGTTTGTTTCCTTTGCAGGCAATCACGCAAAGCATACGAGCAATCAATTCCTGTGGTAGGTTTGACTAGCAGTTTAAATAGAACAGTTGTCTAATGATTGCATTACTCTTGTAGGCATAACTTAAAACCGTCCTGTCCTATGTACCTAAGCGTAAAGTTCTACTTATACCCATCTTTTAAAGACTTTTGAAGTCTTCAAAAAATGATTGTTTAAAGCTAAGGAAGTTATTTTAAGTAAAGTGTTCTTTGGGTTATGCTTTGTCGGTGCAGGATTCGTGGGCTCATTGTAGCCTTGGAGATTTTAGTGTCACTTTAGCAACGAAAAGTGCTGTTTTATATGCCTACAAGAGTTAAAGAAGAAACATTTGTATAATTTGGTAGAACATTTTTAACATGAAAAAGTAGGCAGGTATCGACAATTATTCTACTGGAAGTCCTTGCGTCAAACACTTGTAGTTAAATCCGGGAACATTCGTTTATACGTCATCATTGTTTTATATACCTACGTCGACTTTGCATAGTTTTGTTATTATTCCTTGCTCTTTGCTCAAAATATTAAGCAAATCATGGAAAATACCGCAGAATGTACCGATCAGCACATCCCTAGAATTTCTCAAAGCTTTTGCCCGGGAATTAGTCCTGAGCCCTGAAGAATGTCGAGTTCTGCTGTCTATTAAAATCCCACCCAGAGTCTCGATTATAAATGGGCCTCTTTTTCACCTACCAATCGAAAGGGTACACTGCTTAATGCGGTATTGGTAACTGCAGCAGGTAAAATGGCGAGCTGTCTTCCCCTCGTTCTTTCAGCTTGCATAGAGACTGTATACGACCTATAAATTTATTATGGGTCTTACCTCGGCTTAACCCCTTAATGTTTTTGTTCAAGTTTCAAGTTTGCACAGTTAAATTAACCGTCTTTAATCTTTCCTCCTCCAGAGTAGCAGCGACGAGGACTCGGACCCGTTTGCCATTCCGGCTTCAACTCGCAAAAGATCCAGACGATAACAGACTGGAAATTTCAGAGTCAAATGCAAAGGTTATATTTCAAAATAAAATAGCTAAGTATCTCCTTGTACAACTGTACCCATGTTGTAGTATCTTTTTGCAAGGTTTACCCCACGAGATGCGGTTAGCTACTTTACATTTTTAGGAATACCAGTCACCTCGTTCTATTATTCTTTGAAGCCTACGAGTATAGATTTTGTTAAATTTAGAATAGCATTTGCCAATTTCTATATGCGTCTTAATATTCCAGATTGATTACACTTGCTTTACGATATCGCAAAAATAACTTCCTAGAAGTATTTTGTCCTATTCAGATCGTTGCAAAAACTGTAAAATTGACAGGATAGTTCAAAACTATAGAATGTCTTAGATCAAGCTAAACCTAAGCCCTGGCTCCTCTAAAGCTTCGAAACTCACTAGTAGAAAATAATTTTTTCACATGACATACAGGAAGGAAAGCAAATATTTCTTGAATCATTGAAAGTAAGAATTATCGAAAGTTCCTTACCTAAATAGTAGCAATTGAGGAAAAATTTTCTTTAAATTGTTAATAACTCGAATTTTCAAGTATTTCACTTAGAAAGTGTTTGCATAGGTTGTTTATGTTCACAGAGATATAGAATCTCCAATCAAATCTAAACAGATTTTTAAAAGGCATTTCTTTCTCTCGTCCTCTGCTGTATAAATCATTATGAAAGTACTATCAGGATTTATTCACTGCATTCAAGCTATCTTTGTTCAGATATCAAATCGATATTCAGCACTTAAGAAGTTGTTACAAATTCAGCATTATGTTGGATGGACGTTTCGATAGCTCAAAGCACAGCAAAAATTGCTGTTGATCGCTTTTAATCGCTTTTAATCGCTTTTTATTTGTCAAAGGATATTAAATGTAAGAATTAAGAGAATTAAGCTGTTGCTTTCATAGAAAATGGCCATTCCATGTTCCGAATATTTTTTATGGCTTTAGTTTGGCTTCGAGAGTTATCATGCTGGACAGACTAGATAGAAATACATGTATTTTTTTAAGTGACCATCATTGCTACGTGTATCTCAAATACGTATGAATGTAGTGAAAACACTTGATTTTTGAAAGGAAGACATTGATAGATTGTTCTAATCCGCATACAATTAAGACAAGAAAGACTTATATCGATTTTTTGCGTAAGATTATTGAACCAAAGTCTTCGTTTATCAGATCCGTGGTTTAATTAAACGATTAACTGAAATTAGAGCGACGCAAGTGGTTCATTTGGACTTACATTTTCAGGTGGGCACATAGTTAGAATAACCAGACAAAAAGAACGCTGGAAAATTTTCTGTTTCAAATTTTAACGTTGAAAACCACTGAAGAACTACACGAGGATTATGATTGATAAGAAACAAAATTACAATAATAAAGATCAAAATTACATAATGTCCTCCCCAGAGCACTTAATGGATTGTTGGCTTTCACAGGATTACTGAAAATGTTGAGGATCATTTTCCAAATGGAAAACTAATTTTTGCCAAAGCATGTTTAGGGAAGTTGCTATTAAGTACCTAGTTTTTTCGAATTTCCGATTGCATGATTAGCGATTAGAAACAAATCCAGAAACAACCTTTGTGGCCTTGGGCTTTCAAAGTAGCAAATGTCTGATGAAACATGATGAATTAAACCAACACACTACAACAGCCGCAACAACAACAACAGCAAGCGCAACATAATCAACAACAACAACACATATTTTAGGCAAAGCCTAGGGCGGCCTGTGTATAAGTGACACTTAAATTCGCTCTACAAAGTAATAGCATCTGTATGTTTAGTGTTTGTGTCCATTGGCAATGCTTCATTATGACCCATTCATGCTTTTGATTGTAGAATTCAACAGGGCTAGCATCGTCCTTTGGTTTTCGTAGCAGTTTGTTTTACTACAAAAGCATAATGACAGCATCCAGATAAGCTGCCTTAGATATTCAAGTAAATTTTTACAGCTTGAAATTTACTTGTTATTTGACATTAACAAATATTTTCTCAGGAGAAAATTCAATTCAGGATTCTGCAGCATTCAGATAGGGAGTGTAGTCTTTGTTTGACAGATGCAATAGGAACTCGCAAATAAGAGCCAATCATTGAAGAACATAGATACTATCCTTTTTATGCATAATGCTCAAATTGACTACGTTTGACATTTATTGGTTATCAATAAGATAGTGAATCTGCTTTTAATGCAAAAAAAACAGATCTAAGAACCAATCGCAAAGATAGCCCTAAATTAAGAACTAAGAAGAAACTTTGAAAAAGCATGAAAAATTTCTTGTTCTTATTTGTGCGATTTTGCTGTATTGTAACTCTTGCGTCAAATGGCATCCAATTCCTCAATGCAACATGATGTTTTGGTAAACCAATGAACTTTAATCTATATTGCTAGCACCCAGGGCATTTTTTAGCAGATAATAAAGCAGATACAACTCCAAATAATGGTGACAAAACGAATGTTTTCATCAGATAGAAATCAGCAAAGCAAACCTTACGATGAGCTTGATATATTTTGCTTAGCGAACAAACAACCTGTGATTGTTCTAAGTATTCACACGACAAATTTACGGAAATTCTAAGAACGCTTGTTTTTGTTTGTTTGTTTTTTATACATAGAAAATAATCACAATACAATTTTACATTCGACTATGCTACCTAATTACTGTACTACTTTACGGGGACGACACCATGAAGGCAATTCCTTGTTGGAACATATGAAAACATGTGAAATTATCAGTATTCGTACTAAAAACGCGTGAAATTATCGGTATGTTATGTGATGAATAGAAATTGCTTAACCCTAAAAGGATTCTTTTTCTTGGCTTTTCTTTTGGATACTGACAACTATCCATAGAACCAGCGAAAGACAGGCAAAAGTCTTAACATGCGTGCCCTAGAAGGAGAAGCAGGCATTGCACTAGATTGGCTAAAGGATAACCATATGATTGCAAATCCATCGCAATTCCATGCACTGATTAAAAAAGAAAAAAAAGCTCCTAGTGGCACGAAAATAAGTATTAAAGAAAGGAAAATTGAGACTGGAGAGTTGGAAAATTGATAAATATGCAATAAAAGCAACTCATCCTCTGGGAACTCATCGGGCCTAGGCCAATCGTCTTCTCCACTTCAATGTTCCCGCTTGCAAATCTTCATCGCTTTTTGGTAGGGCAAATACTTCACCACCACATGCTCCAAATACTATGGCAAATGTTTTCCACAGAAATAAAAGAGTCATCAAATCTTGCCCAGTTTAAAACTCGGATAAAAAAAATGGAAAGGAGAAGAATGTTGTTGCAAATTATGTAGATGCTACGTAGCTCAGGTTGGATTCCTTGACTAGAAAATAAAAAAAAAAGTCGTCTTGGTGTGAAAATTTTAGGACATCTTGTAACTGTAAACGCATTGTAAAATTTAATCTTTTTTTTAATTTTTAATTTTTAATTTTCATTTCTTTCATTAATTAACTAATTGTTTTATATATGTAATCATTAATTATTCATTCTTAATTGCTTTTTATTCTAAATTTTTGTAAAATAGGCCTACATTAGCTTGTATATATGTAATTATTAATTAGTCATTCTTAATTGCTTTTTATTCTGAATTTTTGTAAAGTAGGCCTAAATTAGCTTGTACACAAATTGTACATAAACAGCTATTTTATGCCCGCCTACTGTAAATAAATTGATTATTATTATATTATTATTATTGCTCGTCGCTCGATTTTGCGACTGTTGCTTACTGCAATGTTGTTTTCATTTCCACGCTTAGGATCAGGCCCGTGTACGCAACTTTACGTCAGCGCCTGAAACGTATCTTACTTGAATTGGTTGAAAGAGCTTTTTTTGAAATACGAGAGTAAATCATACATTAAAAGCCTGTCCAAATGAACAATCGTTTCCTTGGACATTTCTCTGTGAAGTTGGAAACTGGGCCATCAGGGGTGCCGTCCTAAAAAGCTAGGCTGGGACTATGTAAACACAACACCCATGATAACACCAAATATACTTATATACTATAATTGTGATTGGTGACAGTTGGTGCAATACTTTAAGAACTAAGTGTCTTTACCGACAAGTACGCATTTCCCCCAAAACAACCAGGGCTTTTACTAGTTTTAGTGCACAAGGGGGTTGGTGGGAGTTTAAGGGGGTTGGTCCTGAGGCCGGGGTGCTCGGCCCCCTTTTAAAAATTGAGAGAGATTCTAGGAGACTCACCCCCAAATCGCCCCCCCCCTTTGCAAGCCAGTATACGTTTGGGCAAAAAACGTACTTAGCAATGTGAATTAAACCTTTACTTTGCTATTGATTTGATCGGTGAATAGTTTGAACAAGAATCCTTAACACAAATGTATGACTAATGGGCTAATCTTGGGTGAGGCATCTAAAAGTTTCCTACAGCACAGCCCCTCACTAACTTTTTAAGATTTCACCCCTGCCCTTACTGTAAATTGGCTTCTAAATACGGCAGGTTCCGAGCTAAATGTTCGACAAAACTTTAGAATGACACCAAGAATAAACGCAGATATAGCTTTCTAAATTGTATATCATTGTACGACTAGTACCACTAAGCCTTTCAGAAGAGCGAAGTGTACGTGCTCACAATACTAACTTTAACTCTTAACTAACTCTGGATTTGTGGAGAGCGATATATATTAGCCTGCGTCACAGATCAAAAACTTCCATGAAGTGTATATATGTGTTATAGCGTTAAACTAGTTCCTTGTACAAATAAAAGATGTAATTTTGATACTCTTAGGTGTCTACATAAGAGGAAAAGCAAGCTAGAAAACAATAAGAATGTGTCTAGATACGTATGCATAAGCTGAGTCAATCCGCGAGTCAATCAATAGTGTAGTTCTTAAAATCTTAAAATAAAATATTACTATAATAGAGGGTGGGTTTCCTTCGTGAAAGTGTTCTTACTAGTATACGCAATGCAACAAAGAGTGCGATGCAAGTTGACGCAAAAGAGTATGCACAAACAAGTATCGGTATTACACTACCCAGCCCTCTGTTTTTCCATATTTACATGGTGCAATTATTTGTTTCCCATTGCAACTGAACAATCAATTGACCTAGATGTGCAAACAAAAGAACAAATATAAACGCGAATACATAAAGAACGTCGCCTGAATATAAGAGCAATTTGCCTGTATCGGGGAGAGAAGCACAATCAATTTCAAACTGAGCGGAGAGGTATGTAGTCTGTAGTTAAGGTGTTTTGTAGTATGTAAGATATATTGTAAAAAATTTTATTAGAGTAAAAAAGGTTCGTTTTCCATTATTTTTTATAGCAGACTGTTGTTACACCAGGGGTGGCGCTAGAGACAAACCTTCAAGGTGCCGAAGTTTATATTCTCCGTAACTGCCGACGCTGGATGTGTCAAATTGCCGACAGAAAAAAAATTCGATTTTCTCCGTATAGCAGGGCCGTCCCGAGGCAAGCCTAATGGGGGGGGGGGGTGTGAAATACAAATTCACGTGATAAAAAAATTATTGCCTGAAACTTTTTAGCTGGTGTCACAAACCTCTGTAATACATTTTGTCAATCTAACTCTGTATGATAATAACCGACTTTCCTAAGAGTCTTGTCAAACCTCTCTATCGGGACGGGCAACATATATAGTTACTACCTGAGGCGGCACCATGGTTGCCGCCGAAGGGGCAGGAAATTTTCAAATTGTGATGCTTCTAGTTCCCTGGAAAATGCGCTCTTTTAAGCAAATTTCACTAAAGCAATCCTCCTAATCCTATTGAAAATTATTGTCTTTTTGCAAAACTTTTTTACAGCAGATAAAAACAACAATTTCGCAGTGGTCTTGAAAAATACCAGATTGTCAGTTACTTCTAAATTTAGATCCCTCTGCATGCCTTTTGAATGTTAAGAAAAATCTGGAGCTCATAGTGAATTGCAGTTGACGCTTCTACTGAGAAACTTTAGAAGAAATGGACACGAGGCACAATTTTACCTAAGATTGCTTGATCCTTTATAGATTTTATGACATGAAGGTCTCTGAAATACCTAAAGCGTTTCTTCCACCGAGCGGATTTTACCTGAAATTTCCTATTGAGATACTATTGGGGTGGGTGTGAAAACCCCCCAGTCGCGACGCCCCTGAGCAGCACCTCCAATGAAGGGGAACCGAAGGGTCATGGCCTCCACTTTTTTACAAAGCAATAGAGCATTTTTCCAAAATCTTTTGCTGTGGGTGCAAAATTCTCCCTTGCCCCCTCCCCGCCCCCACTTTCCAACCTGTGTCGGAGTCCACGAGATTTTCTCGGCAATTTGTGCCTTGTAAGAAACTTAATGCGCAAATATTGCCTATTGTTGAATATTTCTTCCTATCTATGGTGGAAGAAGTTAATCGATGGCTTTCTCTAAACCATTTGTTTGTCGCAAGCTATGCAGTGAACAATGCTATTGAAAAATAGTTGATGAAAAAGGACAAGAAGTGCTTTTTGAAAAATTTATTACGCAAAATGTGCTCATGATCGAAATGTTTTCATTGGCAATAATAATGTCTTGAAACGAAAAGAGAAACCCTTAAGAAGAAAATTCATTAAAGACTTTATTTATGACAGCGTGATTTTGCTGTTGTTAGGGTAAATTTCCTTGAAACGGTCCAAAACATGATCTAAATCAAGCATCTCTGCACGTTTCGCATGAATCGGCATTCGCATGAGCAGCAACAGGGATTTCAACCGAGAGGAGCACGATGGTATTGTGGGTCATGCGAAGGAGCACCATGAAATTAAGTCACAGCTTTCACGGAAGCGACAAGATATAATGCAACTTAATGGATATAATGATAATAAAATTGCCGAGAAAAGCCATTGAGAAAACCATAAACCAGCCAGTGCAGTTTTCTCTTCGATTATTTATGTCATTCAAACAACATGTAAACCGGGTGACATCCATCAAGTGCCGACGGTATTAAGAAAGCAAAAATTGATTGGCTGCCGACGTGGGGGCTAGCAAAAATCTAGGGGGGGCTAAAGCCCCCCCTTGCCCCCCCATGCCGCCACTCCTGTGTTACACCCTTTTTTGCAAGAGCAAAATATATATTGCTGAGGTTTGTTGTTCTTTCTTCAACATTGGCCTATCTACAACTGCATTCTATGAATTTGTTCCAAGGCCACTCGATAGCAATTTGGCTTGATGCTTTTGGTAGAACATGAGAGTAAATTCTCAAAAACACATTGCATTTCTCTCCAATTTTAATCTGATGCTTGACCTCCTTTCTTTATTTTCTTTAAAGACAAATCGAGGCTCGAGCCTCAGTGTTCTTAGAAAGTATTGTTTTGTAACAATAGTCAATGGCCTTCAAAAACATAAGATACAACAGTAGTGTGGAGTGTCGTAGTCATGTCATAAGTAGTGTCATAAGTTCCTATGTGTTGACAGTTGTCATTCCAAAGTAAATGAAAATATCATTCCGCAGCCCCTGAGGATATTGCGTCTACAATTTCAAGAGCTTGAGCATCAAAGGAAGCCATGACTGCTTTCCTGTTTCTTCTGTGTTGTTTTGCTGCAGCATCTGCGGTAGGTATTTCAACAACAGTTTCTTACCTTAGTTTGCACAACAACTTATAAGAAACTTGAGACCAGAAATAGCAAGCTCTTCGAGAACGATTGAATTAAAACTGGATTTTAAGGGTTGCTCTAACCGAATTTGCCTATTTTCTTTAAACGTTTTACAGTTTTTAAGCGCTTTCGCTTCAACAATTGTATGGCCTGAATTACGGGGAAAGGAATAGTAACAAAATAATTACGTCGTTGTAAAGTTTATTTTTAGGTATGATATTTTGAGGTGTTTGTGAGATTTCCATATCTGAATCAAATTTATTGTTCACCAGCTGAGGTTTTTTACCCATTGCAAGTCATGTGACCATACTCTTTGGAAGTTTTAATGCTACAGCCACGTGATATTATTTCTTCTGAAATTACAATTTGTGATATTTTTGAATATAAAATATGCGTAGAACTGATATTTTTGGGTTATTTGAAAATGAGCTGATATTTTTGAGTGGCCAGTAAAATTCTTGGACTGACCCCCCGGTATGTCTATGTGCTGAGTGGCCCCCTGGGTTCAGTCCAAAGTAATTGAAGGAAAAGCCGCAAGATCTAAGGCAAAAGAAAATAATTTACAGCGTGTCCATTAGGTGAATAAGACGGTTGTGCACGTAATGAACAGAATATTAAATTTCGCATGTCCCTTTAGGAAGATTTTAGGGGTCATCCAGGGTCAGTGCTGTAGTGATTTCTTAATTCATGCCAACCAGGAAGTAAAAGCAGCAGATATTGCAAAATCTGCCGTGACAAATGCATTTTCATGACTGTTGGGGGTATCACACCGCACACCGTAGCCCCGGCCCTTGTGCCACCCTTCGATGAAGTCTTCAGTTGTTCGGAAAATTCTTCAGTTGGTGGATAATTTTTAAGTTGTTCGGAAAATTGTTAGCCTGCGTGTAGACTCTGAAAAAAGTTAGTTTCTTACAATAGACTTGTTTGAAATTTAATTGGAAGATCCCCGCCCTAAAAAGGTGAATTTGGCAACAAAGAACTTGTGAATTTGACAAAAATGAACTTGTCTTTAATTGCTTTTGAAGAAACCTCAATTTTATGCTTCACTGGAATGTACGGCCGGTTTATATTGTTTAGACTTTAACTTTTAATAGCAGATTAAACTTTCATCCTTCAAAACTTGATAGAGCACCCAAAGTTAGCATCCCACCATTCGACTCTCTAATAATTCGAATTCTCGCTGTTTCGAGAAAAAAACTCTCATTTAATGTTCATTCCCTTTTAAACAAACCTTTGAATATTCCTAATTTTGAAGCCTTTATCCGTTCGAATGAATTTTGCTTTCCTCTTAAAGCTTAATTTTTCAGACCTTTATTGTAATTGTTTACGAAATAATTCTATATTTGTTTCTTATTTTCCTCTGAACAATTGACATAAGACATTTAATATTCCATTATTAGGAGCCAGTAAAGGACAATACATCTTGCTGTGGTGGAGTTGGGAAGGTATTTTCATAGCAAACTGCAAATTAAAGTCTTTCTTTTCTGCTGTCGAAGTATATACATATAGTACAATATGCTAACCATAACTTAAAAGAATAAAGGTGCATAAGATAACTTATCATAACATAACACAACACAACACAACACAACACAACACAACACAACACAACACAACACAACACAACACAACACAACACAACACAACATAACATAACATAACATAGCATAGCATAGCATAGCATAGCATAGTATAGCATACCGGAACAGTATCGGTGATCTTTTATCCACCCTTGCAGAATGTTCAAAAATGGTTCCAAAAGCTTGGATCTTTGTCAGATGAAATCGCAGCCAGCTGTTCAAATTTGCCAGAGGCTGACAAAGTAAATGCTTTGGAGGTTGAAATAAGGGGTGTGGAGCAAGGATGCAAGAAAAATGCAAGTTTTGTTGCACAATTTGCAACTGAAACTGAAATGAAGCTGAAGGAACTGGAAGAGAAGATAGAGAAACTCCAACAGCAACAGGCGTCGATGGTACTCACAAAGAAATTGCAGAACGGAGTACTTGAGAAAATGGGTGACGTATGTAATCTTCGATGCATTCCGGGTACTTATGCATTTCCAGGCAAGAATTTTTCATGCAAAGAGAGTGATTACTGTGCTGAAGCTAGATGTGTTCCTGTCACGTCATGCAAAGAAATAAAGAAACTGATGCCAGTTGCAAAAAGTGGCGTATATGCGATTATCAGGAAAGATGGCGGGCCTTCTTATAATGTTTATTGCGACATGACAACTGATGGCGGTGGCTGGACACTTGCAGCCAACATAGCCAATGGCGATAGCAACAATTGGATATTTGGAGACAAAGACAGGGACTTTGGTGATTCTGCGTCACTTTGGGAGAATGACATGACACTGGGAACCGTAGACAACGCAACAATCAACAGGCCTCAAGATTTCAAAAGCAGAGCTTTTTTAGAGGTAGACTCAAGAGAACTTCTGATTACCTATAAAGGTCAGTATGAGGCAAACAAGATTCCTACCACAGCCTTACTAGTGTTCTTTTCGTTTGATAAGGAAATAAAAGTGAAAATATCTTCAACCTTAACGAGCTGCAGACTTTTTCTGCGTCAATCGCTATGATTTCCAAATATTCATTATAGCAAGCCAAAGTCATATAATATAATACAACACAATACAATACGATACGATACGATACGATACGATAAAATGCAATACAATACAATATAATATAATATGATATAATATAATATGATATAATATAATATGATATAATATAATATAATATAATATAATATAATTTAATATAATATAATATAATATAATACAATATACAATATACAATATACAATATACAATATACAATATACAATATACAATATACAATATACAATATACAATAGACAATAGACAATAGACAATAGACATGACATGACATGACATGACATGACATGACATGACAAAGATAATATCATATCATATCATATCATATCATATCATATCATATCATATCATATCATATCATATCATATCATATCATATCATATCATATCATATCATATCATATCATATCATATCATATCAATCATATCAATCATATCAATCATATCAATCATATCAATCATATCAATCATATCAATCATATATTATTATTAAACATAATATAACATAACATAATATAAAATGCTAAATTATATGATATAACAATTTTCGAATTTCAGTGTTTTCAGGGAACTTTACAACAGTCTGATAAGAAAAGAGAACTCCTGCAACTTTGTGCAGGCACCTTTGAAATGTAGTGAGTTTTTTAACAATTTCAGGAAAACGGTATATTCAAACCGATGGAAATTGCCTGGGAGGAATTTCCCTGAAACGACTCTTCAACGTCCTCAGATTTTCCTGCGCTGGCAGTTCTTACAATTGCTACTATGGAAAGTGCATGGGAACCGGCTGTAACTCTGCGAGCTCCAGATGCGATCATTCCTGTGACATTGCCAAGTTTTACCCACCTTCCGTGACGTCATCGGAGCCACTATCCAATGGGAAAATGCCGTCAAAGGTTTTGATGAAAACCGGAGAAGCTGAGGGGGCGCAGGATGGAAACAAAGACAGAGTTTACATTTCAACATTGCCTAGTAGGAACAGTGTTGACTACGTAAACGGACTGGGCAGCTTTACGTCTCTCAGTGGAAACATCAAGAAGACTGACATCAGTGTTCACGATGACGTCAGCAAGGAATCGTCAGACCGCACTTTGTTCTACGGACTGTTTGTTCGCTAAGCAAAATATATCAAGCTAATCATAATGTTTGCTGATTTATATCTGATGAAGACTTTCGTTCATGCTTTTTTGCTGTTTTTTAGAGTGCTACCTACCATATTATCCGCTAGTGGTGCTAACGATTTCCTTTCAATATTAAAATATGGACCAAAAACTAATCTAAATAACTACAGGCCAATCTCTGTAATCTCAGTGTTTTCAAAATTGCTAGAACGGCAAACGCATGATCAGCTGTTGAGTTTCTTTAACCTAATGAGAGTATTACATACAGCTAAGCAGCTTATCGGAAGTTATGCTCCACGAGAACAAACATTGATCGCAGCAATGTAAATCTTACAATTTTTCTTGATCTTAAAAAGCATTCGATACGGTCGATCATGATGATTACTAATAACTCTGAATGGTCAACATTCAAAAGCCAGAAATTTAGCCTGTGGTTTTTCCTAAGGTTCTTTTTTGGACCCTCTTCTTTTCATCATTTACTTGAATGACTTGGAAAAGTGTCTTGAATTCTCCAGGACTAGCATCTATGATGACGTTACCAATATAACGATTGCATCGTATGGTATAGCGAAACTAGTTGAAGACGCACATCATGAACTTTTGAATCGCTCTGACTGGATGAAGGTGAATAAACTTAACCCCAATCACAAAAAACGGAATTCATGATAATGGGGCACCCACTTAAAATCTTGAATCTTGACCTTTACCTGCCAGAAGTGCTGAAACTAAATAACTGTGACATAAAAAGAGTAGATAAGGCAAAATCCCTTTATGTGATAATTGATGAAAAACTAAATTGGGATTAACAGTTTAGGCGCACCCAAGGCAAAATGAGTGGAGATCTTGCAGCTCTAATAAAATTGAAAAATGTCAAGTGATGTGTATGCATCTTTTGGCTGAAAGTTTCTTAGAAACTAAATTTAAGTAAAATCATATATTGTTTGGTCTTAATGATTTTTCATATATTTGTTTTTTGACGCAAATTACATACTTTGACTTGTCTCGTTGCAATCTTTCGATTGATGTATATTTAAGCATTATTTGCCAATATCAGCATTTTTATTATGACGTCATCAAACAATTTACATGACGTCATCAAAGATCTTACTGCCATATAATGATACATTTGCATAAACTTTTTTATTATGGCGCTGGATTTCAGCAAAAGCATTTCTTTCATGATGATTTTTTCGTCCAAATAATTAGTATTTGGATCATTTAAATTAAATTTGTGCGAACCGCAATATCCAAGGAAGTTCGAATAAGGTAGTCACTACCTGACGAGTGGGTCATTTCTTCCTCGGAAGGCATTATTGCCTGGTTCAGAGTAAGGTTCAACTCTGAACCGGACAATAAGTTCTCTGCATCTGCATTTGACTGTTGCACTGAGTTGGAAGAATAGAATGTCTTCGCACTATTATAGGCTGTCCAAGATGTCTTCGCACTATAGGTCTTTAGCGCTGGGTATGAAGGTGCATGAATTCCTTCATGGGTAAATTCATCTTCTAGGTCATCTTCATATCCTTGTGCTGTAAAGGAAGCTTTCTTTCCACACCTTGGATGTCTTTTTTACTTCTTTTGAGATGGGAAAGCTGCTTTCCTGCGGACCATTTAGACTTTAAACGATCAAGTATGTCATCCGAATTTCAACTGCATGCTTTTGGGACATGTCTTGTAGTAAGTGGGACATGTTTTGACTACAATAAGCCTTAACACTTGATAGAGAAAGGGGCGAAACAGCATATGCGGAAACTACTCAATAAAGCACTTGACACACGAATAGCAAACAACCTATGCATTTATTGACTGCAAATGAATGGAACCGGCTTTTTAGTTCTTGATGCTTGCAGTTATAAAAATTCTTCAAATCGAAACTTCCTTAGGAATTTAATTTTTGATAGTACAAGTTCTTTAAACTTTTCGGCCTTCTTCATGTAGGTTCCTTAAAAAGTGGTTCCTTATATAAAAAGCATTCAAGTCCCTTAAATCAAATATTTGCACTATGGCTGTAAAATTATAACGGTTTTGGTGCGTCTAGATTTTTTTAGTAAAGCGCAAAAATATATGATTCTCGAATATGTAACTTGAAGAACTTGTAGGTAGTTAAATATCAATGGCGGCGCCAGCTACTGCGGGAAGGGTAACAGGCGTGGCCAGTGAGACCACGCCCATTCTGCTAAGTTTCAGTGCTTTGTACCACGTTAATTTTCCTTAGGAAATATGATGTTTACCCATACCTAGCGATTTTTAATCAATTTCTAGCTGAAAGAAAGAAACAAGTTTTGACAAAAGTGGGGGTAATTACCCCCACCTCCTAATACGACGGGTCTGAGATTTGGATCTACATTTGTGAACCAAAACCTTCATATCCTACAATTCAATAAAATGGCAAAAATACGACTTAGGTAATAGGTCTTGTCATATTCTATAAAAAAGGTGAATCAGCCACATCAGCTGATCGTTGCAGTTTCAATCGTCAATACAGTCGACCTTTTTCATTCGGGTGAAATGTGATTAGAATAATGATCAAAGAAGAAAGCATTTCTTTATTGTTTTCTTTTAATGTTCTAGCTGCACAGAATTTCGTATTCAGGTCCATGTTTTGAATTCCAGTGCAAAAAAGGACGCTCTGGTTCTGAAGAAGTAGTCAAATATCTGATTATTTTTTTCTATATTTTAAACAAGAAAATAGTGCTGAGACAATCTAGATAGAGAAAGTTTTCTGCAGTTACAATTATACCCTGGGCACGACAGCCTCATGAATCCGGGGATAAGTATTGTAGACAACTGCGGTGGCAAAGAATTCCGCTAAAAAATTTTTCCTGTGACTAGATTCTAGCTATATTTCTAAGACCAAATAAAGAAGTCCTGGTACACAGTGTATTAGAATTAAGGCTCGATGATTGAAAAAGACTGTAAAAAAGTTTTGAACTGTTACTGCAACCCAAACCCCCACCCAACCCGAAGGAAACTTCTTCAAGGCAATTGAACTGAGAAAATTTAGAGCTAATGCTGCTATTCTGTCAGACTGAAGAACCCGTGTTCTCTGATATTAAAATAAATAGAAATAAAAGTGTTTTTGGTGGAAAGTTCTATTTTACTTTACGTAACAGTTCAATTCCATGTTTTGATATTTCTATGTACCTCCAAGCTGAGACGCAGAACAAATAAAAACAAAGCTTGTAAAAACTAGGCTATTCATCATAACAAAAGTATTTAATCTTTTAAAGAACTGGTTCCTCTATAAACCTATGCTAGTAAAAAAGACCCTTTGCTGGTGCATATTGTTTATTTACTGCTTACGTGTTGCAGCGAAGGATCTTCCATTTGCCCCTAATGGTAGTTTCTTGGACTCGTAACCATTTTATTGGCAGGACCTAACATAGGCGTTGACGACAGGCCCTCCTAATCAGGCATAACGTATCGAATTTCAAGCCCCTTTGGGCCATTTTATCTTAATGAAGAAGCAATATTCAATAATACCTACATAAAGCCCCCCTCTTGAACATTTAGCCTCCGCTACGCCTACAGTTAATCCTCAAATCGCCCCCTCCCCTGGAAAAAGTTCCCCCCTCGAATGAGCCCACCCTAGAACTACAAATCGTCAATACGCCCCAACCCCCTCGAATAAGCCCCCACTTCTACCGTAAATTCTCAAATTGGACCCCTCAATTTGATGATTTTTGCCATCTGATGTTGCCTATGGCGTTTTATTGAATTACCACAACAAATTCATACTTTTGGTAGTCATTAATTAAATGCTCATAAAGAAATTCCTACTAAAAAAAACAAGGTCTTCCAATAATGTCTTCATAATGTCGATAATAATTTTATAAGCCTTCCCCCTCTCATAAGCCACCATCCAAAAATATCAGAAATAAATATGCCCCCAGGGGGCTAATTTGAGGATTTACGGTATATGTTTGTGTATAGGTAATTCATTATTGGCAATATAGCTGAAAAATTTGTGATACGGTCTAGATCCCTCTCGGGGGACTCCTGTCCTTGACCTGATGTGCCGCAGAAAAGGGTAAAATGGTCTCATTGAAATTATTGAAAAAGAATTTCTGTCGGGTAAAACATGGTTTTGCATCTCTCACAACCCCCCCCCCCCCAGCGAGAAAGGTCACGCTATTCCACTGTCTGGGACGGGTATCAAAACTAAGGAAATTGTTTGGGACCGGGTATTTGGAAGAAGAAGATATAAATCCATTCAATTATCTGCTTTTCCAAAGATACAGCGTTAAGCACTGTGTAGATCCCCCGGGGATCTAGATTCGCTTATCAACCTTGACAATGTCTAGTGAAGCTTCCAAAGGCCTAACTATCCACTCCTTGGGGCGGTCTGAAGCCACTTTGAAAGATATTCTTTCATCTATGTTGAAGATTCTCAGAAGGAACCTGCAAGCAAATGTTCCATTAATACCAATTTTGAGCACCTTTAGAACCCTCGAATTTTTCAGTACCTCTATTATAACTGTAGCATTAGGCTTTCGCCATTGCAGAACCAGCATGAGGGAGAGGTCGTAAACCCCAGGAACACCAAATACGATGTCTGTGTTTTTCCTTTTTAGTGTGACGTCGTGAGAGGAAAATGCATGCCTCGGATTGTCGTCCCACTGTATTTTTTCTATAAGAGGATAAACAAATAATCACAATCATAAGAGTAACTAATAGTCATAATCGTCATAATCATCATTATCAATTTCGAGCTCAATAACAAACGAAATAAGTTACTCTCTGACTCAAGAAATACACAAGAAATTCTCTGACTCAACAAATATTCAAGAAAAAACCTCAGAATTTTCATCGTTAAATTGCACTTGTGACCTTTGCAAGGAAAACATATGCAACATCGAGTTTATATGATTTGTATATGCAATGGTAATTTAAATCAGTTGGTCTTGGTTGGCTTTAGTATAGCAAAACAGTAGTATAGCTTAAGATTCAGGTTTAGTATAGCTTAAGATTGCTTACCTAGCGTCTGTGTAGCCTTTGGGACGAAGTGTGCATACACTGTAATGCCAAAAGAAGATGCATCTAAGTTGTATATAATGTTAATAAGATTCTCTCTGTAAAAAAGTACGTAATAAAAAAGTCGTTCATAATAGAGACCTAGTCTTCCTGTAGGTCGTAATGCCAAATGTGCCAAAGGCTCAAAGATTCTGAATCTGGCCTGCATAATTATCTTGCGCATGTATGAAGATTTTGACGATTTATATTTTACGCATTACTAGATTTTGCTTTTAGTGTGTGCAGAAAGACTGTAATGTTTGGTTTGAAGAGTTCGAGTTCTTCGTATTAGATTTAGCCTCAACAAGCTGCTTTGAAATATATTTTTCAAAGATAGGATAAAAATGATTCTTTGTGACGTTTGAGTGCCTATTTCTGGCTACGTTTTTAAAAATATAATTGAAAAAAAACTCTTTGCGACCGATCAGTTATTCTGTTCTAGGTTATAAAGCTTTAAGTGTAAAAATCAACAAAAAATGCTGATTACCGATCCTGAGCACGGTTTTTTACAAACAATGCGCGTATTCGACGTAAATTGGGATTAACGTTATTACTTGGTTTAACTCTATAAAGGGTTTAACTTGTTAACAATGACTAATAAAGGTACTTACCTATGTGCCCATATGTTACAACGTTGTATTGTGTGGCAGTTTTTGTTGTTGGTTTTTTGGACGCAGCTTTGGTCCTTTCTGTTCTGCTCATTCTTGTTGTGGATGTTGTTTGGGTTGGTTTATGGGACCAGACCTTCTTTGGTCGAAATTCAGGCTAGTGTAAGCAAGCAGGTAGGATCATAAGTTTTTTCACTAACAAGCGTTAAAGAATAAAAAATGGTACTTACAATTTTACGGATTTTATTCCTTGCATTTACGTAAGCATAGCAAATTCTAAAGTGCAGTGATAGCCACCTTCGTGAGAGCTTTTCGATAGAAAACTTTTCGAGCAATAAACAGTTGAAGTAAAAAATTTTAAAGCTATTTATGGCCAGGGTTGGCAAAGTTTTTGCATTTTTTGCAAATTTGTGATCTTGTGGACAAAGAGAAAGAACTTTGATAGCCTGGTAAGCAACAATTTCTCAAAATGTGTAAGAAGGAAGAACCGCAGGATAGGCTGTCCGCCGGATTCTGTGAATCTTGCAATGAGTAATATTAAAGATTTATGTATTTAAATATAAATTTATTTTGCAAATTTATCTCATTACATTGGATTCACGTCGTCGTGTTGCTTTGTTCCTGAATATCTTTCCTTTTAATTTTTCAAATAGTGAGAGAGATAAGCAGAGGAATTGTAAAAATTGTGATACGAACACCAAAATTTCAGAAAACACCAAGTTCGATAAGCTGAACAAAATGCGATAAAGACCCAAATAATATCTGGCCGCTAAATTTTATTTTTAGTCTGGGGTACTCTGGCCCAGACCCCTTATTGTACCATTGGTCATTAACTCAGTAAATTGAATGATAACCATCTTATAATAGTTTAATACGTTCATTCATTGTTCATTGCCGGTATACTTTTCAGTGCATGACAGATTAAAAGTTTTACTTGAGCACATTACTGCGCACCCTTTTACAATCTCTTTTACTTTAGCTCACTTCGTTCCTCGGAAACAGGCTCTCGTGTTTACCATCGGGGAACCAGAGCATATCTATATAAGTTTATTTCAAAATGTAGTCAAAGTAAGAGCGATTAGTGTCTTTTGTGACTGTTTCATATGCTGCATTCTCAGGAGAAATAGAAATTAGGGGCAAAATATTAATTGGGTCTATATCACATGTTGTTCAGGTTATTAAACTGCCTTTTTATTGTGAATGTCAACTTTCAAAAGTCTGGCCTTCTCCTCTTATGGTCAACGGTACAATTAGGGGTCTGGATCAGAGTATCCCAGTCTAAAATTCAAAATTAGGGGCAAGCTATGATTTGGGTCTTTATGACATGTTGTTCAGCGAATCAAACTTTGTGTTTTCTGAATTTTTTTGTGCTTGTATCACTTGCACAATCCTGCTGTATTTCTGCACTAATCTCCTGCACTAAAAGGCCCAGCCCAAACCTTTCCAATTTTCATCATGATATGCAGTGATAAATTTTTCCTAAAATTGCCAATGTACCAAGAATACTAGTCTCTTTTGTCTAAAATAGAAGCCTCTTTTGCACTTGATAGAATGATACATTATTTATGATGAAAATATAAACCGTTAAAAAAGATATAAACTTGGAAAATCCTTGATCCCCAGTGAATTTGCTATATTAGCAAGACATTCATTAAACGTCGCTTTCAGGGCAAGCTCAATAAACACCCTAAAAGCAAGAAGCGCCAAAGTTTGTCCCCTATTCGGATTTGAATGTCACTTGGCAACCCAATTAACTTGCTATCATTATCGAGTTTTTGGCAAAGTATACGTTCATTGAAATAGACATCAAATATGTTTTGAGAAACAATTACCAGTTGTTGTCTTGTGTAAAGATGAACCACAAGACCAATGATGACGATAAACGTCACAATGAACAAGATGTTTGCGATACATTGGTTTGACACCCTTCTTGGGGACCTAGTTTGACAGCAACAACCTTGTGTCCAACCTTGGTGACCGAGTTCGTTGTTATTTTTTTCCAAATTCGTCTCGGTTGCCATATTAATCTGATTATAATCACACATTGTTCTTGAACTGCAACAGTAAAAATGAAAATGCTATTTTGAAAAAGTAAAAATTGTTAACCATTCGCTACATGAAAGAAATATTACTTTAAATTAGTAGATATGTCCCTACTAGCAGTTGCTTTTTATTCTTTTTTCAGAAAGGGTCTAGGGCATGTCCAAAGTCCGCTTGTCAATGACGGCCTGTTGTACTGCCCGCGCTTGTATTGTTCAAAAGCGTTATTTATGAACGAGAGTATGAGAGGATTGTTCGATTAATCGATAAGGAAGAGGTCGTTTGGAAAAAAATTTACTGATTTTTGCAGAGGTACAAATGTCATTGTGATTAATGGATAGCGATATTGAAATGGATAGCGTAAGAAAAACGTCTTGCCATGGCAAATCTGATAATTAAATGCTCTTGTGCAACCGGCACGCTTTGCGACTAAAATACAAACGACTGGTTGTGTAACATTTTGACAGCATTTTCTTTGTGATGTAGCCCTATGATTTTGAAAGCGTCTTCGTGTAATCTAAAGTTAATAATATGCATTTTCTGTTGGTTAAACTGGCGTTCGAACTAGGTATAAGGGTGTTTTGTGACGGTAAAAAAGGCGTTCCCTAAGTTTTCGTTTTTCTCCTCCGTCCTCCGTCCTCCGTCCTCCGTCCTCCGTCCTCCGTCCTCCGTCCTCCTCCCTCCTCCCCCCTCCCTCTTCCCTCCTCCCTCGTCCCCGACAGCCTGATTGCTGGTTCCCAGGCACAACGCACCAGTCTAAATGTTGGAGTGCTGAACTTTGATTGTAAGCTTTAATATGGGATAAAAAAAATGATTTTTGGTCTCTTTCTCATAATGAGCCTCGATAAAAAAGGTGAGGAGTTGGAAAATTTTTTATAACCCATGCATGTGCCTGGACACCCTCCAAAATTACGGAATGGGAAATTTAGACAGAAACAATCGAAAATATTGCGATCTTTGATTATTCAACCAGGTCACATTTAATTGCAAAAAGTTAGGCCCAAAATTTTAGATTTGGTTGGCCTTAATTAAGCTACTTAATTTTATTTTCTTCCCTTTTTTACTCTAGAGAACCCAACACATGGATATCATGCACATGGTTAATACATCGAACGAGATTTTTCGCTTTAAGGGCAACCCATACTGCTTAAAGGATATATCAATCGAAGTGCAAATTTGTTAGTGCAATTAGAGAGAAATCTTGTTCATATTAATTGAAATGAGGTTATAAATAACTGAGGGCAGTAGTACCCACCCGTGGCACCAAAAGCATCAGCAAGCTCAGCCACGGCTGCAGTTTGTGCCGTCCTATCGTCATATTGTCAAGACGATATGGCGTACAGGCAAGGTTTCTCGCGCCACAAATCGGCTAAAGTGCCTTGAAAACACTCTATGATTTGCTTATCAACAAGAATTTGTTTTTGAGCCTCGCACACTAGCGATTATCAGTTTTTAGTCCTTGGCGACAAAAAAAGTCTAGCATGTTAAATATTTGTTTGTTTCTGTCGTTGGCGACTAAAGTCTTGTGATGTTCTCCCGCAGACTAGTGATTTCAGTGGCCAGTGACAAAAATCGCCGTCGCTGGCGACAAAAATCGCCTTCGCTGGCGACAAAAACTGCTAGCGTGCGGTAGGCCTCAGTTTTGTTGAAATATAGTACGCTATTTACTTCTACAAGAGTGAATCAGTGGCAAAAATTATGGGATTTGAGGGGATCGCCCCCCCCCCCCATCAGCAATGTCGTCGGAAAATTCATGCTTTCGTCAGATAATTGACAACAGTTTAACTTGTTGAAATTACTCCAAGAAATCGTTCTGAAAAGGAATTTTAAGCTAATCTAAGGGGCGTCATTGTCAAATTTTCTGCTCGCTTCGCTCGCAGGTGTTCTGCATTTTCCCTTTTCACCCCAGGGGCCTCTATAACCTCTATTTGTCCTGTTTGCAAAATTTGAACATAGCATAGCTGATGAAGCATTAGCCAGTACTAAATAATCAAACAAAAAATATATGACCAAAATCAAAACTGCTTGTGAATTGTGTATTTAACTTCAATTTTGTAGAGATTAGCCGAATTTTCCATCGGATTCTTCCGAATGAAAGTTATTTTCAAACGTATTTCCCACTGACGAAAACAAAATAAAATGCATAAAATAAACGTTCGACTTGTCAAAAGTGCAATCGGTCGACCTCTTGTATCATCATTTGTTTAAGATGAGATATCGTGTAACGACACAGGGTTCCCTAACGGACAGTATTACGTGACAATTGCACCATTGCGCTGTGATCGCATCAGCGTCTGTAAATATGTTTTTTGTATTACGTAATTATTATTTTGAGGTTTGCTTAGGTTATATAAAGGGTTGTTTCATAAGTTAGGAGTAGTCTTGTCGAAAGTTTTGCCGTACTGCTTGGAGCTCTGCCGCTAGTTTTGTCGTGCCTATTGCAGCAGTGTCGTTATTTGTCGAACTTGCTGTTAGCCCTTAGTCGTATCATTGCCATAAAAAGAAGAATTTTGATCTTATCTGCCGTTGCCGTATTTTTGAGAATTTCTGCCTACAAAGAACTCACGTTTGTAAAACCCCCATTTTAAGAGGTTTTACAATCGATCTTGATATCAAAAATCATAAATGGATTGTGCTTCTTGCTACTTAATTATGGCGTTCCGTCAAAAAATCATCTATTTTTATCGAAATGTACAGTTTCTTTAAAATCAGACATGATCCAAGATGTTATCTTGTCGAAAAATCGTAGGCCTGGGCCCCCCAAATGGAAGCTTGAATTTCCGCCACTGCTGAATTGCCCCTTGGTCATAACGTTGATTATTTTTGTACCGTTTTGACTTTATAAACCCCCTGCCTAGTAGCAAATAGATCCACAAAACAATCGAATATCAACAATGGTAAAAGGAAAATTGATCTTTTCACGGAGGGTATCCTTAGTAATATAACATACGCATAGGTATCCAGGCTGCTCAAGCAGCCAAGCGTAGCCACACCCCGATTTCAAGGCCCCATAGACGAGGCCGAGGAGACAGTCAGAAAGAAATTATCGAATTTCAGGCCCCTTAGGGCAATGAAGCTACAATATTCGGGCAAGATCCATGCTAACCCCCCTGGCAGGCAGTTTAGCTTTCGGTTCCAATCTAATATTTACTTTTCTCTTACTCTTCACGTACAAAACAAGTTACTTTAACTCTTATATGATGGTTAAGGAACACATTTCACTTACCTCGATTGTCACGCAACTAAAGAATACATTTAAAAACACAATAAAGACACTGTGTTCAAGCGGCTCAGCGAAAACCCCATTGCAAAATAACCTATCACCGCATCACACTGAGGCTATTCAGCAAAGTGAGGTTACATTTGAGGTTACGTCATCAAAATCCGATTCTAGATTTTTTCAAATTTTTATCACATGACGGAAAGAAACATTTGCATTTCCCTGAAGAAAGTAAAAAAGTGTTTCCGTTTGGGATTCGCAATTCTGCATACACTGGCCGCAGTCTGACTTTTCGTTACTCGATATCCAGTAGTGCCGTCCTAAAAGGTTAGCAAGGGGGCTGTGCTGTAGAAGCCACACCCAATGACACACCCAATGCCACACCTATGGACACACCTTGAATATGTTAAAGCATGTTAAAGCAGAGTCCGAAAAAGATGTTAACCTTTCTCCAGACAAAACATCCCCGAAGGCAAAGGTTCCTCACAAAACAATAGAAAGTGGGTGCGGCTTGGGTGTGTCACAGGAGCTTCTATTATTTTTCGTAGACCTTCCTCCGGTCAGTGGCCGTGCGACCGTAATGTTTTCCTGACTCTGTGTTAAAGATTCTCTGTAATGTATATGAAATCCCTCAAACTATTAAACGACTCTAAAACGCTAATTGCTCATTCGTGGAAAAGGTTTATTCATCATGTCTAGTTAAGAATTAGCCCAACCAAACATATACTGGCCTTTGCTAAGGGGGACTGAGCCCCCAAAAATCTCTCTTAATTTTAGTAAGGGGGGCTGAGCCCTCCTGAGCCCCTCTTACCCCCTCCACGGCACCACTGTCGATATTTGTAATTTTTTCCGTTTTTACTGGGTGGTGTGGTAGAAACTGCCGCTATAATAGCTATTTAATTCTCTACCCTGATTGTTTACTTTGCCACTACATAAAATTCAAATACTGTAAACCAGGTTTACAATACCGGCCTGAGCGACCATCTCAAGACGCATTATAAAAGTATATCTGCTAGAAACAAGAATGATTTACTAATTGCTTTTGCTAAAAGTATTATTGTTACCGACAGGCAATTCACTTTTGCAAAAAGAGTAGAAGATTTCCACAAAGTAAAAGGATTTCCGGGGATTCTCAGATGAAACAACAGCAAGGCCCACGACGAAGGGGGTCATGCCCCTTGTTGTATAGTTAACATTACGTCATTGGACGACGAGATTACGAGATATTGCACCACGACATGCAACTCAAAACAAGTTACGTCATGGTATATTTTGGCCGTCAGGGATTGCACCAAGAAGTGAAACTCGAAGAAAAACCTTATGATTGGACAAATAATAACAAGAACCCCTTTTCCTATTGGACGTCTGCTTTGCTGAAACTTTTATTGGATGTTTAGATTTATTGCACCATCTATTGTTTAATCTTATATAAATTTGAGCTTTTAGTTTAGAGATTTAGAGAAGTTGTAATTTAGACGCTAGTTTGACGCTGATTAAGATAAAGATAAAGACCAGCCGCCGTTTCTCTTTCTGACGTTCTCCTGCCGCCGCTAAAGTAAAGATTCAAAATCAAGGTCGTAAGTTAAAGCTCTTTATTGTGTATTTGTTAAAGTAGTAAGAACTCGCGCAATTTCATGTTATACTTAACACTGTCGTTCAACCTCAAGTATAACACCCTCCCCCACTTTTTTGCAATACAATGGATAACTTTCCAAAATAATTTGAAATATGTATCAAATTATCCCTTGCCCCCCCCCCCCACTTTTCAACTTGTGTCGGAGCCTATGGGATTGCCTCTCGATTGAGTGGTATACCTCAGGGCTCCAGCTTAGGCCCTCTACTTTTTACTATATGTCTGAATAACCTTGAGCAATGCTTGAATTATTCACAAGCTAGTATTTATGCCGATGATACAAATGTCACAATCGCATCGAACAAAATTGAGAAGCTTGTCTTCAAGGCAAAACAGGACTTATGAAGAAGTCCCAATCCTTGAAAGACTGAATACATGATAATAGGCCATTCTCGCAAAGAAAATGCATTAAATATCCTAAGTGCGCTCAAACTGAACGGCACTGATATTAAGTTCTTCGACCATTTATCTTTCACTTTAAAATTTCCAATGATGAAAAACATCCTGTTTTGCAGATTTTGTAGATTTTTCCAACTGGGGCTTGGTTAATTACCCCAAATTACGTCAGTATTTATCAGATGGGATTATACGATTATCGTATTACGATACCATGATAAACATAAGATAATTTTGTTCGGGGGACCACATCGTTGACATTCTTTAAATTGGAAAGTTCAGAACAGGATTTTTGTTCGATTTATATCAATACCTTTAAGCTGAAGTTTTTCTTGTGGTTTTAAGTTGTTTGTTCTGAGAGAGGGATAGGAGCAGTAGTGTAGCCAGGGTGGTAAGATTGGGGATAGACAAAAGCAAGTTCATCAAGGGAAAATAAGGGTCCACATCCTTTTGAGCGCCTGAAAACGCCCTTTTTAAAAAATATTTTTTACTATTAGGGGGAGCCCACCCACTCTTCACCCCTCTCTACACCACAGGGTATGAGGTTAGTGCCTTAACTTTAACCGCCCAGGGACAATGACATTTAACAGTTTTTGTTCGGCTTTAAACCATTTAAGAAATATTTTGACCAGGGGTGATGTCCCAAAGAGTTAGGAAGGAGGGTTCTGTTGTAGGCAAATTCAAGGGGCCACACCCAATACCAAACTCTTACCACACCCAACATACTTGCATTTGTGTTCAAGGCTCTCTGTTAGGTGTAAAAATTATTCAAACTATTTAATGGCACAAAAAGGCTGATAAGAAATTGTTCATTCATGAGAAATCTATAGTGTAATAAAGGGTTGCCAAAACAGAAATCGTCCACTATCAACCAAATATGAACTCACTTATTAAGGGGGGCTGAGCCCCTAAAATATCTCTGAATTTTGACAATTGGGGCTGAGTCCCCTGAGCCCCCTGAGCCCCTTGAGCCCCCTGAGCCCCCTGAGCCCCCTGAGCCCCCTCCACGGCAATGCTTTGGACATTAGGGTTGATTTTTTCATCGGCATAATGGGCTTAATATATTCGATGAAACGAGATGAAACGAAATAGAGCGAAATACTGCGAAATAAAGAAAAACACGGTAGAACAACAACAAAGAACGCCAAAATTCTCAAACGAAATCACAATTCACAAATATTCACTTCCGATGGTCCAGTGTGGAAGACAGACCAACCAGCGCAATACAGAACAGACGGCAGTCTGCACTACGGACTAACAACATTTCGTTGATTATCACTTTGTCCGGCCTAAAATCGAAAAATGTAAACAAAATAAAGAATAGCGAATGACTCTTCTATGTAAACCCTTAAAAAACTTTTGAAATGCTGATAATACCAGGATCTTTTTACGAAAATGAACTCTGTGCGACTTTGTCTCCAAAATAGTCTAGCGATTAACCTTGTTGTGATTATGTGCTATCGGTTGGTTGATTGGATAACTTTTTAAGATTCAGTTTTGCTATGACACGAAAAAAAGATTGACTAATAAGGGGCTCACTCGGATGATGTGTGGGTAAAGATAGCTATACACCAAGACGTGGGGGGAAACTTCGATAGAATTAAAAAACAATTCTGTCCCAATCTATTTGTTTTAGGTTGTGTCCAGTCAGTTAGTTACATTGTCTTAGTTGAAGTATTTATTCAGAGAAAAGGGAAAATAATGGAAAAATTTGACACGGTTGACCACATAGTTGAACGCAGACACAATGGTATAAGAGGTTCTGCCTCAAAGGTCATACTTCTCAAGTTGAGCTCAACAAGTTTACATTAACGGCACTTTGTCTGAACCCCAAATTATCACACACAGAGTCAGTACCCCCAAGGAAGTGTTCTGGGTCCTCTTCTCTTCCCTGTTATTCTTTACATTAATGACCTACCCTCTCGCTCCAGAATACTTAACTTCCATCTTTTTGCTGACGACACTCATTTCACCACAAATCAATTCTTTTTTCCCCTAGTGACAACAAAATGTCGAAAAAATTCATTACCTTTACTGTCATCAAAATATGGAATCAAATCCAACTAAAAATTCGCTCCATGTCAAACAAAAAACTGTTTAATAATTCATCTATAAATTGTTACTACAACACTATTAGAAAGTTCCAAAATAACATTCTATTTTAATTAAAATTTTTTTTACCCCCTTCCCTAATACATTTACTAATCAATCCTGTTCTTAAACCACCATGCCCTCCCATGTTCCTTTTTTCTTATTTTCTTTTATTTTTATTTTTTATTTTTATTCTGTTTAAAAAGTTTTGAAATCAAACTTCGTAATATTTAGCTCGTAGTCTTGGTATTTTTCATTTACAAGTATATATCACAGTTTATTTAAAATTTAGTGTTCCTGTATCATTGTATTAGCAATTTAATAAAAAGGACACTGGGTCAGAAAACCTCTGGGTTTGTCTCAATGTCCTTGGCAACATTTAATTGAAATTTTAACCGTACATTTAACTTAATAATTGTTAGTTGTTTTCGTATAATTTTAAAATCTGTTATTAAACTTTTTTGTTGAATGGAAAGAATTGTATTTGATTTGTTTGATTTAATTTGAAAAACGTTCGAAATAACAAACATTCGAGACTTTTTCGAGTTGAATTTTTGATCCGATCTGCAGGGCAAACAACGCGTTACAATATCCCCCTTTTGTCCTCAAACTTCAAGTGTACCACAATAAGGCATTCGTGCTGTGTGGGGATATCCTGTTTAATGAAGGACCATTTCCCGTTTATGCCCATGGATATGCCCTGTGGCTAGCATGTTTGTTTGCAATTGGGCCTAGTTGACGTTAAGCAAGCTTCTTTGTGATAATGTTGAATGTTCTGCTGCTTCTTGGGCTTGTCCCTGGTCTTCTAGCCAAAGCTCCATTTCAGTTTGCGCCAGGTAAGCCTGTCTCTTATTATATATGTCCAAACCGAAGCAGTTTATTTTGCAACCTTCAAGGGTTGTCGCCATTCTTGATTCGAAGGGGGGAGCGAACTGCTGCAGGCCATCTTCATAAGTTTGAATATTCTCACCTTGATCCACGAGGGTCCGTCGTTGCAAACCATACAACAAAGATTTGACTTAATTTGTAAGATTTACATTTAAAATAGAATTACAACAATGAAAAACCTGTGTCTCTTGGCTGTAAACGCTGGTGTCAACAAATACGAGAAAATAGTCCTCTGCAGTCTGGGTCTTTGCTGATAATAAAATTAGTTACTTCGTCGATTGCAAGCACAATTTTTAGTCATGCGAGGGTTTTAATGCGGTTTATTGGATTTGCTCTTAAAATATATAATTTTAATTGATTGGAATCAACAGGACTCAAACAATTCAAGATATGAGTACGAAGCCCCAAGGTGGGTGTATTTTTGACTCCAAATTTGATCCACATTTTGACCCCCAATCAACTGGAATGCCTTACATCTGAAAACTATATAAATTGTAAAATGACCCTTGATTTTGAAAACTCCTAATAAAAAGAACAAAGCATAAAAAGACCAAACGTTGCTGTGTACCTTTTTTCCATCTCTCTGATCAATGTACTCAAAACAATCCATGTCCTAGTGTTTCTGAAATTAAGAACTCTTTGTCAGAGAATTGTCCGCCAGGCCGTCAAGATCATCCACACCCCCCCCCCCCCCCCCCAACAATGACTTGCGGCCAGGGGCGGATCTAGACGTTCGCACCGTTCGCACATGCGACGCTCAAACTTTTAAAATTATACTAAGAAATCCGTCTCGAGAGAGATTTTTGCTGAACAACAACTTTTTCGCTTATTGGCAAATTTCTCATTTGTGTTTTGATTCTATTTACTCGGGAATTATGCTTCAGTTATATTTGACAACTGAACACCGTGCAGGAGCAGGAAGATCCAAGGTCTGAATCATGCATGATTTAAACCTGGTCATAAACAGAAGCAAAATCTTAAACACAATCTCTAAATCTATCTCGATCTTGAATCAATCTGATTCAAATCTTGAAGCATCCTGACTAAAAAATAACAGGGTACCAATGTAGTTAGATTAGGGTATTTCGGTGCACAGTATGATTAGTAGCACGTTCGCACCGATTCGCACAGCTTTTGTTTTAAAATATTTAGTCAATCAAATTGCTAGATAGTGCGAACTTCGGTGCACAGTATGTTTTTTAGTAAGGTCGCACCACTGGGCTAAGATTAATCCGTCCTCATTGCGTGTATTGTGCAGTTTTGAGCTTATTTATGCCTGGCATGGGCAAGTTTTTCACTGGAGAAAAGTAATTTTGTGTTATGGAGTCGGCTGGCTACATGTAAAACGAATACGTTAAACCTGGTAATTTGGAAGACAAAGGGCGCTAGATTTTCAGAGTAACATTCGACACGGGATGTTTTCAAGTTTCGATGTTCATTACCTCCTCCATGGATCGAGGGCCTACTAATGTCAATAAATGCACTGGACTGGGGTGATAATCAGTGGGCGATACCTGCGATTTGGCTCTGGCGAAGAAATAATGTTCAGGACGTTGGCAGAGAAAAATTTTCACTTAGACAAAACTTTCAAAGTGAATCTTTTCAATGTGGATTTTCAGTTCTTTATCAGCTTTCAGATATTTCCGGGTAATGTTTACTTGCTTGGGTATTCCCCTGAATTCGAAGGGGTTTCTTCGGAGTAAAATACATGTTCACACGCTGATTTGGTTTAGCTATTAAATAATATTAGTTATTAATGCAGGTTTGATGAATATTTGTGTAAATTTGTTCTATTTGGTTAGTTCTGAAAATTCATTGCAATGATGTTTTTTATTTTTTCGCGTGGCCTGGTTTGTCATCGTATACCATAAATAAATCGAAAAAGACGATTCGAATTTTTGCCTGACTTTGAAAGGAAGACCGTCAATACGCTTTCTTGCTTTACGCTTGGCTAAGAAACAACACAAATGATTCTGTAGTATCAATTGAAAACTCAGATAAGGAATAAACAACAGTTTGGCCACGTTCTAAATAAAAGCCAATTTAATGTGCGTGTCGACTGCTCAAATGAGAAGGGGGCGAATATCCTTAAAAACCAAGGGGAGTGGTCACGAATGATATTTCCGACCACACCCTTGTGTGCGACAGTCAGAATATTTTCTAGATCCGCCCCTGCTTGCGGCTAAGTCAGCACACTGTCTCCAATTGCTGCACCCTTATTTTTACTTTATTACGAACGGCCCACACCCAGGGCCGCCGAGAGGCGGCCTGGGCCCTGGGGCAAAGTCCTGGCTGGGGCCCTAGAGTCGGATACAAAAATTTTTTCGAGACCATGCCCTTTTTGAAATGGGAAACGCCCATTATTTCCAAACGTTTGTGCACGTTATTGAATATGGTTAAAATATCATAAAATGTAATAAAAAGCATTAATTCTAAAGGTAAGCGATTTAAATACGCTCTTTGACCACACCCTTTTAGCTGATTAAAGAGGACTTCAAAATGTGTTCCTTCAATTCTGACTGTTTTTTTCTGGTGTTTCTGAATGTTTCTTGAAATGGTATCCATATTTCGTCAAGTTATTCAAAAATTGATACCGAAAATTTGGCACTTTTTCAGAAAAAGGTTCCCCTAAATAATGAGACGTCCCCTTACCTTCAAACATGCTAAGGTATCCCCCCTCACCCCCCTTCGAGACCTTCTGCCACCTTTCCCGGATAGCCAGAAGGAGAGTGATTGATGCCTACAAAAAGACTTAGATTGGTTGACCATTAAATGTAAAATTAATGATATCATAATTAAGAAACTCATGAGAAACAAAGCGTTTCGAAGTTTTCCAAGGCGATAAGAAACTACAAGACTTAACATCGACTTTTAGGTCATAGTTGATTTCTGGAACCAGAAACCACGTTTTCAAAATAAGAATATGCGCATCACAAAGGTCTATTTTTGGCATTTTTGAATTTCAAGCAAATAACTTGTAAGTGAATTATGAAATGTGCGAAATCAATGGAATGTGTTTCAAATTGGTTGGTGTATGGCCACATGAGTTTACGCTCTTTTCCTATCAAATAACTATTATTTGATCACTGTTCATAGCATGCCTAAAATCTTTCATTTGCCATTGCACGTTCAAAGTAAAAGTGTAAATAGCAATTAAACTTCTGCGGTTTAGAGTAAGCAATTCTAAAAATAAAAATTATGATATCACGGTGAAGAACTCTATAAAGCAGAGATTCCTGCCAGCACTGGAGTTGGAAAAGACGAAATTAATGGTTGAAGAGACTAAAGAGAACGTTAAAAATATTCTATCTTCAGATACGAGAGGTTTATATCATATGATACGTTATTTTTGGACCACCAAAGAGAAATGTGAAAAATTTTTCCAACTAGCAGAAATTCCATTAAACATTGAGATTCAGCTGATAAAAAGGGTCAGCGAAAAAGAGTTATTTTTTTCTCCTTGCAAAATGAAAAATTCCAAGGCCCGACACAGGACACACATATAACAGCTGTTTTAACAGGTTGAAGTGTCTATCCTGTCTAAATATTCGTTTTATTATATTATCATTATTATTATTTTTATATATGCAAGTGACCCTTGGTACGCATTTGTATAGTAAAACAATCGTTGGTCATAGATTTTTAATTTTCGTAGAGGAGCACCACGAAGATGTCATTGCGGAATATGGCAAGGAAATAACTCTCGACTGCACCACTTTTGACACCAACCATAGTTACGTGGAGTGGTATCGCAATGACTCGAATCGTGCAGTCGTTCAAAGGCTTGAGGATCGACACATGCTTATATCCGCAAATTACACTGGGCGAGTTGATTTAAAGAAAAAGCACCTTCACATCAAGCACGTAAAATTCGAAGATCAAGCTGTCTATGTTTGCAGGACCGCTGTGCAAAAAGGCGAAGAAATCTCAATTCAACATGGAACATTCTGGAAGCTTATCGTTAAACACGAGGGTGAGTAGAACCAAAGGCAACCTTATATCTCCGTTCCAGAAGCAGTTTGTCAACACATTAAGTGATGGGGAAGGCCGCTTTACTGCGAAAAGCTAGAATATATTGTATTTTTGGAAAATTTAAATGAGGTCTGAATACAATGAAGGGCTTACATTCATTTCTGGCATTTTTCCAAGAAGTTGGGAACGCCAAACCCCCTTTCCATAATAAAAGCCCCTGGCCAAGGGCACGACTACACCTTATATGATCGTTTCTATACCAAATATTGGCATTTTGCTCCTTGAAATCTATTTTAAAAACGAGGGATGGTGTAATCATACAATTCAGTTCACTTAACATTCGTATAACTAGAAGAACATCCATTAGGTTTTTTTAGCGTATACAGGCCATTTGGCACAGGTGTAAAACGCCATTTGGCAACTAAAACATGTGCGAAGCATGAAATTAAAGTTAGCACAATGCAGTTATAAAATTTTAATCATTAATAAATTTCGTATAAAACTTAAAAAAAGTTTTGTTGCTTCCATTGGCCTACAACCATGGAAATGGGAATTGAAGGATTATTGATGCAAATACTGATTTTTCTTACAACTTTTCACCCTGAATACATTTTAATCCGGCTTAGTGGAAACGATCAAAAACGGATTAAAAACGTGTCGAAGAAAAATGCCGTTTCCATTGGCATTGACTCACCTTAAAAACGAATAACTTTTAACCCGGTTTTGTTTTAACCCGGGCTAGTGGAAAGGCTGCCTAAGTAATATATGAGAATACCAAAAGGTTGTAGATCTTCATGCATCCTTACACAAAATTGATAGCCTATCTTTTTAAAAACAAAATAATTTAATCTCTTTCTGGCTGACTTTAACACGTTTTTCCAATTCCAGAACTGTAAAGTCCACATTCAGTCAAGAGTAACAGGTAAGGAAATAAAGTATCATTGACAGGAACCAAACTAGATCGATGTTTTTCACTTCTGAGAAAAAGATGCACGTGACAGAAAACCTCGTTTCTGCATTTCTCTTGCCAAAGATACTTTCGTGCTAGGATCGTGATTAGAATAAATCTACGTATGAAAAAAGGCCTTGCCTGCTAATATGATCTGATTAGTAGTTTAAAGTAATTTAAGGTATCAATTTCTTACGCCGACTTCTTAAACAATCTACAATCAAACAATCAAGTTAAACGATAAACAATCAAGGTTGTATTATGGATTTTCTGATATGTGGATGGGTAAGATTTTAATAGAGCGGCTAGATGATTACGTCTTACAGGTTCGTTTTTAGAATTTTTCAATTTGAACCACATAATCTGAAGTTATTTTCAATACAAGTTATATGGACCTATATTTGAAAGTAATGAACAGAGACCAATTTACTGTTATTTGATAGAACCTGTGCTAGTGTGACGATTTTTGTATACACGGCAAAGCTTTGCTTCTGGCCAAATAAAACTTGAGAAAATGATTGAAGGGCACTGGTCCCTACGTCTCCTAAAATGCTAGACCCATGTTACAAAGAGGCATAGAGTTTGATTGGCAAACAGCTTGCCTGTTCTCCAGCATTCCTCGATCTGCTCTTGGGGAGGAGGATCACTACATAAAGGATAGCATACATAGAATGTGGCCAGAGAATAATAGAGTACCGAAGTGTGACGTAATCAAAATTCTTTTTTTAGAATTTCTTAATTTTGACGACATAGTCTGAAAAAACAGCATAAAATACCTCTAAACAAGCAAAATCAGTTAGGTATGTTCCAAATTGGCCGAGATATGGCCAATGATAGACTTCAAGTTTGCCAACGGATTACTGTTATTCTGAACAGTTTTGATAGGGAAACAGCCTGTACTTATGTAGTCATATCTCTGCCAATTTGTACCACATTCAACTTATTTTTCACAAAAAGAGGCATTTCAAAATGCTTGCTCGGGTTATGTTATCAAAATTGAAAATTTCTAAAAATATATTTTTGTGACGTCTTCACTTAGGTATTCTATAGCAAGATCGTAAATACAAGAAATTTTTTAGGACAATTTTTAGAAATTTCCTTCGTCTTGGAATGATATGACTAAAATTCATTTTATTCATGGATTTTTGAAAAATTTGCTACATTGGATTTTTGATAATTGCAGGGTTGATGGTAAGACGACATATTGCATCACCGAAAGGAATCTTCCTTGTCGAGAACTGTTTTTCCATTTGAAGCTTATTTTGCGATTGGTAGTTTTGGAATTTGAGTAGAATATGTATGAGTTTTGGAGGTAAATGGTTAGATGGAAAGTGCTGCTCTAATTTTTGAGTCTTTAAACAAATTTTTAAATCTTTGGTATAAAAAATGAAGCATTCCTCTTTTCTGTGTCAATGTCTCGATCTATCTATCACGAGGTCTCGGTTCACCTACTGCCTTATGTGGTGTTTCTATGAGCACTTCGTGTACCAAACCCGATTGTATATGAATTGAACAACTTTTTGCTCGTTTACTATTTACATACAGCATTTTGCTCGTTTTGAAGAGCCTTGCCACCCAGGCCAATCATGTTGAATTGAATACTATAAAATTCGACTGAAGGTAGACTCTTTAAAACAATTTTCATAGGTTCTAAAATTGCCAGGAATATACATAACAATATGCTAGATGTAATTACCGATATGTGTGAATGGCAGCAATGCTGGTATAAGCCCAAATCAGGCCTTTTGTTGTATCACAAAAATCCTATTATTCGGCCTTTTCAGTTTCAGGAAAACTCTCGTCTGTGTTCTTCTAGGCCTATTTCAGAAATGGGCCCGATGCTGCGGCAGCACTAAAGGCAGGCGATTCAATTGAACCTAGAGAACCCCATCGTGATCAAAAGCGTTCTTAGAACATTGATTGAAACCCTGATTTAAAATGCATTTGAGTTACCAATGATTTAAAGCCTTAGCCGTTCACGTCAACTTATTTTAACTGCTGCAACTACCAATGAATAGGACAATTGTATGTTTATACATTTTTAATGATAAAAGTGAAGAGAATATTTCCATTATTTTAGTACCCTTGGTGCCAGAGTCACAAAATTTCGATGGCATGAACAGAAAGCCAAACGGAGAAGTTTCTAGCTGAGAAGGTGCTCCTGTGATTCTCCACTCTTATCTTGTATTTCTGTGATCGGATTTATGTGGCTCTGGCACCCAGGCTATCATTTTAGCTGCCTTTAGTACTTTTTAACTCCAAAAGCATTTTTACTGAATAATGCACAATAAACTTAATTATCCATCCAATCTTAAAATGATGGTCAAAAACTAGATTGGTTTACTTGTTATAAACGTTAATGAATTACTGAAGGACCTTTTAACTAATAATTTTTAATTAACTACCAATTAACATTCAAATTATTTATTTAATACAATAAGTTAACATTGTTTATAAATAGATACATTAACTGACATATGTACAAGATTTACAACAATGGATTGTCTTATGAAAGCTATGTGAAATAAAACTGCAGCCAGGGATTGATTGGGCAGCTTCGTTATTCCAATATTCTAAAAAGTGATGAAAATTTTAAGATAGCAAGATATATATTGGGTCACTTCAGTTTTATATTTTTAACTCTACAATAACAGTTAGACCTTCGAATAAACCTCCCCCTTCGAATAAGCCCCCAACCCTATAGTAATTTTCTATAAACTCCAAAATTTTCTATAGTCTCGATGTATCTATCTACATTTTTATATCATAATATATCTACATTTTTAAGCAAATTCATTCGACCTCAAATAAAGGAAAAAAATTTAACCTGGTAATATTTTTTGTTTCTTGCTTGATAAGACCCCATCTGAGAATATCTATCCGCAAATAAGCCCCGGGGGTTAATAAAGGCAATAGAGTATTATTAGAGGTATTGTTTTTTTGGTATGGCAAAAAACATCATTTAATCGATAAATTTTTGCAGTAGAGTGGGAAAAACAATAAATTGTCGATGTATTGAAACTAAGCTCGAGATCAGTGCTAGGTTTTTTATCTTTTAAGCTGATTTCAGTGCTGAGAGTTTCTTAATAGTTTTTAAATACCAAATGCTAGAAAGGTAATTTTTAGAAAAAAAATATGAGATGATATGAAATACAAGGAGCTCTTTCTTCGATCTATCTATTTCAATTAACAATTAAACAGGAAATCGGTGCCTAATAATCATTGAAACGAATCATTTTCAACCCATCTTTGTAAAAAGGATTTTTGAACAGTTGATAGTAGGACTCAGTTTCTTATTTTCTTAGGTTTCTTGTGAAAAAAGGAGTGTTGAAGGGTCCTGGTCAACATTGATGCTTTGCGAGCGCAGCGTGCAGCAATTTAGCATTTCAGTTTATTTTGATCCGAGCAGTTATGTTCCTTTTTAATGCGGCCCCGACAATGGGTATATTACCATCTGAATCAGAAGAAGTCAAAAAATAGGCATATGCTTGTTATGTTTTAGGCACATGAAAGCCTGTGCTTACTATGACAAATTATTTCATCATGACATCCTACTTTTTTACAGTGGCTGGTACTGAAGAGAAATTAGTTGGGTAGGCAATATTTTCTGACAGTAAACCATTGGGTAGATTATATAGACAGGGGCGTACCTGCCGGGTGTGTGTGTGTGTGTGTATGTGTGTGTGTGTGTGTGTGTGTGGGGGGGGGGGGGGGGGGGGGGGGGGGGGGTGTTAAATTTTACGGATAGTCGGTAGATAAATTCACAATATATAACTGTAAAACAGGTTATACACCGACTAGTAAGAGTTGAATATATATATATACTGTATATATACCTTTTGCGCTGGAAAAGATTAATTTTAGCCAAGAAATAATTCCACCTCACTCCAAACCCCTCTCTAATTCAACTCTTTGTGGCTTTTATCTTGTATCCTTCACTGATTTGTGTTTCTAGAAAGCCTTTGAATTCTCCGCAAAGAACTTTATGTGTAAAAATCATTTCCTGGTTACGTAGGAAAGGGACACAGCCCAGGGGCGGACTGGCTGGTCGGGTTATTCGGGCGATCGCCCGAAGGGCCGGTCGGTTTAAGGGCCGGTTGATAAAAGTGCAAGAAAATAAATTAGCTTAAAAAGTGAATGCGAGGCAAAAAACTATACCCATGCGTTCATCTGTTTGCCTTGAATTTTCGGAGACTTTGTGGGAAAGAATAAATATACACGCGAGTACTCCAAAACCATCAAACTTATGAATTCATTATTGTCACCGCAGCCCAAACACACTTCTTCAGGAAACATGTTATTGACATCTTGTTCTATTTTCTCTTGACGGTTTTTCCTTTTTGGCGACATATTATACTGTAACACCCCTGTTTCAATGCGATACAAAATATTTTAACCTGCCCTGATGTCTTTTTACTTAGCTTTTGCTTGAAGCTGGTCATGCTTTTCCCTAAGCACAAGCTATCGCTAAACGTAATAAATTTAAAAGTCCAAAAATTAGAGCTCACTAAGCGATTTGCTCTGTGATGTGAGGCAATCAAGATGACATACGTAGAACAAGGGATGAGCAAGAAGACTTCGACCAAAGGTGATGCACAGAAATTTCGTGAGGAAGAGCTGCAAGACTTAAAAAAGGATTCAGCTACGATAGGTTAAAAAAGGATTCAGCTTTTTTATCAAGCAAAAGCGACAAACGTCACAAAAAACAGCAGGGTCTTGCTCTTGCTCCTTTCAATAAACTCATACAAGTTATGGTAAGTTTATTAGGCCTATACTATCATAAGTCAAATGCACCACCCCCCAAAAAAAATTAGCCAGTCCGCCCCTGAACAGCCTACACCGAAGGCGCAGCTCTGCGCGGTATAGGCGCTTTTGGAATCATGGGGGTCATGATATTTTAAAGCCTTTTACTGTGAAAATTTTCTTGAATTTCACGAGTTTTACTGAAGAATGTAAGCGAAGAGGGAAAATTTTGCAGATTGCAGTTTTCAACAAAATACCCCTCTAGTTTCCTCCAAACGTGTATGTGCATATGCCATGCCCTTGAACAGCGGCTGGTTTGAGGTGTTGTGCGCAGGCGTGATTAACCAAATTTCGCAAGGCATGTCGCGGGAAGAGAACATCACATTGGGAAGGATTTGAAGTGAGATAGATTGGATAAAATATCTTCGACGCTGTTGCGTAGAAAAGTAAAACAAGCATGAGTGGAAGAACACAGGACGTTCGCAAGAAGTTTTATAAGAATAAAGACAAGGATACGGAGGTATACTTTTTAAATATATATATTATTCTAACAACCTGACCAACGCAATGTCCTGCCGGGCCAGCAGTGCGGCCTACAGAATACTTAGTGCGCGGGTCGAGAGGAAGTCTACTGAATCATTTTTATTTTTGTATTAGCATGCAATATCTTTAAATTACTGAATGAATAGTAAGCTAGTATTTTTTGATAAAATAAGTGAAACTTACTGATGGCAACCACTCAAGCAGGAGCGCTGTACACCGAGACTGCTGAGAAGGCCAGTTCGACTCGACACATCGAAAGGGAACATCCAAAGTTAACTGGGCTTTCCAAAGGGGAATTCCCAATTTATGATATCAAATCTAAGAATTTCACATCATGATGAAATCCGATTGTTTGTCATTATCATAACGAGGCATATTTCTGTTTTTATCAATATTTCTAACTTCTGGTAAATTTATAGGCTTTTTATTTTCTGTGCCAGCATTTTCTCTTGTCAGTGGCTGTTGATGGGCCATTTCCTTTTCTTTGGGAAATGTTCTGTAAATATTTAAAAACTGAGCCAATCTGATGTGATGGTGGCACATTTAGGTTGCTGAAAAACACCCTTATAATCACAATGAAAGTCAGGGGCGGCTGGCAGGGAAAAAGGTTGGTCATAGCTACAAAGTGGTCAGGAATGGCCCTCCAAAAAAATCCCATCCCATTAAATAATGGCCAAATAATACACAAGATAAAGGTAAATAAATATGTAAATGGAAGTTATAAGTACATGAAATTAGAACTCTTATGTAGGTGAACATTCTTTAACATTACTTTTATACCTTTTTTAATTTGATTTCAAAGCTTTTTGGCCTTTTAATAGATAGAATCTAATTTTGATCATTTTATTAAGCTTTACCTAAAAGAGCACTCAAAGTTAATGACAACTTAAGTTAAAATTTGCTGTTATACAAACAAGTTATATATATTTATAAATTGGTTGTATTTGAATCAAATTTGCGGATTTATGTCAGTTTAAAATAGATGTATTTGCCAAAAACATAGCTTCAGTGGATCCCTTCTTCTTAAAAAAATCCTGAAAGTATCCTGGAAAGGATTGATAAAAATGATTTTCCAAGAACGGCACATTTATTCCTGGACATACATTGCCTCAAACATGAACGCTTCGGATTCATTAAAAAATACATTGATAGAATCGCATTTTAATCAGTAAGAGCAGTCAGCCGTCAGACAATAATACCGACTAACGACTATCCACTCTACATACAAGCCACTGCATGAATATAAAGGTAGGAATCAATCTAATTGGGTAGTTATCAAGGTCTGTGTTATGATAGGACCAAAGGAAGGAAGAAAAAGTTATCCAAATAGCTTGGGCCTTAGTGGAAAGTAGAGAAAAAACAATCTTTGATAAATCACCAATAATCAAACATGGCAAGCAGAAATATGTATTTGCAACTTCATTGCCACAAGTACAAGAAAACCTCTTGAAAACAGAATCGTATGATCGATTTTGGGACACAGTCTTTCATCTTTTTTAAACTTTATAGTGTGGGAAGTAGTGAAGATATCATAGGAACATTCCAAGGTATTCTGTTGGTTTTGGCTTGATTCATTATAAGAAATTTGTGGTAAAGAAAAATCGAAACCAAATGCTTTTGGAAGCCCAAAAAGTCACTTAGATGATGCGTGAATAGAAAAGCAAAACTATCAATGTGGCCAACAGGCAACAGCCACAAGTCATTCTTTCTCCTGAAAATCTGTGACAGGAGGCTATCGTGAAACAAAAGGACAAGTCCTCCACGTTCATAGCATTTGAAAACTGTTGCTGTTTTTATGTGGCTGCCAATAGACAGATAAGATCAAAGCAGCAAAAGCGCTATTAATACAGAACAAAATGGGCACGAACAAAAGTATTTAGATTCTGTCAAATGACAGACTACACCTAGAAAAGAGGCTGTTTTCCTCATTGAGTTATCTCATCTCTGACTTTCTTTTCTCTGGAAAAAAAACTTGCTCATAGACTGTTCATATTACGGGCAGTGCCCACTGCCCCTGATTAAAGTAAGTTCAACATTTCAATGGACATTAGGGTCTATGAACTTCAAATTAATGCAAACAATTCTATGCTTACTTTCCAAAGTTAAAATAATTAAATTTAACTTCCTTTAAAGAAGAACAAACGCAGTTTCTCTGTCAAATTTTTTGGTTTCTGCTTCTTCAGTTTATGGCACATAATGTCTCCTTTAAAGCAACACCTTATATGTCTTGATAATAGGAATGAAAAACAACAAATAAGATGGTTGTGCATATTACATGCCATAGCACACCCACAGTAATCCAGATGTGCAAAATGCCACAAGCTGCCAATTTTACATTGAAAAGTCTGCTCATATTTCACAAAGATAGAAGCCCCATGGCTATGTATGGACTAAGCAGAAGTCTGGTACATTTTATATGCTTGCATTGTTAGAAGTTTAGGTCAGCAGATACTTTGTGTGAGACAACTTTAGCAACTACCACAGCATTTTTTGTAACTTTGGACTGCAGATAACAGCTTTTGGCTAGATTTATTTCAATGTTTCTATTGGATTCAAAAGTTCTTTACAATTCAAAAACTAAATTCATTGAAACTGTAATAATTAAAAAATAATCAGTGACAGCAAATTTTGTTATTTTAGATCCAACATTTTTACTATAATGTATAAATAAAGCGTATTTCCCCGAAGGTGTTTCATAATTGACTCCAAGAAAGTAATTCTTGAGAGATTCATTTAGCTTTGATGCCTGCTTTTACTACAGGTTCCAACTATATGGCTGGCATCATTTTACCAAAGCAAGAAAGCAGTATAATTTCTCAACCTAAGGAGGAGAAAATCAAATAAAAGGGTACTTGCAAAAACCTTGGGCCCCTCTGGGTCCGACGTCTATAGTTAGCTTCACAACACTTTTATGTTATTGCAATAAGACCTAGTATATTCACTCGTTTTCACTGATTGTCTACATTACTGTCACTGTGCTGCATACCATAACAATTTGAAAGTGTCTTCTAAACTGGATTCTTTAAAAAATACAATGTAGTTCATTTCAAAATTTCAGGCAATCATAAAACAACATTAAATTACAAAAAGATTTAAATTTAAGTCCATAATTCATTTTATCAATGGAATAACTTCAGTAGTTGGTGTGGTACTCACGAGACAAAAGAGCGGCACAGGGCAGGCCAGGAAATGACCTCTGCAAATTTTCAATGAAATGGAGAGGATTATCAACTAATTGCTGCTTGGTCTTCAAAAGATCTCTATTCGTTGAATCTTTTATAAAAACCAAAGAAGCCATAGCATTTTCAATAACTTTTGACTTTGAAAAGGCCCTGGAATAGTGAGCAATCAGTTGGCAGCAGAAAAAAAGTTTGTATCCTTAGTTGTGTGACATGGAGAATTGTCTCAATGAAAGACAAAAGGCTGACTTGAAAAATCAGGCTTTCTTCTTAGGGCACAATTTATAATTCCATATTTGGATAGAATATTCCTAATTTAGTTTTTGAGCTGATTTTGGTCACAAAACTTCAAAGTTACTTGCTATTTTTACTCTTTAGAATTGACAAACAGGTTTCTTTGCAAACCCTGCTACGATTATTTGGTTACTATAAAAATATTTTTGACCTGCCTGTTCTCAACTTTTTCTCCAGTGAACTGCTATTTTACAGAAGTTGAAAATTCTTTGGGTAGTAGACTTTGTGTAGCCCACTTTCTGTGCAATTTCATCATCTGAATGACCTGCCTGGAAAAAAAACTTTATAAACATTTGCTTAGCTTCATCCATATTTTGTGCTTTTACCAGTGCCCAAAATTTTTGGTGCTATTTAGGAACAATTTTCCCAGTAAACTTTCTCCAAACAAAATATTTACTTGTTTACAAATTTATTTTGCTTATTTCCTATGCCATCGTTTTATTTTGCTGCCAAAGTTTGATCTTGATTTTTCATTTACATGGCGTTTGTAAAAATTAGGCCCAAAATTTTGCCCGACTGTTTGAATACTTTTGGGAGGGGAGTGTAGCAGCGTTGCGAGAAAGACTGGCTTCTTCTTTACAATAGCTATGACGGCAAAAGACATAAAGGAGTTCATGATATTAATTCATTTTTGCAATACAAGTTTGTGCAAATGCCATTGAAAATAAATATTGATTTTTAAGCTAAATAAAATTGGAAACTTCATATGGGTGAACTGTTTTGCAAAATACATTACTGGGAAAATATAAAGCATCCTTAATTACAGCAGTTAAGGTGGGTGCAGTGAACTGATTCTAGAGGTTTCTTAATATCATGGCTAGAGGACATATTGTTTATTATATGCTGATTACAGGAAAATGGGAATTCTTCGTGTAGCATTCTACTATGGAAATAGCGAGAAAATGTTACTTACTGACTTACCTACTTAGTTACCTACCTACTTACTCACTTGCTTTCTTACTTGCTTACCTACTTACTTACTTACTCACTTACTTACTTATTTACTTACTTATTCACTAACTAACTTCATGTTGTTTGGACAGCCATGCAGTATACTGCATTAATTTCCAAATTTAGATGCTGAGTTATCAATTAGTTGAAAAGAAGCGGTGATAATGTGTAAAAATATATTCATTCGGTTTAATTTTTTATCTTTTAGTCTTTAAGGCAGAGAAGAAATGAAGTGTCTGTGGTTCTAAGAAAGGTTTGTGGTTTTTTTCTTGATCAGTCCACCAAGCCAACAAGTAGAAATCTGTTTTTGATATCCCAGAGAATGTCAAGATCTTTCTGTAAGAATTTTATCATATAACAAGCAACCAAGAACCATTTTGTTTTTTAGTCAAAAAGCTTGACATGTCATAATGCCAGTTACAACTTTTAGGTATCGTATACTTTTGGTAGACTATCTGGTTATAAAGAGCAATTTCCATTGTAAACAGAAGCCATTTTCACAAATTCAGTTAAGTCAGATTTCCACTGAGAAAAAACTTTGCAAAGTATTTTGTGTTAAGTTGTTTCCCAAGAAATTTTTTCGCTTTCAAATTTCCGCTCATTGAGAAAAATATATCTTCTGATTCCTTTGGCCATTTTCTGAAACACAACAAGCAAGAAGGCATAGAGCTATCAAAGGGTGAATTTAGGAATCTTGTAAGCAAAATGAAAATCTAAGGTAAAAAGATGTTTTGCATGAGCCCATCTCAATTCAAATAGCAATGCCCTCAAGACTTGCATACTCTTCAAAATATTCTGACCGTTCAATAGTTTGAAAAGAAATGATTATTAAGTCAGAATAATATACTCCCCTCTGAAGCCCTGGTCTGGTTAGCCTGCATGCAGACTTTACAAATAGAGGTAATTCATTCTTAAAATCGTAGAAAGACATCTCATTGGCTCTAGAGACAAAACGGTTTGAATAAGGCAATAATCTTGCAAAATAAGTGGATATAAGAAAATCTGTGCCATTACGCAGATTCACAATTTCCTCAGCACACAGGCTATGGCCTGATTTGTCAGTCAATTTCTTGGCAAGCAAAATCACTCTTTGTGACAAAAGTTACCTTTTCCAGATGATTTTGTTGTAAGAATCCTTACATTGATTTTTTGCACTTAAACAGAGCATTTTTCTAAAGAAAATTTTTGCATTTTGTAGAAATCAGTTTTTAGTAGCACCAAACTACATTCTGAGAGCAATTTCAACAGGAAATGAGCTTCAGCAACTAGTTTGTTGTTTTGTCATGTATTTTTCCTGATACTGGGTATATTTTAGTTATTATTTTTTTTAAATTTGAAGGGTTTTGTCCAGATTATATACACTTAGTGAGCAAAAGTATTGCACAGGTTTGACAATTCAGTAATGGCGACCGCATTGTCAACAACAAGGCGATCAAAATTCAAACCACTTTTGTGAAGCCATTAGGCGTCTTTTTATAGTTAAAAACAAATCAAATCAATTTTCAAACTGTTGGCAACACTTTTGATTTAAAGATTGAAAAAATTTAGTTTTTCAAAAGTTAAAAACCTCAACTTTTTATTGGACAGTCTTCCAGCTTTGAAACCTTTATGAGACTTGCTAGAAGTTTGTCAAAAAGTTTTGCAACAGGTACTGTTAATCGCGACGCGACATGTTCAGAAAAACATTTGCAAGATCACATTTAGGTAGTGAAGTACCAAGTTGATCATAAATGGACTTGTATTTGGTGGAAAGTGGCATGTTTTAAGCCATTTTATTAAGCCTACTCTTTTACAGCTATTGAGGCACTTGAGTGAACCTGTTTATCGCGGGAATTTTGGTATTTTCATTTAATGAGAGAACGAAATGTTGTTTAACGCAATTTGCAGCATTATTTGTTCCCATTGCAAAAGGGAAATCGGGTCGAAAAGATGGACTTTGCGATTTGTGACACGTTTTAGTGGTTGAATTTTGCTGCAATATATCACGAAGCGGCCGCTGCGATTAGGCCCATTGCGGCTCCAAAAATTTCCGACCAAAACATTTAGCAGATTCTTCAACAAAAGTGAGGAAAATGAGCAGTTCTAGACACCCAAGCATAAAGTAAGTACTCCTGAGTTCATTTTAAGAAGATATCGCAAATTGGTGCAAAGATGAACTTTTTATTGCAAATGTTTCACAGGTACTTCAATCATCATGGCTCAATTTTTCTGTTTTTGCGACATGTCGATATTGTTTAGAAATAGGCAAAAATCAAGGATATTCATGCATTAACTATTTTCACCAGCAAACCTTGATAAATTATCCAACATATTCCAGTTAAAAAGTCATCTTATAACTTTTATGAAACTTACTATGGCCACTTTAATTTTGGTTTGCTAAAAAAATTTTGCTGCGGTGCGGCCATTTCTGTCTCAGCCTGTGCAATACTTTTGCTCACCAAGTGTATTTGTAATTACTATTATTGTTATTGTTAATTAAATGAACTGAAGATGGCTTTACACATCGCCTACGTTATTTTTAATAGGATAAATATGTTTTTCAATGATTAAAATGTTTACAAGTCCTGTCTTTGTTAAATTTTGAAATTTTCCCACACAGGAAAAGAGAGATGAAGCTTTACAAAAAAAGAGACTTGCTCCATCACAAGCAGAAGATGATAAAGATGAAAAGATGCAGGTAAGTTAGAATTATTTTTTTAATAATCTTGCGATTTTTAGACTTTCAAAATTGTGGTGGTTCAGATTGATGACTTACAAAATGGCAGCTCTACATGATTTAATTTCAACCTTCAGTTATTGTTTAAAATGAAAATTTTTGCCTAGCATATTTCAAAGTATAACAATTTATAATTAAGTTTATAGTTAGTAACAATATTTAGACCCTAAGGCCATAGCAGGGCTCACGCTGCGAATTTGAAAGCGGGGCAGGGCTATTTTCACCTTTAATTGTAGCTTTGAAATTACTTGCTTCGCAAAAATTTGGGAAGACATGGCCATGCCTTTGAAATTTTCTTCTTAAATTAGAAATTTAGTTGTTGTGTTTAGCATCAAATGAACATTATTTACTTTCACCCCACTTCAACTTTTTATGCATATAAATATTCAAGGCTAGTGAATGTAGCCACATTTTGTGATTAGATCTGAAATGTATCTGAAAAATGAGATTAATAGAGAGCTTCCAAAATGAAAGAACTGGAAAGTTCTATGAAGGATAAAACAGCTTTTCCTACCCCCTCTTTCACTCCAGCCACTAAAGTTAACAAGGTTGATCCCATGAGATTGATACCCTTATTTGAATATGAGGTGTGCGATCGCAAATTGTTCAAGGCGTGGAAATTTTCCTGAACAGTAGCATTAGCAACATGGATACAAATAGCCTGAAGTGAAAAACAATGAACAGTTGTTAGACACCTTTTAAGGGACATTAAGGCAAATGCATGTTTTCTGTTGTGCGAGACGTCTACTTTAGTCATAAAAATTTGAATTTCCATCAAAAAAGCTATTTTTCCTGAACAGTAGCATTGGCAACATGGATGCAAAAAGCCTGAAATGAAAAACAGTTGACAGTTTCTGAACACCTTGTAAAAGACATTAAGGCAAATGCATGTGCCCTGATCTGATCTCTGCCCATCGCTATTGGAAAATGAAACTGTCATTCCTGAAACTTTCACCGATAGAAAAATTTGCAAGTAACAGAAATATGGAAGTTTATTTGGGGAAATTACAAGAATCTAACATACATCATTTCCCATTAATGTAACAGTTGCAACTGCAACATCCGGAACTGTCTGGATCCACCCATGTAGTTATGGGTGAGAATTGACTGTTATCAGTTGTCAGACGTGCGAAATGCCGTTCGCGGCCTATTTTCATATTCCAAAGTTAATTTTGTGTGAAATATATATAAGTAAAATCTTTGACATATCAAGATGGTAAAGTGTGTAAAGAGCCATGATATGATAATCAATCATCTATTTGCTAATGGTGCACAATAAGTGACAGAAACAATGTGTTTATGGTATCAGATAGATGTATCACTTTCTTACCCTATATTTCTCTCCATAGAATTACTCACTTGAAAGCATAGTTGCGGTAAGTTGTTGATGATTTTTTTCCTATTTTAACTAAATACACTGAGAATACCTCAAATCAATTTTTCATATTGGAGATGTTAACTCGTTTTAAAATCACAGTATCATGTCATCCAGCACAGATGAGATGGGTACAAAAGTGCAAGGTCTAAACTGATTATAGCTCTGCGAATAATGTAAGCCACAGGTTATTGCAAACCAGTCTTTAGGCTGCAGTATAAATTGGCCCCTAAAATAACACAGAAAGCTAGCAAGCATCAATTTTCTTAAAGGGGCAAAGGTAGAGCCAATTCAAAGAAATGTTTTTCAGATGCGTTGATAGTGCCCACAAAACATCAGAGTCTTCGAAAATACAAAAGATATGTGAGATATAAAAAGTATCAAGGCAGCTTACTGATTGATCTGTGAAGATTTGAATAGCTGGCTTCTAGCAATTCTGAGGTTATATGGCTTAAAATTTAGGTTACAACTGTCATGCCAACCGAGAAAAGTGAATTTCAAGACAGCTTTTGAGCTTTCTGTCATTTCAGCAGATATGGACAACTTAATTGATGCTTTGGTTCTAAAGATCTCTCAGTCTAAAACTATTTGTTGATTTCTTAGATTGGGCTAGTAAAAGTCCCTGCATGTGCCACAGATATCTCTAATCATGTTTAGACATAACAGGTCAGGTTTTTGAATGAAAATGAAGGGGGACTCACTTTAGTCTTCAAGTTGTTTTTGACCATTGCATTTTTACAAATTTCACAGAGCTAAGTTGTTGTTCAAGAATATGAAGAGCTGTTATTGCCCTTTAATTCTAGGGGAAATTTTTTCCTAATTTTGCATTGAATAATCAATATTGCTCTAAAATTATCTTGATTAAGTCAGTGTGGTCAGAGTTTTGTGTGTAGCATAGGGCATTCTGTGTTACCTCTTTTAAGTTTCCTGCTTCATGTATTTAGATAGTAATTACGTGCAGCCTGATGATGAAATTAAGTATAAAACTCATTGTACAATTAAACGTGTGTACACATTTTACCATTAGAGCAGAACAAAAAGCATGGTAGTTAGGATTGTTTTAATAAACTTTAGTTATAAATATAGGGTTGTCTTGATATCTATGTTTAAATAGTGTGTAAATCTTGATTGTTCTAAGCTGTTACTGTATATATGTTTAATATGTGATCAACAGGCAGCAATTCTATTGTTTTTATTTTTATCGTTTTTTCTACCATAGACACTGCTTCAAGGACAAAATGAAAAGGTTTGAGATTTGTTAGTTTAAAACTATTGAAATGTATATATAGCGTAATATTAGTTCTTGGAGACTGCAGCTTGAAGACTTCATTCTTGTAGGCTAAAAGGTTTCAGTCAATTTTAAATCTCCTAGATATAAACTACTTTATTCCAAAGAGCAGAAATGTTTATCTATTACTGTAAACTGTGTCAATTATTAATGCCCTCTGATGTACGACTGAAAAGCATTTTTCTTTTAATAGTATATATATATATATATATTAAATAGTTTTGGTTTGTTGTAAGAGCATCTAATATCATGAAAGGCATAGGACTGTAAATGGTTTTTAGCAAGTGTATATTTTTGTCAAATCTTTGCTTTGATCTGAAATGTAAACCTGATCTCATTTTAAATGTATAAATATAAATATATATAACCACAAGGCTAAGGCTGACAGGAGGAAAATTCTTCCCACAAGGGTGCTTCCCAATTGTATCAAACCACTCTTGGTTGAAATCGAACTCCAGTTCGCAGCTTCAAAAACCAATATGAAATAGATGGTCAATAAAAAAGCAACTTGTTTCAATGAATATGTATATATTAAGTATCTGTTGAATTTTCCTCATATAGATGGGAGGAGAATTTGAGTCTGCAAAACGGCTAGGAGCAGTCCAGGCTGCCAGAAAACTACTATCAAGGGACAGGAACCCACCAATCAATGATCTCATTGAGTAAGAGCTAACTGTTTTTTTTTCTTTATATATTATACCTACTTTTATATATATCTATATTTATATGGAACTTCATATAAATATATATCGTACTACATATAAATATATATATACTTCGCGTTTTCAGATTTGGTTCTGTAAAGAAAGGGTTGTCTTTCAGCATAAGCTTAATTTAAAGAGAGCTTCTGATCAAAAATTTTATTACGATCTATGAAGAGTAAAGTCTCTCAATTAAATCTATTTATGCAATCACGTTAAAAATGTTTAGGTATTTTTGTTTTCATACATTACTATTATTAGCAACTATTCATTACTATTTCATACATTACCGTTAAAATACATTACTATATTTTACAGGAAAGTCTTACACAGTTGTCAGTTAAATTTTCTTGGAATAGGCAGGCTTTTTCATAAAGAAATTTACACAAAGGTGGCGAACTAGCTGCATTTCATGTTTCAGTAGCATTAGCCTTTCAACACTACAACTGAAAAATGAAACAAAGGAAAACCAACTAGGGTCCCAAAAACATACAAGACTACTTGTCTGCGAACAACTTCCTATATATATTTTGTTTTTTAGATATCTTATTGTTCTGTTTTTTAATTTTAATTAAATATGAATAAAATTAGTTCTAATAGCAACTTGGCCATTTGTGGTTTAGCAAACTACCAGTTGTTGAAAAGTAATTTGTGTCATAATTTGTTTCGTGTTAGCATGACTCGTTTCGTGAGGGTGATCATAGGCCCTCTCATTAGATTGTGCAATGCACATACTTCCTCAAATTGTCAATTCCAAACAATTATATAATTCTTCTAGGTCTGGTATTCTTCCCATCCTTGTCGAATGTCTTCAGTGTGATCAGAAGTAAGGAATTTTTGTTTTCATTATTTATACATGATTTTTTCTTGAAATTATTTTAGATTATTCTGCTTCAATTTCTAACAAATTGTAGAAGTTCTTTCCTTTTTTCTTAAAGTGCCACTGAAATGGAAAAATCGAAATTTATTATTGATGTTCTCTGTCAAGTCTGTGCTCCTGAATCCGATGGTGAAGTTCTTTTTTCGGAATTGTTAACTGTTTTCAAGCTACAGCGCTTCAAAATTGCGATTTTCAAGACTTTCGGTGCGAAAATCTTTGCACTGTCTGTGAGGAATTTCAGGAATGTGTGACGCATTAAGATTTACAAGTCGCGGAAGTGATGCGGGCTTCAGTACTGAGCACTGTATTTCGAGTGGCTTCAGCACTGAACACTGTAAACCAAAAAACCATATGCAAGGTGGCGAAATATTAGCTCCTATTGATTCGACTTTCGAGCATCCTGCTACCCTGGCCATCTGAATACTCTTGATTGCTGTTTTGTTTATGTTGCGTCTGACAAAGTCGATAAAATGTTTATATTGTATTGGCTTTATTGTGCACAGCTGTCTTTCCTTATCATGTGTTTTCCAAAGAGTTATTGATGGTTTAAAACCTAAAGATATTCCATCTGAAATTGAGTTCAGGGTTTATTAAACCAAAATTTGGACTAATTTGTGGCCTTTGATCTGAGTTTATGGTTGAAATACCTTGATAGCCGTCGGTTGCTCCTATTTTCATATCAGTATCAGAATTGAAATTGTTTTTATTGTTGTGGTTTATTAAAAGATTTTGCTTTGTTTCTCTGTGACAACTTGTTTGCTTTTTCCAGTCCACAGCTGCAGTTTGAAGCAGCTTGGGCACTGACAAACATCGCATCTGGAACTTCACAGCAGACCCAAGCTGTTGTGCAAGCAGGTACTCTTTCCTCCTTTCTGTTGAAATGTTTTTTAGCTATCGCCATTTTTAAGAATAGTAGAAAAGATGATGTAATAATTTGATGAGGCTATTATAAAATTCATTATCCGTAGCGGACGGACAAATGATAGTTCCATAATTAACGGATAATTCCAGAATTTTCTCCTTTTGTGTCATGAAAGAACCCATAAGGAGGTGTAGATGAGTTGAAGCAATTACTTCTGGTAAAAGCACATCGCCTCAGAAGAATGTCTGTCATGACGGACGGACAGGATAGAAAAAAACTGAAAAGACTAATTTCACGTGTTCAAATATTTCATCTAAGCCAACGAACTTGCATTTTGAACAACTATATTTCTCAACAATTGCAAATTTTAATGCCGAAAGTACCAATGGATCGTCGTGACGGACGGACGGACGTGACGGACCGACTGGAAAATGTCATTTGAGACTAATATGAAAAAGCAAATTCTTCGTTTATTTGCTAGGTCAAACCCCATGTGCACAGTTATCGGACAAGTTTCGAATTTTCCGTCCGTCACAAAATTTTCAGAAATTTTATAATGAATCTTGATCTTAAATTCCTCCCAGCTGGTCTTAAATTTTTAAAAATCCTAAAATAAAGCCATTTTTATCAAAAATCATAAGATATTCCTAATGTAAAAATATTCCTAAAATTTGACGAAGAATCCTAACTTTCGTAACATTCGTAACGTAACTTTGTCAGTTTTATATTTCAGCACCAAGTATAGTGGAAATAGACAAGAAATGTTTTCAAAATCTTATTGAGATCAACGATACAAAACCAACAGTCTTCAATTTTAATTTTTTGTTCTAGAAAATTCCCAAAATTAAAATTCTTAAATTCCTAAATAAAGTTTACAAACAGATGCTGGAAGGCCTGGGGTAACCCATGCCTTCGTTTATGCCAGCAATCCAAAAAGAGAAATGTTCTTTTATCTGTTAAATAGGCATTTTATTGTTTCGCTTGCCTCTTCTACAAGGGCACCTTAAACCGGTTTTCTCGAAGAAAAATCTATGGTGGTTATTTTTCAAAAACTTCAGTTTTGCTGATAAAAAATACCATCTACTTGTGAAAGACAGCACAGATGTGCAAAACTTTAAACTTTGAACAAGACTTGAGTTAAAGGTTGCATCAGCATTTCTCACGATCTTTATTTTGTTTTGTGATGTCATATTGAGCAAACAGTTACAAAGAGTTATGTTTTTAGATAACTGCATAATTGACATAACAGGCCTTGCGCTAAAAATCCTCAGCAGTAAACAGTAATGTGCCTAAATGCTAAAAAAATATAGAATTGGAAATTCATACTATCCTTTCAATCAGCTCCACAGAGAACGAGCTGCTATTGTCGAGAAAACTGTGTTTTGCTTTGGCCAGGGTTTTGAATAACATATTTAACCAATGTTTTGTGTTGCAGGTGCTGTTCCTCATTTCATGCGCCTCCTCAGCTCACAACATTCAAACGTTTGCGAGCAGGCTGTCTGGGCCTTGGGAAACATTATCGGTAATTTCAACCTGTATTTAGAAAGCCTTATTTACATCGTTCGTTTTACAGTAGAAACCCGCATACATGAATCTGTCTTTATAAGAACCTTGAGGCTGAAATTTAATCAATTCTTAGAACCCCAAAGAGGCTGAAATTTGGAAAGGTTCTTATATATATATATAAGAAAAAAGGTTTTTAGATTGGTATTTCTACACCCTATTCACACCGGCTAATTAAAACCAGTTTAGTATAAATCAGATTATGGTATGTTGCATTCTAATTGGACAATCTAACAACACAAATTCATTTGATTGGTTGAAATTTAACATGAAAAACAAAGCTGGTATAAGTGTGTATATTAGAATTCTTGCGGTGGAAAACATAGTTAATGTGTGCAAGACCTGTACGTATATAAGAACCTTGTTAAGAACCTTTTAGACTGGAATTTAGAATAGCAGCCTGTTAATTAAGAGCCTATTCAGGCTACCAGAAAAAAACCTAGGTTCTTTTATGCGGGTTTCTACTGTATAGGATCGAAAGATCCTCGAGTTGCTCCAAAGTTCTCTAGCGAAATACTTGTTGCTTTGAAAAGTACAAAAGTTCTAAGCCATGCTCAAACCTTTTCGTCTAGCAGCTGATAAAATGTTGGGCATTTATCTTAATGCTTTTTAGTTTAGATTAATGTATGCACACATAAAGAACTTCAATTATCACATTTCAACTTCTATTTTCATTTCTTTGTCTTTACCAGTTTCTTATGTATTTAATTTCAGCAACATTTGTAATTGCATCCAACGTTCAAAGTTAACGGCACTATGCCTGGTGCATTTCACTGGCCATTTAAATTCCCATTGGTCAGACTATACAATAGACTTATTATTACGGAGCCAACCGGCTGATCTTCAATGTTTTCTCGATTTTAAACACGCTGTAAAGCCTATTGTGAACTCTGAATGGTTGACTGACAGGACATCGTGCCATTTAACCATACACAGGTCTGAAAGATATGTTTGGTGTTTTAATTGAATTAAAAATGAAGCTTTTTATGATTACGTTTCAGGCGATGGTCCTGGTCTGCGTGATTTCGTAATCAGCCATGGCGTCGTTGGCCCATTGCTCAAATTCATTGATCAAAATACTCCAGTGAGTACCATATTAAATGTTCTAAGCTCCATTAAACTTATCAAATATTTCACCTGATTTTAGAAAAACAAATCTTGATGAAATTATAGTTCTGTTGGGCCACCTTGTTTGATCACATTCCATTAGTAAGATGATTTTCGGAATAGTTTGAAGGAGATCAGAAACAAATTTGTTTTGTGAAATGCTGGGTTTGACCACAGGCAGAAACATTTCGACAAGCACTTGATCTCATTTTGGTCACACGCACAAAGCAAAATCATTGATAAAGATATGGAGTTTTGTAAGTGTGAAGTAAAAAATCTATTTTTCGAATTTTTGAATTTTGACTATGCAACCCAAAACAGCACCATGCAATACTTCTGGACAAGCAAAATTGCTTAGATTAACCAAACACGGGGTTAAATGTGACCAAGGAAAGATCTGAAGTTAACGGGTAACTGTTATTTTGGTTAGTTATGAACAGAGGCTAAATTATAGATGTTTGATGGGAAAGACCCTGTTCTCGCGTGGACCTACCTCTGCCAGTTTGTTTCCATGATGGACCTTCTAGGTCACATGGACCTACCTCGGCCTGTTATTTCATGATGCCATGGTGGCCTCGGCCTTTTAGTTTGTGGGAGCAAATTTAAAAAACGAAAAGAAGAGTTTTCTGACATCATTACTTATAAAGCTGTTTTCTTAAAAACTGTCAGACTGGCGCCTTTGCATGAACACAGCGCTCTTCATAGCCTGGCTTTGTTTTACACCTTGCGATGTCTCCTTAAGTGAACAGGCATATATTGACCTCAAGCAAAATGTTTGGGGAAATGCTAATTCCTTTTGACCACCGAATCACAACACAGAAAGAATTTAAGATATAAGTTGTGATTTACCGTAAACCCCCTCCCCCCACCTCCTTATAACTCCCCACGATCAAGTAAGCCCCAGCCCTGGAAGTTATAGTTGTTAATAAGCACCAACTCTTTTCTCAAGATTCAGATGTCCCTGTAATCCCTTTAAGCATCCTTCTACATGTTCTTCACTACTCTCTAACCCCCCTTTGCTAGCCCCTGCCGTGCCTGCGTCAATGTGACCATATTTATGAACTTTTTAGCACGAGGCACTATCATTGCCACCAGATCAACTGTTAAGTACAGTGTAGAATGGATACTTTTACACAGTTGCTCTGTGATAATGTTGTATGTGCCCTAATTTGGAATCGTCACTCAACATGTGTTACTTTATCAAAATTCGCTCAAGCTTCCCACTCCAGTCGTTATGTGTGAAACCTCAACAATACAAACAATCAATTCCCAGATAATAAGGTTCCGTTATCCTCTTAAAGCGTCTTGCTTTTGTATGCTCTTGCGTTAGTTTCTGTGAGTTAGTTCAGCTGCCTGCCTGCAAGGTGACGTTAGTTAACTGAGACACACGTGAAATATGCAGGTCAACTTATAGCTGTCATTTTTCTCTATCATCTTGAAAAATCTCTCAACACCTGCCAAAAGGTAGCATGAATTTTAGAAATTTTGAAACTGCTTCTCAATTACAATTAGAATCCAATCTAAATAAGAGAAGTCAGTCCGAAAATGATAGTTTCTATATATTTTTTCAATTTTTTTCTGCATCAAGAGTTTAGTACACCATATAGTCGAACGGAGCGGATACGTAAATAAAGATATAGTTTAGAATTGAAGAAAATCAAGCTACATGTTTAATCTCATTATGGAGTTGAAGAAAATCAAACTACATGTTTAATCTCTTTTTGGAGTTGAAGAAAATCAAACTACATGTATAATCTCTTTTTGGAGTTGAAGAAAATCAAACTACATGTATAATCTCTTTTTGGAGTTGAAGAAAATCAAACTACATGTCTAATCTCTTTTTGGAGTTGAAGAAAATCAAACTACATGTATAATCTCTTTTTGGAGTTGAAGAAAATCAAACTACATGTATAATCTCTTTTTGGAGTTGAAGAAAATCAAACTACATGTATAATCTCTTTTTGGAGTTGAAGAAAATCAAACTACATGTATAATCTCTTTTTGGAGTTGAAGGAAGTCAAACTACGGAAATATCAACAGACAAATTTCTATATATATAGTTTCGCAATATGCTTCTTCAGAACCATATACATATACGCTCTTTAGAGAAAGAGGCATCGAGTTGATTTATTGCGCTTTCAGATCAGTGAAAATAGTTTCGACCTTTATCTGGCCATCATCAGAGCAACTGAATAAGTTTTGAAAGGCTACTGCCTTTTATTGATTTAAAATCAATTAATATTTCTAAGACGCTTCTTTCGTAGCTCAACTAAGGATTTCGTTTTGCTCTTTGCTTGGCGCTATGAAATGATGTTGACCAAATGTCATTAGCAAGTCAAGTATTGCCAGACCGGAAGGTGGTACCGCTTACAGGCCGATTGTTCTATTTTCATTTTGTTACCGTTTCGTTAAAAAGCTCTTGAAATTTGACTGAAGGTGGCTCGACATCAATGGTCAGTAAAATGTTGACAATGTTCTGAAACCTTGTTCAGTCTTCTTCAGCGGTGTTGAGCGATGTTCAGTGTAATTTGAGCGACTTGGAAATTGTTCTGTGGCTCAAAAAAACATTATTTTTAAGGTGCTGTTCAGCGTTTGTTGAGAGCGTTTTAACACATCTAACTAATGATCTCTGAACATTCCTGAACATCACTGAACATCGCTTTGCATCCCGGTTTCACGTGCAGTAGAGTTTATTGCCGGTTGTCACAATAATACATGTTTGCTTTCGATTCACCAGTCTCGCATCTTTAACAGCCTGTGTGCTGACCCAAACAGCGCACACATGTTTTTTGTCTGTGAATTAAATATTCTGATAAAAATTATCGCATTTCTGTAATAATTGATATGTTTTTCCGGAAATAGGCGCCACGTGGATTCAGTAATCTTGTTTCAAAATCCAAAACAAAACCTACTTGTGACGCTTTTCATTTCCTTAGTATCATCTCATTTAAACTTAAAAGTTTTTGATATAAAAGTCAAAACGCTGTCCTAGCCTGACATCAGGGACTCAAGCTAGGCTATCCAAAAGGTCATCGTATCCTTGCTCCATACATTTGTTTTTTTTAGATTATAATCTTTCTCGTGAAACTCTTTAGATTTGATAGCCCTAAACCCGCCTTTCCTAATCGCGTTTTCTAATCGTCGCAGTTATACCATATAACATCTTGTGCTGTTTATGTGACCAATGTATCACCTTTCAGATTTCTTTCCTTCGAAATGTCACGTGGGTCATCGTGAACCTCTGTCGAAACAAGGAGCCTCCACCTCAAATGGAGACAATCTCGCGGGTATGTTGCACTTGAATCTTTGTATAGTTTATGCCGTATAATTGCATCACCCGAAACATGAGAAAACGTTATTTTGTGAGGTACTTTCAAGAATCTAAAGATTTTAAATGATTTTTGTTCCCTAACGTCTTCGGGATGGAGAAATTGTTTTTACTGTGTGTTTTGTAGCTTGATCATGAATATTTGAATAAAGTTATTTCATCATGGAATAATTAATTATGTACACCCTAGTGAATTTGGCGCCTATGGTTATGATCATGATGATGGATCATTGCGATAATGGATGCTTGCGGTGATTGGTGATTCATGGCTCTTATTATATATGATGAGAGCGATTAGTGATTTGTGATTGTAATGGTTGATGATTGAATTAGTGGTAATTGAGGTGATTTGTGATTGTAATGGTTGATGTATGGCTATTTTGGTAATGGTGATTTGTGATTCTGCTGAATGATGATCATATTTATGTTGATTGTGTTCATGTTAACTAAAGTTCATTCTGACGATTGTTCCTTTCCGCTTTCTTCGTTCGGCCAATAACCTTTTACCTTGCTTCACTTCCAGTTGCTCCCGGCATTGGCATTCCTGATTTTCCACACAGACACTGATGTAAGTATACAAACCTCTTCTGCTCCGTTTTTAAATTTTGCTGGAATCTTTTATAAATATTTCTAAGCCTAATAATCATATAATTAGATCATAAAAATACCAGTTAGGTCATACAGCTAAAGTTGTTGTACGAAAATGAATGACGCAATGCTGTTGGGTGCTAAACAGATCGTTTTCACCGTTTGCGAATTTTGTTATGTGTTTGTTTTGTGTGAATTTTTTTTATTTTATGGATGTTTATCAAACTCTATTATGATTCATAATGATATATTTTATGATTTCACAGTAGACCTAACAAATGTCTTAACTTGTTTCTTAGATATTGGTGGACAGTGTCTGGGCACTTTCGTATTTGACCGACTGCGGAAACAGTCACATACAGGTAAGTTAAAGCAATTGTTTAAGGCAATATATTCACCTTTCTCTGTAATATTCAAGAGGACTATCCTTAAACCCAAAAACATCCTCGACACTGTGGATAGCTATATCCCATATTTTTCATGCATGTATGCTTTGAGGAATTGCCTTTCTACCATAATTCATACTTGTAGGGCATATATTGTTGGTTAGATTTTTCACCGGTTGTTAGAGAGAGACAACTTTATATATCATTGCATATGATTATATTTGATTTAACAATGATCAAATGTCCTTTCGTTGCCTGGAAAGTTACTTGATAGCTCAAAACGACTTGCAAGGACTTATTGTCGTGCAAACGAATTGATATGTAAGTATGCAGGCGTAAGTATAAATTAGTTGGCATGACAACGAGTCTATGCAAGAAGATTGAAGCTATCAAATAGCCTTTAAGGACAACCAAAAAAATTGTTTAATCCTATTTGACCCTGAATTGGTTGAAAAGTTAATTTCAAGGCTGTACAGTTTTAATTAAAAAATCAATGAGAATTTGATTTGTGTCCACCGTAACCTACTTTATATATTATTTTTTCGGATTTCACCCTAGGAATGAAAAATTTCCTGGATGAATTACAATGACTTAGGAAGATATTACTTAGTCGGGTGCCGTAGCTCTGCTCCATTTTAATTCTTCTCTCCTTCAGTTGTTCATCCAAAGTAAGGTCTTAGGTTGTCTGTTGCGTGGGCATGAGTGATAAGACGAAACGAGCGTTTTCTGTGAAAGCTGCTGGTCGTTACTGCGGTACCGCTGTTCTCTTTAGTCGATGAAAATGACAGCACATGTTGAACATTTTCATACAGATGACCTAGCAGGCTTCGGCCACTTCGCAACATGTTATCGAACTTATTTGACTATTTGCCTCACAACGTTACAGGTACCGCGAGACGGCCTAAATTATTCATTGCAAATCTCGATAAACCATAGATGGAGATTAAGCCTCTGTACTTGTGAAATCGCCTTATCCTATCCATGGTCATTTACGTTCATCTTAATGCATAATTTATAACGTGTTCGTTGACAATCTTCTCGTTGACAATGTTGGGTTGAAGTAAGGGCGACCCACTACCAGTCTTGTTTCCAGTTTTATGACCTTTCTCTATTTAATGGTTTAGCTAGCTAAAGGTTTGTGACAGCTTGAATGTCGCCTAAGTAGAAGTCAAAGTGTAAACAGTATGCAAGAAGCAGTTAAAGGAAGCCGGAATGAAATTTTTGTAGCATAAGATGCGATAACTGAACTCACCAAAGTTTGGAAAGATAGATTGATATCAATGTTTAACGTCTCGTTTATTACTACACTTCCAGTTGATGCGAAGGAGGCGATGATAACCCCAAGGCACAAAAGCTTGCAATCTTCTGTCTGCGTTTGAAAGGCTGGTTTTTATATAACATATTTCGACGCATTTCATCGCAAATCAGGGTCCAGGATTTTCACGGTATTAGAAAACCGAAAAACCTCTTTCATCTTAATTCATCGTAATTCAACGTATTTCGCCGGGAGAAACAAAATTTTTGATTTCTTCCGATGAATTACGTTGAATTGAATTACGTTGAATTGAATTACGTTCTATTAGGATTATTTACGATAGGTGGTTTTCATATAATTTGGCCAATTTTCATATAACGGAAATCATCTCCATTGATTTTAGACTCAGAATTGCGATGAAAAGCGTCGAAATAGGTTATTTGAAAACCAGCCTTAATTAATTAAACATTCAGAGGCACAACTGCCGTCGAAAACACTAGGGCTTATAGTTGGTTGGGTCAGAACATTTGATTACTAGAAATGCAGACAGATTGCAAGGAAAGGTTATCTACCAGACATATTGCTCGAAAACCGACTTAGGTTATTTACCGGGCATGTTGCTTGAAGAACCGACCTAGGTTATCTACCGGACATGTTGTTTGAAGAACCGACTTAGGTTATCTGCCGAACATGTTGCTTGAAAAAACGGACTTGGGTTATCTGCCGAACATGTTGCTTGAAGAACCGACCTAGGTTATCTACCGGACATGTTGCTTGAAGAACCGACTTAGATTGTGATCTCCTCGCTGGCACTTTGTACGAAATGTAGCTGGGTTGTTGAAATGTGCCAGTGGTACTGCCAGATAATACCAATGATACTGATGCTGATGACGAAAAAGATTGTGATGATCTTAACGACTGTTCCGGAAAACTCTGTTTCCGTCTGGAACGACTGTTTCCGTCTGACACTTCTCAGAGTAAAAAACGTCAGAATGAGGGTCCAAAAAAACAAGATGGAAAATATATACACAGTTGTGGATCGAAATAGGCCAATCAGAAAAACGCAAGCACACAACTGGCATAGTTGTCCAATCAGTGCTGCATGCCTAGAAAAACTACCACGGGAGGCCAAAAAAAAACGTTGTGAAGTGTTTGCTTTTTCAAAGCCATTTTATGCCCTTGTCGTTCTGCTGGTCATTTTTAGCCCATGAAATCAGTTGGAGAAGCGGTAATGACGTTAAATCTTGAAAGTCAACCCGCTTAGCAGTGCTTAGAACCTGTTATTTTCGCAAAAGACGTTCTTCAAGTTATTCGCTTCGTGCAAATGATCAATAATGCATTTTAAAATATGCAGATTTGCAGATGTCTAAAACGTGTTTTCCATCTTCACTTCTCATCTTTTGAATGAAATAAAATCATTTTGTAGTTATAGCTGCGTTGTTTACAGGAATTAAGATCTTGATTCGGCCTATTTCAAGTAGTTAGTGCTACAAGCTGAACTCTCAGCTGAGTATCTTTATTTCCTCTAGACTTTGTCTCTGTCCACTCGCAACGTCATCCTTTTCTCCTCTCAACGGTGCTTGTGTTCCATCACAACGAGGCTCGGTCCCCTTTAAGTTGGGTTATCCCATCTCAACAAGCATTACGTCATCTCTCAAAGCTTTCTGTATATTTTTCTTGCAGGCAGTGATTCAAGCTGGTGTTGTCCCGGTTCTAGTTCGTTTCTTAAGTCATACCGAAATAAAACTTCAAACGGCAGCGCTGAGGGCCGTTGGCAACATTGTCACGGGCACAGATGAACAGACACAGGTTGTCCTTGACAACGGTGCACTTGAACATTTTCCTGCTCTACTACAGCACCCAAAGGAGAAAATAAAGAAAGAGGCGGTTTGGTTCTTATCGAATATAACAGCGGGTAATCAAGATCAAGTGCAGCTAGTGATAGAGGCTGCCTTGATACCGTTGATAATAAAAGCTCTTGAGGTTTGTGAATTTGCAACGCAAAAGGAGGCTGCCTGGGCGATTAGCAATCTGACAGTCAGTGGCACGCCTGCGCAGGTCAGTGTTTTATAAAGCACCATTGCTGATGTTCGCCTTTTCCAACTTCATGTATCTTCTTCAACAAAAATTGTAGCATTTGAATGGATAGATGGAAGTGAATCCCCAATGTTAATGCTGAAAGTGACAAATATTAATGATAAAAATACAAATTTTACATCAATCAATTTGGGCCTCAAATCAGAAACAGATGAGGCACACAGCATCTCCCCCTTCTCCCAAGCTATTAAAACCCTCCCTTCTTTATATCCATTCCAACCCACATTATCCATACGCCCCTGTAGACAGATGAGATACCCCACATCCCTGTATATATAATATATATATCCCGTCATATCCCCTTCGCCCAACCCTTTTAAACCTCTCCCTTCCATATCTACATCCAGCCCTGTTCTTTGCCCAGCCCCGTTTAATCCCTCCCTTCAATAGCCACACCCAGCCCTGTTTATCTCCGTCCACTCTATCTGAATGCCGCTATATACAGTTTAGACACCTTCCCCTTCTCACAAAACTTCATTTCCATTGCCATTTTTTGATTTTGCATTTTATTAAACAACTTGAATGTTTTGTTTATGCCCTCTGTGCTTAAAAATGTGTTTTATTCTTTCCTTGAAGAGTCCTTTTCTATTTATAAACCTAGGTTAATTATATGGTTAGTTGTGGTGCCTTGCCCCCGTTCTGCAAGCTTTTACAAGTAAAGGATACTCAGGTATGTTGTCCATATTCTTTTCTGGTTCCACTTTTTCTATAGATACTTTATTTATCTTTACTTCCGAATGCATTGTGGTTTTTCGTCCCCGAGGCAAAGCGCGCGCAACAGACTAGTTGCCTACGACGAAAGTTTTTTGTCATGGATGTAATTTCCCCTCCTCACGCTGCAAGAATTTGATGTAAACATGTCACCTTTTTCAATTATAAAAGTTTCTAAAGTGCCAAGTAAAGACTTCGTGAAATAGACGTAACCAAAAGTTAAAATAATTCTATAATCGAATCAAAACCTTCATTGGTGGATGTGCCAACAAATGACCGTTTATAGGTATGCTATTTTGTAATGAGGTGCATGGGAAGTTTTGAGGAATTTATAATACCAACTTTTTGTTGTAAACGATTATTTTGGTGATGACGTTGTAAAAATCAGTTCTTAAAATTCAAATGAATTTTCTAGTTCGTTCTTTTCTACATCTGTCTCTTAAGTAAATCAGGTGTTTTGCATAAAGGTTCTGTAGCCGGAATTAAACTGTCTGAAACGAGCATTAGGTCCACATTGCTTTTCTTAGCAGTGATTTTTTCCTCTCCTTTTTTATGTTTTCAATCGCTGTAACTGAGAAACCAATGGCAGGACTGTTGTTCCGTTGAAATATGTACAAGTCGACTCCATTATTTTCAAGTACTAGCAACGATTTGTTTAGTAGAAAATCTTGACTTTGTGTTGAAATATCGATGTCATCTCAGGCTAGTTGTTTTAAACTGTTCGTACCTTTATGTTTAGCGCCACACATACACCTCTTTATGGAAATTTGTCAAAGACGAGACGGCGCGTGTTTTTTGAGCACTTGTTGATGAAATTGCACGTGATTGGCATATGCTTATAGATTTGAAATGATGTTTTGAGATTGATTTTTCTTGCAATTCCCGATATGATGCTGTGCAATGTCGCAATAGAATCAGCGCATGTGCTATAATTACGCGCGTTAGTTGGTTGATTTATAAATCTTCTCCGAGAAGCGTCTGGTTTCAGTGTTTTGGCGCCATGAACTTCGTTCTTTAGCACGTCTGCTTGAATAAGTGTTACCGCATCACCCTTATGCGCTGTTGATGATCGCGCAAGTGTTCTTTTCGACCAGCATCTCAGCGTGATCTGCATTTCTTCAATAGTACCTTGCGCAACTTTCCGACAGATACACGAAGATGTAGCAACACGGCGTCTCAAATTTTCCAACTATAAATCCTCGTCTCCTTTGAATCTTGACCCAAGCGACGAGGAATTAGAGCCACTTGTGTATTATATTACTGGTGGCCATCGAAAGCCGCTAGGATTACTTGAGAGGTGCTAGGAAGGTGGCACCTAGGACCTCGGGGCATATTGCAGATTGAGGGGTCTAAAGGGTTTTTGGGGAGGGGGCTAAACATGCTAAAGAAGCAGGGCGATTTTGTATGGTTTTAAGTACATTTTAAAAATTATTAGGAGACTAAAGCTTCTATAGCCCCCCGCTCCCGCTCCCGCAGTCCCAGAGTGGCACTCTTATAATGTACCTAATGTGATCTGCATGTATCCTGTATAACATTGATTCTTATTTTTGATCTGTTATTTTTCGATTGAATATGATGTAAATTTCTTTTTGCGTGATTCGTGATTTGAATACGCGATCGTACGATTTCCGCTGTGATTTGACGATCATCAATGACAGATTTTAAACAAATGGTGGGTATTGCGCAACGTTTTTAGTTGCAGTTCCTCTATCTCTCGAGCCGTATTTGTGTGCTGTTCTTTGAAATAAATGGTATTACCAATTTTCAGGTTGTTCAAGTTGTTCTCGACGGTATTGGTAACATATTAAAGGTAAGAAGGGACGCCTGCTTTGTGTCATTTTTGTAGCATTTTTCAAAAGCATCAATCTCTGCTTCATCGGATATTTCTGATTGCAAAAACGTGTGTCTGGGCTGTACAGTGTTTTGCAGCAACAATGAAAAGCGGTGTTTTTTTCTTTTTAAGAGCTTTTATTTGAGTCTATGCATCTCGGTTTTTTATGGGGCGTCTTTTACAGTCTTATATCTCCGTCGGGTTTGCTAAAGGCGCCTACTTCTTCTGTTTCATGATTATTTTTGAAGTTTGCATTTTAACTTCGTTTTCCCCTTTTTTCTCTTGGCCTGTTTTTACTAAATGTGAATTTATATCGTTATAGATGGCTGGTGATGACGTAGACAAGATTACATTAATGATCGAAGAATGTGGAGGTATGCCTAGGCAATGCAGAGATTTCTTTGTTGCGCGCGACGCAGGAGCTTGCCTACTATTTGCGAGCTCTTGGCTTTTCGCATTGTCGTCTACTGGCTGCGCATATTTTTTTGTTATATTAGGTAATATCGCATATTAGGTAATGTGTTTATATAAAAGGGCTGCGTATACCCAACTTGTCAAGTAATATCAAAATAACGGTTTGCGATTGGTATGTATTCTTGCGATGCAAAACTGCTCACATGAAAAGCAAACTTCACAGCTGGGTAGATAAACAGAACTGTTATGTACTAATGGCTGGAGCGATGATATGAAGAATCACATGTTTCTGAAAGAAACAATCCCCGCAGAGTTGCGTGCTTTAGCTGGACACACTACCTTTAAATGAGTGAAGCACTCCTCTGTCCAGGAGTCAAAGAGCATGCGCATTACACAAAGTTATTATTACGCATGCTCTCTGTCTCTAAAAAGGAGGGTTGCCTTACTCATATGAAAATTTTCGCTCGCTTGTCTCCCCGACAACTTCATAATCAATTTATAGCATTGATGCGCGGTCATTATGCGGGAACCTGATTGTGAGAGTGGGCCCTTTGAAAATCAACTTGTTGAGGGGCAACCCTCCTTAAAAGTATTAAATGTGAAAATACAACAATGAAGATTATAACAATTGAAATCGTAACAATTGAGAATACAAGCATGGATAACAGTTGCAGGGGAAAATTTAACTGTCTTTAATTTCTTTATGTACTCTAGATGACCAACCTCATCAGGAAGCGACCATTAAAATGCAACAAAATTACTAAATGATTGTTTGTTCGTCCCTTTATTAAGAGGCACGCAAAGATAACTCATATTGACTGATATCGTCTATCAACTTCACACATGATTTGAATAGCATTTGAAGGAACATATGTATCTCTGAAAACTTGTTACAATTTTTTACAAATGGAGATTAAGTATTTTTTCAGTTAGGCAAAATCATGTATTTTATAGCTAAACGGGTTGCAATGAGGCCAGATTTCTGAGTTTTGGCCTCGTAGGAAAGATAAAAGAGCCTAGCCAGCAATCGTTCTCTCGACATACTTCATGTACACGTAGATGATATACATCAAATTGACCCCAATAGCTTGGCTACTTGATTATCGATAGGCCATTGCAGGAAATATGGTGAACTCCAGTAAGCAACTGTGTCACCTAATAAAAACATTGTGCGCGCACTTATTAACGCTTCGTTATCTGTAGTTTTCTAATCTGGTATTTTGTGAGTGGGGACACTGCACCGCAGATCTTGCACTTTATTGTCACAGAGCAGGTCTGCTATGGTTTTATACACGCAGACATTATCATTTGTACTTCATGTGTTTACTGTCGGTTGAATGTGCCAAAATCTTCAATTTGGTGTTCGTTTGCACGAGGTACCCCCTTAGTTGTAGCTTTGTAGACTCTTTTAGATAAAAGACGTTGTTACTGAGATTCTGTTCTGTTCGCCGTTTGCTGCGATTAGCTTTCTCATAATGCTTATTTTGTTTACAGGCTTAGATCTAATCGAGAAACTTCAAGAACATGAGAATCCTGATATTTACAAGCTGTCTTACGAGATAATCGAGCATTATTTTGCTGATGTAAGGGTTTTTGATAATTCCATTTATTTATTGGCATGACGATTAATTTCCTCCACAGGCATTTAAATCTCAACATTAACAACGCCCATCATCCGCACATCCACATTGGATACAATCGCATCTGCATATGATGCAATCGCATCCACAGATAATATTATCGCATCTGCACATGAGACTATTGCACCTACAGATGATTCTATCGCATCCGCAGATAATATTATCGCATCTGCACATGAGACTATCGCATCTGCAGATGATACTATCGCATCCGCAGATAATATTATCGCATCTGCACATGAGACTATTGCACCTACAGATGATACTATCGCATCCGCAGATAATATTATCGCATCTGCACATGAGACTATCGCATCTGCAGATGATACTATCGCATCCGCAGATAATATTATCGCATCTGCACATGAGACTATTGCACCTACAGATGATACTATCGCATCCGCAGATAATATTATCGCATCTGCACATGATACTATCGCATCCGCAGATAATATTATCGCATCTGTACATGAGACTATTGCACCTACAGATGATATTATCGCATCTGCAGATGATACTATCGCATCCGCAGATAATATTATCGCATCTGCACATGAGACTATTGCACCTACAGATGATACTATCGCATCCGCAGATAATATTATCGCATCTACACCTGAGACTATTGCACCTACAGATGATACTATCGCATCCGCAGATAATATTATCGCATCTGCACATGGAGTATTGCACCTACAGATGATACTATCGCATCCGCAGATAATATTATCGCATCTGCACATGAGACTATCGCATCTGCAGATGATACTATCGCATCCGCAGATAATATTGTCGCATCTGCACATGACACTATTTGCACATGATACTGTCGCATCCGAAGATAATATTATCGCATCTGCACATGATACTATCGCATCCGCAAACGATAATACTTCATTCACATATCCACACACGATACTATCTCATCAACTCTTCAAACTATCGCAGCCATTTAATTCCCATAACCAGCATGAAACAAACCACTACATAAAGATAACATAGAAAGCTGCTTATAGCTATATAGCTGCACAGTTATTTTTTCATATATAGTTAAAGTTATAGTTACATATACATATATGCAACATTTTTGGAAAATCAAGCCAGCAACTAAGAACTGACAACCCTGGCAATGTCCATTTTGTCCCAAACAATCCTTTATGAAAATGAATACTTTTGAAAATTCCTCCTTTGCAAAAATTTATGCCTCATCTGTTCGCATCATGTATTTTTTTTACAGCTTAAGCTATGGGAGTGCAACTTGAGTGCTGAAGCCTGCTAGAATTGTCTCAATTATCATCAATTTTTAATATACCCTGGCCAGTTTTCTTCTCACCGCCCACCAAGTTGGACATCTGTTCGTTACTGTGTGCTTCACTAAGCTGGCTTTCAGTTGAAGCTTGGAGCGATATTAATTCCTTAGCCTTCTTCTCTCTGAAAAAATCACCTAAAATCAACCGCTTTTCTCTGCAAGTCGACCTTTTGCTGTCATTCGCGATTTACTTTTACTTGCAGATAGGAACTACACAATAGAGTTTTTTTGTCATGTTCTCACTTTTGTTTTGTTATGTTTAACGAGGAAAAATATGAATAGAAGGACCTTTCTGATATCCTGCTCTTTATCTGTACACCATTTTTTGCTAAAAGATTAAATTGCAATGATTGTTTAGTTTTAGTTGATGCTGACTGAATCACCCCTTTTTGTTTTTAGGGTGAAACCGAGGATGCTTCGCTTGCCCCTGCGGAGGTAGACGGCGAGTTTCAGTTCGAGGCTAAACAGGACATGCCTGTAGATGGCTTCAAATTATGAAATAGCTTACAGACATTAGACGCACATTGACGACGTATGACGGAGCTGATTGTACGATTTGTCAAGACAGTTGATGTTCATTTACAAATCGTACTTAGATGTTCTAGAGCCTCTGCGTAGCGATGTCTTGGCAGTCATACGCGCAGGAACAGCAGGAACAACAATAGCAACTACCGACGAATCAGGACATAACACACTGCAAAAGTAGGAAGATACCTGAGAGTGCGTGTGATGCTGAAGTGGAGAACCCCCGTCCGTCCCCTTACAAAGTGGACTATCGCCGTGCAGGACGGATCAACAACCTTCACCCAAGCTGAAACTGAACATTTATTTAGTGTTTTAATGAATCTTATCCAACAGAAATGACATCATCTAATCAAGGGCTTTCAACCTGCGAATGTAGATAGAGCAAAATTATTCTAGTTATATCTTATGAGAGAACCTTGCAAATCCTGCCTTTTTGTAGATATCGGCATATATATGCCATACGCAGAGAGCCATGAATGAGATGACGTCATGACTGTGTTTATGGGTGGAAAGTTTGAATGAGAATGTGGAAGTTTAAGACTTAATTAGATTTGTAAATTACGGACAGTTTTTACATATTTTGACAAAACAAGGACAGTAACGAAAATTATTTTAGTAATATGTTTTGATTTTGTAAGCAATTTTAATTTGGTAAATTTAAACTTTTAAATCTGTGTTCTTTTCGTTGATGCTAATTTTACGTTTTATTATTTTGCTTGAGTAGATTTATCGCAAATGGAATTGCTTGCCACGTAAATATGTTATTTTTTTCCTTCTTGTTAAATCTTCCGTGTGCCCACAGCTCAGCAAAGAAAAATCAATTTTTCAAAAATGTAAAGGATATATCCCTGTGAAGACGATGCCAATTTTCCTTGCGTCTGTTGTATGAGAAGGTTGCATGAAATTGAATAATTCAAACGGATAATGAGACATAGTTTGATCTTTCCTGCAACGCCTACAGTCGCCTGACCTGATCTTTTTCAGCATGGTATGGTCTCGGTTACAAATATAAGAACCACACGTTTCTTAACAACGAGTTGGCGTACGAGTCAAAAATCGTGCGTCATAGCAAGGAGAACTGCCTGGTATGAACTACTGGCATCGATTCAAGGGCCGCTATTTGCATAAATTCGTTTTTATTTCCTGAAAGTGTGAGTGAATTGTTCCAGTCGTCATTTTAAAGTTATGTTGCGATAAGCAGAAATGATTTTCAATTTTTAAGATTAACCTAAAGCAAAATTAGTGAAACCCATCAATCTAAAAAATTGACGTTTAAAATTGACAAATAAAAAATTGATATGCTGAAATGATTTCTTGTGTATAAGTAATTTGATAGGAATATGAATGTACGCCAGCCATTCTTAACCTCTGGTCCGCTCGCCAACTCCGGTCCGCTCGCCAACTCCGGTCCGCTCGCCAACTCCGGTCCGCTCGCCAACTCCGGTCCGCTCGCCAACTCCGGTCCGCTCGCCAACTCCGGTCGGCGCGCCAAATGCTTTTACCTCGAGAATATTTTTTAATAACATTTCCAAAATTTGGAATTCGATTTATCTCCGTTTTTCATTTGTCTATTTGATATCTTCTTTTTCTCTGCATTTCATTTTAAAGTGCGTTCCGTAGACAGTTATTGGACCGAAAGAGAGTATCGAAATAGGAAATGCTTTATTTAATCATTTTATCGTGTTATAGCGTCTCATTAACTGTTTTTTATTTATTTCTCCTGTTCATCTTATACGCTGCTATGTTAAGATTTTTGTAAATCTTGCAGGGCCCTTCCTTTTCATGTCAACCTTTAAATAGATGAAACTATGGAACCTAATTATAAAAAACCTTAAGAATTTTGCCTTGGGTTTTCTCCCGTTAAAATCCATTTGACGTGCAGTATCTGGCATTGCCTAGATTAATATCATCTAAAATCTTTCTTGCCGCAAAGCGAATTTTACTAAATACATCCACAAACATCACATTTGGCGTTTCTTTAAAATATGCTGTACAATCCCTGGACCTGACTTCAGCGCGCCTCAAGTCGAATAATAGTTTTTTGTGACGTCACATTTAAGAACTGTATAGAATTCCTAATTGTGACATAAATTCCTAATTAGAATCTTTAATTTTAGACCGCAAAACCGACAAGAACACCATGAAATATCTCTAAGTATACAAAACAGCTATTTTAATAATTTGATGAGATATGGTCAGTAATTGTTTGGGAGACGAAGTCTCAAAACCTTTGTCTTGAAACAAAAGAATCTTGGCCTATCACCGAGGAGCAAAAAATTTGTCGATACTGCGCATGGCAAGTAAGCTTTGGCGTTGAATTAAAGTGCTTGCTATCAATCAGTCAAATCGTCGAATTTCCCTCTTGTGCAAGGGAGCGGAGCTGCGCCATTCGCGCCAAAATAATTTCACATCACCGGCCAACGATCATTGTTTGCGTTACTCAGCTTCTCATTTTAGGTTCATATCTAGGTTCATATCTCATATTATTTTGTTAGTGCTTGAACCTGAGATATTCCAAGTAAGAGATTTGGATGTCTGCTAACAGATTACTCTTTTTGTGCCCTGTTCATAAAGTTATGAAGAGAAACTACCGTACATAGGTTTAAGGGAAAGAGCCTGTGCTCATATGGCCATATCTCCCCCAATTCGTAACACATTTTTAGAGATACAGTTGACATCCGCTTTCTCGACTGCCCGCTATCTCGAACGTTCGCTATTTCGAACCAATTTCTGTTTCCCTTGGTTTTGCTATAGGGTTACGTATAGAAAAACCGTTCACTATCTCGACTGCTCGCTATTTCGATTATTCGTTATGTCGAACCGTTTTCTGCTTCCCTTGGATGAAAAGTGTTCGCTATCTCGAACTTTTTTGTTTTTGGTTATGTGAGAAAATTAAAAATACGAGTAAAAAATCTGTTTAAACGGCAGATGACAGTTAACAGATTAAAAAGACAGTGTTACAATACAATTTAAATGTTTTATTAAGTAAGTGATCTTGCAGTCTGACAATAAAACGTTTTGACCTATCTATCATCAACGTGCAAGGGACCTGCATGCCATCACCATCAGTTTACAGGTTTCCCTTTTACAACTGCATGGCATTAACTGTACTGATAAGCTTTCAAGAAAAAAGATTGTTTTCGCAAATTTCCCATTTTTTCCCTTTCGTAGATGACCAACAATGTCATTGATTTTTAAAACGCAAACGGCATACCTATCCATAATATTATCAGGTTCTATTGCAGTTTTAAGTTTTTCGCCAATCTCCTGTCACAGTACAAAATTGAAGATATTTATAATGCAGATGAGTCTGGGCTGTTCTATCAGTGTATGCCTGACAAGTCAATGCATTTCAAGTCTGAAAGTTGCATTGGAGGTAAGCACAGCAAAGTCCGCCTGACTGGAATGGCAGCTGCCAGTGCTGTTGGAGAAAAGCTTGCCCATGTTTGTAATTAAAATATAAAAAAGCCAAGATGCTTCAATGAGATTAGGTCTTTGCCATGCCGCTATAGACATCAGAAGAAAAGCTGGATGAGTGGCGAGTAGTTTCAAGAATGGGTAGAAGAACTGGACAACAAATTTCTGGCACAGAAACGAAAGGTTGCTCTTGTTTTCGACAAGTGTCCAGCACATCCAGAAGTAGAAAACCTGAAAGCAATCAAGCTTGTGTTCCTGCCGCCAAACACAACATCTAAGACACAGCCAACGGATCAAGGGGTAATCCGAAGTTTAAAGGCAAAGTACCGAACAGTTTTGGTGCAGAAATACATCAGAGAAATTGATCAACAAAAGTCTCTACCAAAAATTAGCATTTTGGATGCAATGGACATATTAGCCGCATCATGGTCTATGGTATCTGAAACGACAATCGTTAACTGCTTTGCCAAAGCTGGCCTTTCTTCCAAAAATCAACATCAAGCAGCATCAGATGAAGATGACCCTTTTAAAGACTTGGTGGAAGAATTGACGAAACTGTAAAGTAGAGTTCAAGAAATTGCTCCAGCCAACACACAAGTGCAGAGGAATTTATTGACTGCGACGACCAAGTCTTAGCCAAAGGAGCATTGCCAACTAAAGATGAAATCATAGCTAAGCTAATGGGTGAAGAAGTTGTTGAAGTTGAGGACAGCCAAGAAGACAGCCAAGAGGACAGCCAAGAAAGCAACGACAACCCTTTGACAGAGCCAACAACGAGCGAAATAAGAGATGCAATAGAGGTGATATCAAGATATTGCCTATTCTCAGAGAATGGAGAAGTGCTCCGTGAGCATTTCGTTAAAATGAATGGTGTTATAGAGAAGGAACTGGTTAGAAAGAGAAAACAAATGACATTAGATGCTTATTTTTCTTAATGATTTATTTTGACTTATAATGTTGTATTAGTGACTACATATCCTTTTTTGCTGCCTGGTAAACCTTCCAAATTTGAAAAAATTGGATTTTTTGGGATCATCCGATAACTCGAACTTTCTCTATCTCGAACAACTTTTCGTTTCCCTTCAGAGTTCGAGATAGCGGATGTCAACTGTAATTCACGAAGAAGTTTTAGTTGAGGCCTGAAAATCTCTTGACCTGTTAAGGCGATTATCGATGCTTTGCGGTTGTAGTCGCATGTCTCATTTACAATATCGCATGGCACATCCATATACCCAATGTACGGCCGTGTTTATTTAAACAGGCTTATTGATCTTAAAGCTTCAAGTGACTTGACCCGGATTACACTGTGGTTTGCGCGTGTACCTTGCAAGCGCGATCAGTAAAATACCGTTTTCTACGGACTCACCATTCCTCTACATACAGGTATGAAAAAGCTATTTTGCACACGGCCAGGACAGATGTCGGGTAAGCAAAGTGTGTCTCAAAATTTTGTATTTGCTCTGGTCTGTCTTTTATAGCCAAATACAGCTATAAGAAGGAAGAAAAATTATTTGCCAATTTTTGACAGGGTACAGTTTCAAGGGGAGGAGGAATTTCAAAAATCTGAGACATATTTTGGCAGCTAATGAACCGAGCTTTCTGCTCATATAAGCCAGATTGAAAAGTTATTAATTGAAAAGTTATTATACGAGCTGAACACAACAAAACACGACTCCCTGGAAGAGCAGCTGCTATAAGATAGATTGCTGTGCATAATTTAGCTTTAATTGTAGATAAATTATATTAATGTAACTAGGGTATTTATTTTTTTATATTGCATTTAGATGTAAGCTGAAGGGATTTTTATGTATAAAGAATATAAAATGAAATGAAATGAAATGAAATGAAAGATTTTGTTCCTTCAAACACAAGGGTACAAAATAGCTATTGAAGGTGGAACACTCATTTAAGCAATAAATTTGCCTTGAAAGTATCATTTTACAATATTTGCCAATTATTTTGATATGGTTAGAATCGCCACATTCTTATGCATCGAATGATGCATAGCTTAATCTGATGCCGTTAATAGTTTGGCTTTTAGGGAAAGAAAACCAAATATCGTGTCAAAAACGTTTACCGTAACCTTAAAAGCGACAAAATTGATACGTCAAATTCATAAAGGTACTTTTAAAAAACACACGGTTCTCTTGGTCTCTTTTTCTTCATTTTTGAAACGACGACAGATTCGTGTTGGTTTTCCCTCGTAACGAAGTGCCAATTTGATCTCCTACCAAAGTGTCGTTCTAAAACAGATTTATTCAATGCACTTGTCTTATGTAGCGGGGGACTATTCCAGTGATTTCAAAATGCAAAATACTGTGACTGGTACAAAATGGTACACCATTTACCTACCTTTCTGCATTAACTCCATGCTAAAATACAGAGTTGTAAAGTAATGGGATTCTGTCTATCACCACGTACAGGTCACTGATAAATCGCAGGTTGTTAGAAACTGTGTTTCCTTATGAAACATCAATCTATATTTTGGCACTTTCCTCCAGAACTTTTAAATATCCCTTGCCTTACTGAAGATTTTCTAGTTTTCACAGATTTCCCACGGTTTAAACACAAGGGCCTTTGAAGTAGCTGGTAATTGGCAGAGAAACATGGGGCTTTAGCTTCAAGAACATTTTTAGTATACATTCAATTTGAGCAAGGCTTTCCAATAATATTCATGGATAACCTTAGAAAATTTGTTTTTTCAAGGCTTTACATAAAATTATCAAATCTTCCTTTGTTATTTGCAAAGAATTTTTCTGTTAGCAGGTTTCTTTTGAAAGTACTTATTAATTTTCTTCAAATATGATATTAACATGCAAAGCCTGCCTTCGGCTCCTAGCCGTGGGTTCAAAAATTTTTTTAAAAATATAGTTTTGTTGCTTCTTCACTTAAGAACACTTTTGAAGGGTTCTTTAATCCATTCAAGACATTAACGGCAAAAGTTTTTGACTTTTTTGGACAGAAGGTTGTCCAAAATTTTATTGTAAAATAAACTATTGTAAAACTACCAGACATCGAAAGAAAATGCATTACAAACATCATGATGATTATCAGCACCTGCTAATAGCCTTTAATCCTCCTCGTTGTCACTAATTCCTTGAACGATTGCGAACATCTGCAAACTGTTACTTACCCTGGGAACATGTGTTCCGTTTCTGGGTGTAATTAGCTTGAAGGCACACAGTCGCGCTGTTTATTGGTCTATCAAAACAAAAGTGTTATTAAGTCATTACTAAGTCAGAATACTGTAATTTTGCAGATGACAATATAATATATGCATGCAGTCAAAGAGTCAAGGCCTAGAACAGGCTGTATCTTATCTTAGGGATCATACCCATAATGCGCTGTGTTGGTTTCGGGACAATGGAATGTTTGCAAATCCTTCCAAATTTCAATTCATGTATCTTGGTCTAAAACCAGACCAGGAGTACGTGTTTGAAATTGATAACCAACCCATTCCTGCAACTAGCACAGTCAAACTCTTAGGTATTACTCATAGACTCTTGGCTAAAATTTGCCGAACATGTAAATACATTTTGCACGGAAGCAAACAACAGGACCATCAACAACAGCAAACAAACAACAGCTTTTAAGAGATCAATTAAAGAGTGGAAAGGTGACAGTTTCTCATGCAAAATATGTCGATAAAAAAGTCCGTGGGAATCTCGCCAGAAGCATACTTATGTTTCTATATTTATTGTATTTATTAGTATTTCTTTTTGTATGAATAGTTGGTCTTAATTAGTTCAAGTTAGAACTATCATTATTTCTAACAAACTGTCACTAATGTTATAATAATAATAATGATAATAATTTTCTTCTACCAAAGAAACAGGACCGTAATTGCTCGAATTACCCCTCTGGAGGCTTATTTATTTTGATATTTCTGGATAGGGGCTTATTCGGGGGGGGGGGCTTATACGAGGGGGGGGGGCTTAAAAAATTATTGTAGACATTAAGAAGACATGATTAAAAGACCTCGTTTATTATAGTAGAAATTTCTTTATGAGCATTAAATTAATTTTTATCAAAAGTATGAATTTCTGAGGTAATTCAATAAAACGCCATAGGCAACCTCAGATGGCAAATACCATCAAATGGAGGGGTCCAGTTCGAGAATTTACGGTAGCAGTGGGGGCTTACTCGAGGGGGGCTTATTCGAGGAAGGGGGCAATTCGATGATTTACGGTATTGCTCTACGAAAACAAAGCACTGCCGCGCGCTTGCTCTATTCCGCAAATCATATATTGTCATTGTTGTAAAGAGAACAATAACTTTTATTATTCTCATTCTTTTGTAACTACCAATCATATTTAATCACGTGACACGCGATGTGTAAGTGTTGATTGTAATGATACTAGTCTTACTACTAAAGCGAACTGAGCGCTCCTTCTGTATTGAATGTTGTTCAGTTATGCTATATATATCTTAAGTGAATTGTTACAATTAAAAAAGGACTACATTAATCCCAACAAATTTCGGATGGTTTAATTTCGGAAGTTTAATTTTCGGTAAGAAAATGTCGAATCAAAAAGTCTTGATTTCGAACATTTTCGGACAAAAAATCCGGACAAAATGAAAAAGACGCCATGTAACTGGGGAATTACTAGATGACCAACATCAAAACACAGAAGAAATTGAAATACCGGATTTGGATGAAGCTGGTCCAATAATGCTCGAAATAAGCATACTGGCGATCAAGCAAGACAAATGACGATGCTCATGAATCAAGCAAGTCAATTCTTCAATGCTGAGCCAAGTGCCTTCCACGAGGAGGTTGACGTAGTCCATTATAGGCCTTCCAGGGTTTAGTGGCCATGATTTTGCTTTCAGAGAACCGTTCGCCAGCAGTGACAAGCACGTTTTATTCTTCGTGTCTTTATTGTGATGGAAGTTTTGGAAAGATCTTTGTAGAACACTCTTCGTTTGAGATATGTTGTCACCAGTTGATGTTAAGAATTCATTGTGAGATTTCAGATAAGAGTGAGATGATGTCTACAAAGTCTGTGTCTGCCAGATGCTCAGATGAGATGCTGGATGCTCAGGACTTTGCTATTTCTTGATAGAGAGACTGAGTATTTTGAACATAGCTTCGGTAGAGCGTAGACGTGAATGAAACTCCATATCGTTGATTTTATCTTTAAATATATACAAAACGTGACTATAAACAACTATAACGTAAACGTAACTTGTTAGCCCATCATAAACTTGTAGCGTGACTTTATCGTAACTTCACTACTTCAAAAAAACTTACAATATAGGGCGTGAATATATAACGTAAGAAGACTGGGACGAGTAGGAATCCCCCATGATGGCGTGGGTTGCGAAATATATTGACTTCACAACACTGAGGTCTTCTGCTCCTCGTGTAGATGTCGCATTACATAGTCGTCCGTGATGATAAACAAGTAAGGCGCGAGAGTGTCACCTTGTAAGACGCCAGCTTCAATGTTTGGCATTATCTTCTTCAGTAATTATATAATAATAATAATAGTTTTACAACCACATGCCTTCAGTAAAAAAGTTCAACTTGAAAAATTCTAGAACTTAGGATTTAAATA